CCGGCTGCGCTCCATGGGACCAGCTAATGATTAAAACACCGGGGTACCCCTTTAATTAACGAGTTCAGCTGAATATTCATGGCATCAAAGCAAAGTCTTGGCAGCCAAAAATGCTACTTTAGCGGCTAAACTTACAAGGCGCTGAAAACTACATGCTCCTTTTACCAGTCAATCGACGGTATGCGGAGCGGAAGTTCGTCTGCTTCTTGCGTAAAAGCTGCGATGGCGTCTGAACGCCTAGCTTTGATTGGCTCTGATTGAAAGGATTGTGGGTAGACTTCAATGGGCCTTGGGGCCTGTCCGCTATCCTTCCAATCAGAATCAATCAAAGCTTTGCATACTGACGTCACCGTAACATCTGCGCAAGAAACAGACGAACTTGCGCTCCGCGTTGCACCACGTGATCAAGCCATCTGCGACAATTCGCGCGCAGAGAGCGGGGCAGGTGATAAAAGACGAGCAATTGATTGGTTACGGCGGTTACGCGATCACGTAGTTTGAACATCATTGTACCGCTGGGTGTTCTGCGTGTTTTATTTATTGGTTTTGAAACTGAATGTTAAAAGCTGACACCCATAAGTTCAACTTTAAGGGAGTAATATATTGGTTCTACTAAATGAAGGGAGTAATCAAATTAATCATGCTGCTTTTCCTAATGGTGACCTCTTGTGTATAACGCTTCTCTGATGCGAATTTGATCAGTTTGTATAGATGGTATTCCGGGCACTTCTGGGGGGCTATGCTCGACAAATGTTTCGTTTCTTCTAAAAAGAAACGGAAGTGACGGAAGTGACGATATCGCGTCCGATTGGTTAGATGCTCCAATGACGAATGTTCCCTCTTTTGTCATTTGAGCCTCTAGCCAAGCAGACGCGATCTCCTCACTTCCGTCACTTCCGGTTCCTTTTAGGAGAAACGAAACATTTGCCCCCCTGGCCGCCATGAAACGGGCCGAGATCCTTTCCGGTTAGGGTATTGTTTGCATGCTTTTAAAGGAAAGCGTATGATTAAAAGGTTTAAAACAGCGCAACAGACGAGGGACGAGAAGTAGGACAGACACAGCGCTTCTTCTGTTTTAGGGGAAGCACCTCCGTGAAGTTTCGCGTGTTGTATAATTCATTCGGTATATTGCGGTGTTGTGGGCGTACAGTGACTGCGAAGATGCTGCGGTGTTGTACAATTCATTGCACAGCTTTAATTTGGCAGATTTCTGCGAAATAATATACGCCACAGACCGCGGCCGGCCGTCAACCGTGGCCAGTCGCCGTCGTGCGCACGTAATTTCACGCAAGCACTAGGATCATCGCTTTATTTTTAAGTAAAGTTGCATGCATCGGATTCTTCCTGTCAGCGCGAAGAGACTATCAAATAAATATTGATTGAAATAATAATCAATATTCGCCATTTTCGAAGATTCGGAGTTCAAAAAATATGAATAAATTAACATTTTAGACTGAAGTATGATGCCATATGTGACATTCCTGAAGCAGTACCTGCTCACTTTTCAGATCCCAGGTTTTCATAACACAGACTAACTTGGCACTGAGTAGGATATTTAATGATAATGATAATAATAATATAACTAAATGCTTTCGCTCACTTACGTTAATTTTCGGGTGCTTGTATTCTGTGAACTCGAACTAACACCGTCCAAAAACACATACAAACTAACTAAAAAAAAGGATGTGTCACATACCAGCGGAGGACTGAGGATTTGGGATTTCTGCCTGAAATATCCTGAAATATTATGGAAGCTTCTGTTTTACAACATGCAATAAAGCGTCCCTTCATGACACGTTTGAAAAATAATCATAAAACCGTCTTCCTAGGTTCCTAGGCGGTAATGACCGTCTAGGAACCTTGGCAGATAGTGTCGGTTTTCTTAGTCCCCCTGATCGTCATGTACAACAATGTGTCTGCATGGTATGTCCCCAGGAATTTCGCGTCATCCCATCGGCAGCGAGTTGGGCATGAAACTTGTTTTCTTACTTTTTCGCCAGGGCTGTAGAATCTAAAACATCATTTCTACGTCCGCGTCTGAAACGTCTCACCATTCCATTTAGCGCTCTCTGGGCGGCACCATTTTGCTCGACCGCAGCGCCCTCTCCACACATCCGGGAAGTTTAGCGGGTTCGGCGGGGTAAAACGAGAGAGAGGGCACGCGCCCGAATCCGCTAGCAGACGACAAACCGGGATTTTGCCGTTCTCCATCTTTGGGCTGCATCGGCGGGCTCTACCGAACATCGAACTCTCGCTCGTAGCTGCCGTTGTGAAGTGGTTCGCGTTCTTAGAATAGCTGTGGCTACTCCAAAATTATCCTATAGCTCTCTGTTGTTCTATTTTGCTAAATGATCAATTGGCATATATTTTTTCCGTTACTTAAATAGCAGTTGAGTCAGCCGGCAGTACTACCCTCAACTACTGCTTGTATTGCGGCAGGAGAGCACGCTTTATTTATTATTTCAGACTTCTACTCATGGTCGCTAAAGGCTAGGCTGACCATATTCCTCAAGGTAGAAAACGGGACATCCCAGCCCGGAGGGGGGAAAGGGGGAGAGTGGGGGAGAGTGAGTGAGTGAGGGGGAGGGAGAAGGAGGAGGAGGAGGGGGAGAGAGAAAGAAAGGAGGGGAAGGAAGCGAGGGGAGGAGGTATATCAAAGGTTGAGATAGGGAGAAAAAATTTAATACCAGATTTGCGATTTCAAAGCGTTAACATACTACATGCTTGCTGTATTCATTAACTAAAAAAAAATATTTCTATTCACGAGTCTTGACAAAAATACGTGTTTGTGGGCAAAAACAGTTCTCCGAATTTAACTGGGTAAATGTTTTAAAGTACCTACTTTTTCTTTCTTTTCTTTTCTGTAAAATATATTTGTAACAAGTGGGCATAGTTTCCGCTTGCTTCAACTCGCTTTGTGCCAAGTTCGAAATTATGCACTCCTGCGAAAACGGGACATGATTCCTTATTGGGACAAAAAGACGGGACGGCCAAAACGGACCTCAAAAACAGGACTGTCCCGGCCAAAACGGGACGTCTGGTCACCCTACTAAAGGCCCACACCAGTAGGTACGGCAACCGGATTTACTCTTCGCCAAAGAGACCGGCCAGTCTGACACAGTTTTCCTTTTCTTTTTTTTTTTTTTTTTATTTGCACGCAGGTAAGAGCGCAATTGGACCCTGTGGGTCTTTTTATCTAGCATAATATTACACGACAACTGGCATACCAAAATCTGCGCATCTGCCCTTGAAAGTTCCAAAATGACGCGATTTTAAACAGAGTTTGTACGCCAGCCGGACGCTAGCTACAGCCCACTCGGCGGAGCGGACGAGATGCGGGGAGAGAGGGGGAGTGCATTTTTTCTCTTTTACCCTCTCTGCTATGACCCTAATGGAACGGTCTTATAACGGGATTGCGGTAGGCGTACGTTATATCTCAACTCGTCGTCGAAAATGCACCTCTTGCTTTTTGGTCGAGCACGAGCACAAGCTGCACAATCCTTCGCACCCTTCTTGAATCACGTCCGAAAAGCTTACCGTAGTTTCGCTTGAGGCAGTTTGAACACTCACGGTGACCTCTGATGGCGACGACATTCAGTTGACGTAACGACGTGAGCTGATGCACGCACTCGCTGTCCCATTCCCGAAATAATTACGAACGCTTCAATTGATTTGCGTTCAACTTCGTTGAATGTCTCCCGTGAAAATGGCCGGGTTTCCTATGGTCTGCAGAGTCATAAAATTGGGGTTGTGTGGATATTTATACAGCGTGTAGTTAGTCAGCCATTTTCAAAGCTGCGACGAGTCACTTGCTGTATATGAGCAATTTAGCCGGTGCAGTACAACCGCTAACCTGGGGTCATTAAAAGGGATACTACAACGAAATTTCAGCGCTTGTTTTCTGGCCTATATGTGTTCAAAGGAGCACTATCACATCGAACACACTAATATCCTGTTAACAAAGACACGAAAAGGAATTTTAAAACGTATTAAACGATTAGCATAGAGCACCTGGTGGATGTCGCTAACGTCTCGTTTGTAATGACCGTCTAGGAACCTTGGCAGATAGTGACGACGTTTGTCTCGCCTCCGGTCACGTCGAGAGAAGAGGTGGAAGGAGGAACTCTCCTCTCCCCGTGAATCTTTTTTGTCTGTCCCAGAATTCGCTATTGTCCCTCTACAAGATTATAGAAGATTAACCCGTCATTTAAAATTCGTACAAAAGCTGCCGCTTCGGTAGCTGGAACGACTTGGCTATCCTCTCGGCGTGAGCCTCGCCTGAGGCCTCGCCGCAGCTTCGCTCGTCCCGAGACGAACTACGTCACGATTGCGTTGGATGTAACGTGCTCTCCGCTAGCTGCTCTCCGAGCGCTCGCCAGAGTGGGTAGTTCAAACGAAAAAAACCGTCACCAGGCTCAAAATACAAACGTGCGATTGTCATTCACGGATATTGTGGATCATATTCAACCTATTTTTTAACCCGACGGGTATATTTCAAATTTCGTTGAAGTATCCTTTTAACGTGCACCACGCAATAGCGATACACGACCGCACGCCGGTACGATGCTCATCCAGATCGAAACGGGCAGGAGTGGGGATTGAGCCCAGGATCCCTGGGTTCTGCAGCGCGAACTTTCGATCCACGTACTCAGAGCTGGTGTGCGCTAGCCCACTCGGCCACCGAACCCCCCTTCTGTAGAGCTACTGAAAACTGAACAGAGCATTCATTCAGTGACACTGACACTAGTGGGCTGTAATTTTCGGCACGGAGGCCAAATAAAACGAGCAACTGTGCTTATTCTTGGCCTCATATAATCTAGACAGACTAAATGATCCATTTTGCGTCATTATATTCACATGCCTTTTCTGGATTTCCGCCAAGAAAATCGTCAAAGACACGCTACACCATTGTGCGATAATGTTTCAAAGCCGAAACCAAGTTGAGGCCTCGAAACCGAAACCAGGTCTTGTTGCTGCGCAAATCCGTTTGTACAACTCTAGATTACGAGCGAAGCCGCAGGAGCATTAACATCAGTTCAGCGTGCTTTTTTTTCGTAGCGGTATCGTCTTGTGCTCCGTTCATTCATCTATTATTGCTTCTTCGACTCTAAGGGACTTTTCCTCGAATACAAATGGCTTCTGGGGACGACGATATTGTCTACAAGGTCTCGGAAGTGAGCAAATTAGACACTTGCTTGCAATACTCTTCGTGAAACATTCCGGGTCAGACCGGTCGGAGTGACAACGGGCCTTGTAAACAAGAGCAATTCGCGTCATCTCTTTAACGGTTGTTGCCTTTCTATTTCTCTTTACAGGACGATAGGAGTGACGATCTGGTGGACGATGAAGCGCTCATCAAGGCATATAACCGTGCAGTGTCTACGAACGAGGTACATGTCTGGCCTTGGATGCATGGGCCTACCGCGTGTGTCATGACTGGAACACGAGAGTTTATGATCACTTGGTGAAAGCTTCTTGGTTGGTGTGGACAGCAATCTGTTTTTTGGTTGATTCACCTCTTTCTAACCCGCATTCGCATCTTTCCTCTTTTGCAAGGTGGAGTAGATTTTCTGAAGACGTTTTGAAAATATTCCTTTTCTCCATTCACCCCTAAGCGGACAGTGCAGTAGGATCCGTCCCAGGGGTTTATCCAGAATTTGAATCTGAAAAAAAAAAAAAAAAAAAAGGGCGAGGGAGGGAGTGAGGAATGAAGGAGGTGAAGAGGAGGAGGAGGCAGCAGAGGCATTATATGATGGCACTAATGAGTGTCAACTGTATGACTGTTAATATTAAAAATAACTGAATCAATGCAAATGGAAGTCTTCCACAGGAATGAAACAGCAGACCTATACATAGATTGCATGTGACGTGATTTGCGGCCTTGCCAGTATTTTATGTGCCTCGAGTATTTGGTACGCCGTGTTAGTTTCACTCCGCAGCAGTTATAATTCGAAAAAACCAGTACGTAGAAATAACCGCCAGTACCCAGCGATGGCGACTCTTGCAATCTATGGATTCCAGCTTGTATTCTTTCTGTCGCAATTCTTGAAGTTAGAAACCTTATTCACTGAGCTGTTTTAAACTCCGAATTTAAAGTTTGTTTCCAAGATGCAACGAGAGGTTACATTTGTTGCGGCAATCTAAGCAGATATAGTAAAATATAATCTGTGTTCTAGTAACTATGTATGACTACTTTTACTGTGTCTAGATGTGCAGTCAAGTCCTTAACTATCTTATAGAGAAGCTGAATTTTTTTGGGGCGAACCACTGCGATAAATTCTCCAAAAATAGCATGCAGGGATTCCACTCCTGTGCCAAATGTGCCATTTTGCACCAGAGGCAATTTCCTGTGCCTTTCTGATAAAACAAATTGTCAAATGCGTGGCTGGACAAATTAGGCGGCGACTTGCGCCACCTATCCTAGCCACATGCAACTTTAGCCGCGGCAAAGCGATGGACATAAGGCAGCTGCACTGTTAACCGGGGCAGGTGCTTCTTTCTGAGGCACGCAAAACCCTTTCTGATAACAGGACTAAGCTTGCAGGCATAAATGAAAAGCTGCAAAACTTGAAGGGGTGGGCCTTTGATAAGTTCTTTGTGTTCAAAATAAGCAGTGCACAGTAAGTTGCATCAACAGTTGTTTTTTGCATCAACAGATTAATTTTTCATAGTTAAGCCTGTGCAAATCAACATTACAAAATGACTGAAAAAAAAAATATTTGTAGGAGATTTTTGCAAACTTTAAAATTATCTTAACTAAATTTAGGTGATCATAAGATTTTATAACTGCATGCTCAAAAGTACTGTGGAAAGTGATATTTAGGTGCTCAAAAGGGCTCCAAATTTCATGTTCATCTGCTCCAAATTGCTCCAAAAGTCATTTTTAGGTGTTCCAAAGTGCTCCGAAAGTCATTTTCAGGTGCTTCAGAAATTGCTCCAAATCACAATTTTGTAGTGGTATCACTGAGCATCCTATAATCCACCTGTACAGAAATGCCATTAAAATATGATGAGAGTTTCTTGATGACAGAAAAATTGAAGTTCATTTAACTCCCATTGTTTGCTGATATACCAAGAACACTCATAACAATAACCATGTTCAGCAAATCTGGTCAGTGATTGTAAACACATTTCTTAGCTCTATACATTTCCTAAATTACATAGTACATGAAGCTTGTATGCTGTCTTTTTAAATCCAGCTGTTTCTCAGATAATATCTCATCCACCATGCACTCTGTCTGTACTTTGGTTTTAAAGCATGCAGATTGATCTCCAGTAAACAAGTGTAATCATATTTTTGTATTTATAGCGTATATTAGTCAGTGTTCTAGACAACTATATATTTACTAATAAAACTCAATATTCAGTAACGCAACCTGGATCTTAATCCTATACATCATTAGTTCTCAACCACTGATGTTTTGCGGACACCTTGTGAATCACCGAAGATGATGGGGGACTCCGTTTGTGGTTAGGGAAAGGGAAAAGTATAAGTTAATTATGATAATGATTTAATAAATCAATTTGACTAAGGGCTAAACTTCTCTCATTGACATACACATGAGAAAACTCGCTCGAGAATTGGAATATTTCTTCTAAATCTAAAAACAAACAACCTTTATTGCCGGGCTTGACTAATGAGGCAGGGGCTTTGCAGACCCCCATTTGAGAACCGCTGCTATACATGTTCTGAACTTCAGTATTTCTTCCAAAGCGGCTGCGCACTTTTAGCGCAGCCTTGTATCATTATTCCTGGCATTGAAAATAATTGGAGATGCACTGTCCACTTTTCAAAACAATAGTTTAATTATCTTCTCTGGAGCATTTTTCAGAAAGTCTCAAACAGTGGTCTCAACTTCGTTTGAGTGGGGGGGGCCAGATAACCCTCCTAGGAAATTACGAGGGCCAACATAGTGCAAGGGAATATATACATTTTAGAAAAAAAAAAAAAAAAATGGCATTTCACGTTGGAAAGCAGCCGAGTCTTTCAGCGACACCCAACAATTTTTTAAAGGGGATCTCGTGCCATTTCCCTTTTGTAAAATAGCCGTTTTGCTAGCGCCGCTTTTAGCTTTGATTTGTTCGTACTACTCTGCTCTTGTACCTAGTGTGACTAAAAGATTTAAAATACAACCATCTGGCCAATGCACTGTAATTTTTCAATAGAACTAGAAACCAAGCACACAATTGTTACTCTGAGGGTTAATTCCCTCGGTAATTATCCGAGCTCAATATGTCTCTAAAGAAAATCTTTTCATGCGGTAGTTTTTGCTTTCTTGACGATTTTCATAGCAGAATTATGAGAAACTATATTTGAGTCTTAACAATAAGTAAAACGAAACAATCCTCAATCTAAAAGAAAACAGATTAGTGCCAAGTATGTTAAAACATTATAAGAGCAGTGCTATGTTTCCAGTGCAAATGAATAGACGACAAGAGGTTATTATTTATGGTGCATGCAGCGCTCGAGGCATACCAACCAATGGGCGCTCACAGTCGCGAAACATTTGCGGTCCGCGTCCCAAAAAGTCACGGGCTGCGTGTTTTGAGAGCTCTGGTCTAGAAGATTATGACAGAAAATCATCAACATTGTTTTATATTCAATATAAAAGGACGGCTCATGCCGCAAAGCAGCATGGTCCGTCGAAGTTGAGCATGTGCAGCGGATTTCGTCGTGATACAATATTGAGTTCCATAAAAAAGGGGGGGGGGGGGGGGGGGTTGTCAAAAGCCTTGTGGGAGGTGTGTGTATAAATCCCTGATCCACGTGTTTGCCGGTTAATCAAACTCCTTCCTTTCTGTTGTATATCTGCTTATGCTAGCAGATGGTGGGACATACCCCGCACGAAGAGAGCGCGCGGTGACAAAAAGCACGGAACATGGGATTCGGGGCGCCATGATTAAAAAGAATGATATGAACGTTTGATGGCTCTCAACTGAGGCTCTTTCCCACGATTCATAGCACTTTTGGCGACGACATCGGTCAACAGATAACGTAAGGGCGACAAAACAATAGCTATCCCAAGGCAAACTTGAGGAATTTGATGAAACAGCATGGACTTCTTGGGCTGAACGACTGGGTTCCTACTGGGAAGCTAACAAAATAATGGAACCTTAAAAGAAAAAATAAAGGAGCTCTCTTGCTGATTTTTTGCGGAGCAAAGACATACGAAATTGTAAGCCTGCTGGTGTCACCAAGAACACCTGGAGAGGTCAGTTTTGACCAGCTTATGACGATACTGAAAAAACAGTACGACCCACAGCTGTCGGAACTTTTGCAGCGGGACAAAATTTTGGCAAAGGAATCAGCTAAAGGTATAAGCAGATCAGGAGTCGATATTGAGCTACATCGCAGTGTTAAAGATACTGGCCGCAGACTGCAGTTTCGGAGGGCTGACGGTCACGCCAGCAGCGACCACTGCTAGCACCAGCACTGCGGGTTCCGCTGGCGAGGGACGGCCCCCTACAGCACAGCGAGAGATGAATCCAATGTTGCTGCTTCTGGAACTAATGTTAAGAGATAAATTTGTGTGCGCCATCTGCGACGAACACTTAGAACAACGGCTGTTTGCGGAAGTCAGCTTAACCTTTCAGAAGGCACAGGACATTGCACTGCACACACAAAGCGCTGCACAACATCGAAGGGATTTGAAAACCAAGAAGTCATATATTCACGAAGTTTGGAAAGGAAAAACAGTTTTTAGACAAAAAGAAAAGAAGGGAGAGGAAACCTTTCGAATCAACGAGGTGTTATAGGTGCCAGGAAGAGCACACACCAGTCACCTGCAGATTCCGCAACGTGAAATGTAACTTCCGCCGCAAAACAGGTTAGATTGCAAAAGCTTGTTTTGTGAAAACAGGACCCAAGAAACATCAATGCGCCACACACAGCATAAGTAAGGAAGATCAAATATCGGATTCTAATGACGAATCTCCAGGAACTTCGCCCGAGTTATATGAGCTAAATGCTGCGAGAGCTTTGAGCACACTACCCAAGTTCATGATTAGTCTCAAGATTGAAAACCGAGCTATGGAGTTTGGAATTAACTCGGGCGCAGCATGTACCCTCATCAGCGAGGACACATATTGTCTGATGTGGCCAAGACGTCCGCCGAGGCTAGACCATGAGGACATAACCCTACATGCCTGGTCAGGAGGAGTGTGAATGCTTGACACGGCAAACGTCTATGTCCTTATGTCACCTACTGGTGACAGGAGGAAGAGGCTGCAGCCCACTAGGAAGAAACTGGTTCGAGGCACTAAAAATTCGATTGGGCAGGATACATAACATCACCAGCCAAGTCTGCAACACCAAGGTACTAAACACGTATGACAGAGTTTTTTTATTGCAAAATCACCGGGCACAATGGCCCACCGGTGCACCTGGAACTGAAAGAAGACGCCAAGCCACATTTCCTCAAAGCACGGCTGGTGCCATTCGCGATGCAGACCGCAGGGGAGGCAGAACTTCAAAGCCAAGAGATCCTCAAACCAATTCGACACTCGGAGTGGGCCACGCCGGTTGTAGCCGTACGGAAGAGTGTTGGCTCCATCAGACTGTGTGGTGATTACCGTAGCACGGTCAACAAAGAAGCAAAGACGGTTGTGTAACCGATGCCTACCTTGTCCGAGATGTTGGCAAATCTGCGGATCAGTGTTTTCAACTCTGGACCTCACAGTGGCCTACCAACAGCTGGAATTGACGGCTGAAACAGCAGAAATGTTTACAACTTCATAAATGGACTGTTGAAGGTCAAGAGAATGCCTTTTGATATCTTAGCAGCTCCAGCAATTTTTGAATGGTTTATGGAGACTCTGCTGGCAGGAATTCCTGGAATTGGAGTCTACTTAGACGACACAATTATCTGCGGGGCAACCGCATCGGAACATCTGGAAAGGCTGAGTGCAGTTTTATCACGACTTCCCCAAGCAGGCGTTAAAGGGATACTACAACGAAATTTCGGCGCTTATTTTTTGGTCTATATGTGTTCAAAGGAGCAGTATCACATCAGACACACCAATAACCTGTTAACAAAGACATGAAAATGAATTTTAAACCGAATTAAACAATTAGCAAAGAGCACCTGGTGGTTGTCGCTAGCACCTCGTTTGTAATGCCCACCAAGGAACTTTGGCAGATAGTGGCAATGTTTGTCTCGCCTCCGGCCACAACGAGAGAAGAGGGGAAGGAGGGACACCCCCCTTCCCAAGAATCCCTTTTGTGTGACCCAGAAGTCGCTGTTGTCCCTCTACAAGATTATAGAAGATTAACCCGTCACTCAGAACTTGTAGAAAGGCAGCCGCTTCAGTGGCTGGAACGACTAGGCCATCCTCTCGACGTCAGCCTCGCCGTAGCTTTGCTCATCCCTAGACGAACCACGTCACGATTGCGTTGGATGTCACGTGGTCTCCGCTGGCTGTTCTCTGATCGCTTGCCAGAGTGGGCTGTTTATAACGAAAAATACAGCCACCAAGCTCAAAATACAAACGTGCAATTGCCACTTACGGATATTGTGGATCATATTCAACCTATTTTTGAACACGATGGGTATATTTCAAATTTCATTGAAGTATCCCTTTAAACTCAAGAGAGAGAAATCCCATAATTGTGCAAATAATCGAGTATGGTACCTAGGACATATCATTGGTGCGGCAGGCATCTACACAACTAATGAGGAGCTGAAAGCGATCATGGAGATGCCAGAGCCAACGAACCGAGCCACGTTGCAGTCGTTCCTCGGGCTTTTGGCACTTTACGATCGATTTATAGCAAATCAAGCCACAATTACAAATGAGCTATATGCTCTCCTCGAAAAAGACGTGCCCTGGAGGTGGGACGAAAAACATTGAGAAGCTTTCCAACGGTTGAAGCAAGTAATCACACAGGACACAGTGTTGGCGCATTATGACGACAAAAAAGATTTGATTGTGTCCTGCAACGCATCACCATATGGTGTTGGAGCTGTCTCAGCACGGCTGAAGGAAGACAGAATAGAAGCACCCATCATCTTTACCTCAAGAACCTTGAAAAGAGCAGAAAGAAACTACTCGCAATTCAATCGAGAAGGCCTGGCAGTTGTATTTGCCATGAGACACCTCCGCCAATATTTTGCTGGACGTCACAAGACCTTAACTACCGACTATCAGCCTTTACTGGGGATCATGGGTCCAAAATCTCCAGTACCAGCATACCTGTCGCCATGCATGATGCAATGGTGGGTGAAATTAGTGGCCTACGACTACAAGCTCGTCTACAGAGCAGGAAAACACAACCAGAATGCAGATGCATTAAGCAGGCTACCACTGGAGGAGACTGTGGACGAACTGCAACCACCTGGAAATGTTCTTATGCTGGAAGCTCTGACTAAACCTCCCATGAATGCTAAAGAATTGGCAAACCAGACAACAGTGGACACCACACTTTCTGAAGTTCTACAGGCAGTCAAGAATGGAAAGGTAAAAAAGATAACAGGGGAGCAGTTCACAGCCTACAAGTTAAAAGCAACCGAACTATCAATACACCGTGGCTCTCATCTGGGGGTCGCACGTCATAATTTCCACCTCTATGGGACCGGAGACATTAGCTCTAGTGCATGCAGGACACAGGGGCTTGGTCGCCATGAAAGCTTACTTGCGCCTGAAGTTACCTCTGGTGGCCTGGAATCGACAAGGAGATTGAGTCCTGTGTAGCCAAGCGCGACACCTGTCAGTGGCATGAGAAGGCAAAACCAAAATGCAGCAGTCCGATATGGGAAAGACTGTACTATCGAGACCGGTTATAACGAAATCAACGGGAATCGGGAATCACTTCGCTATATCCGCTATTTCATTCTAACTGACTTCAGTTATAGCGAAGTAAAGAGGGAATGGGAAATGTGATCGCTTTGCTGTAGCCGCTATTTCGTAATAACTGACTTCGTTATATCCGGTCTCGACAGTAGAGTCCGTGGGATACAATTCATGTCGATTTTGCGGGACCGGTAGACGGGAAAGTGTTTCTACTCATTGCAGATGATTACATTAAATGGCTTGAAGTATGTGATGTTTCAAACATGACCTCAACTACCGTTATCAGCAAACTACGCAACATTTTTGGGGCATTTGGCGTACCACGGAAGGTGGTACCGGATAATGGATCTGCTTTTGTTTCAGAAGAGATTAAAAGCATTTTATCGACTCAATGGAGTATTGGCAATTACAAGAGTGCCGAACCATACCTCTACCAACGGACAAGCAGAATGAATGGTGCAGCAGCTGAGGGAAGCACTTACTAAAAGAGAAAAAAAAAAAGTATTGAAGTGCATCCTAGCATGGTGGCAGGCAAGACACCAGCTTGGATGATGTTTGGACGGGAGTTGCCATCACCCCTAGAGAGACTGGTGCACATTCCCAAGGACGACAGAACAGCTACAATGGAAATTCTGCGTCAATTTACGGTGGGACAATCCGTATGGTTCTTGAAGTTCCCAAGCTGACACACTTGGATGTGTGAAGTCATCACAGAGCGTCTGGGTCTATGGTCATGGATGATCCAGGCAGAAAAAGGGCAAACGCGACGGCATACGGACCACATGCGACTGCAATCACAGATCGGCCGAGTGACACGCCAGTACCAGCCTGGGGCTTGGAAGTCCGGCACAAAGCGGTATCAACTCATTCGTCGGGAAAACAAGGACAGGAAGTGTCCGCACCTGTGTGTATACGCATTTGGGCTAGTACACGGGAAGGAAGAGCTCCCACAAGATACGGGACCACAGCCAAATGAGGGGGAGATGTTGCATATCGGCTTATGCTAGCAGATGGCGGGACATACACCCGCACAGGTAGAGTGCATGGTTACAAAGAGCACGGGGCATGGGATTCGGGGCACCATGATTAAAGGGAACGCTATGAACGTTTGATGGCTCTCAACTGATGTTCTTTCCCGCAATGCATAACACTTTCATCACCTGACCCCGCTCTGTATGCGTAGCTATGGGTGGGAGTGTAATCACGAGGTGAGAGATAGATGTAAGACTGTTTTACTGAGCATGTAGCTTCCACCGCACTGTCAGCTTGGAGGTGAACCAAATACAGTATATTTCCCGTTTTCACTTTCTTAATTTTTTTTTTTTTTTTTTTTTTTTTTTTTTCAGAACGAGTTTACATTGCAGAAGCAACCGAGCACTTCGACCACTGGGTCTGGTTCACACAAACAGCAGAAGAAGAAAGGCAGCAAGAAGACTGATACACAAGCCTCATCCAAAGCTAGGGTAAACTGGCTCCTCTTTGATCAGCGCCCGTCTGAGTGGGACATGGCTGGTTGAGCAATGAGCGCTGACACAGCGCACATCCGAAGACAGACAGCCTTGTGCCTTTGTCGCACTTGGACACCTCCTGAAGGAGTGTCCCCACTGAACGGGATTTGTGTTTTGCACACCAAAAAAATAGTGTACAATTTTCAAAAACCGTATTCACTTCGGTGTACGTTTACGATTTCAGCGAGGACATCAGCCGTGCTTCCGGGCGCAAAACAGCACGACTTTCTTTTGACATTAGTGAGTTGTCAAACGCATGGGGGAGATGGAAGGGACAACAGCTGCAGAGGCCTTGATTGATAGCCAGTGCAGGGGGAGATGGGCTGCGTCCTGGAGCCTACATCATCAGCTTCTTCTAAAGTCTGCCCAGCTAAAAATTCCCATTCAGTCCATTTGGAATTCCAACTGGTTTTAACTAGGACCAATTGGTTTTTAGTGGGTTCCAGTTGGAAGCACACTGGCTGATGGCTCTCGCCAATTCAAATTATTTTTCCAGTTGAAACCTGAATGGATTCCAAATGGTTCCCGTTGGTTCCCATTGGCAGTGACCAAATGGTTGTCTAAGTGTCCAATTGGTACCAATGGAAAAATTCCAATATTAATTTAATGGGAATTTTCAACTGGGTGGTTCAGATATTTGTGTTTGACTGTGACCGTGTGCATTATGATCTTTTATAACCGCTTAACGCTTCGGTGCCATTAGTATTATTCCACCGTTGCTTCAATGTGGGCTCGGTATAATTCTGGCAATGTAATAAGTGACTTTTTCTTAGATAGTGCATAGAATCGATCTTGCATACACTGGAAAACATTCAGTCTAGTTATTCACTTTTTGGAAGTGTTTCAAGACTATGTGATGGATGGTGCCAGCGTACCACTGTGGTTACAAGAGATCCCAGCGCATTCGGTCACAGTCAAACTTAGATGTATGAGCCAGCCCTAGAGGATGCACATGGACAGCCACTCTCCCTTCCAAAAAATATTGTTCCAGACCGGAAGCGTGAGGAAATTTAGCGACCAGTAGGAGTCGTGCACAGCACAAGTCTGAGCGAATTGTTTTGTGTGTGGACAGCTCTTAAGCCAAACAGCCAAAGCACTAGTATCCGAGTCTGTTAGTATCACTCTGATCACAGTTGCTTGTGTCTATTTATTACGCATTGCAAACCATACAAATGGTGAAGCAGGAAGGGCATAAGAAAATAATCATGACCAAATGAAGTCCCTGATCAAATTAGCACTTCACAACTGTTAGATGAAACAATTAAGCAACTCCATATTGTGTCGTTGCTGAACAACCTAAACTAGTGACGGGTTAAACAAAATAACCGAAGCAAAATTAGTTGAAGCCTTTTGACTGATTCCCTAGTGAGAGAACTAAGTTCATAGAGAAAAATATATGCAGACATGTATACTGGGCGTTTTTGCAAAGACTTTCGAACGTCCCTAAAAATAATGTGGTTGAGAGAAAAAAAAGCTATTTTCTTTAACGAACCGCTAGCCCCAGCAGATGTCAAAGATTGTGAAGAACATATCAGTTAGCAAGATAATTACCTTAAATTTACTAATGAACTTTATAATTAGTGAAAATAAACAGATGGTTCCAATTAGAAATGTGATGAGCATCATCGAAAACCCCTAAATCAGTCAATTTTAAGGAGGCTTGAAGTATGTGGGGAGCTCTGGAGTGCACTAAAGTTATCACTTGTGCAGCAGGCGCAAGGCCGGCAATGATAAAACGCAAATGATAAGAATATTATCCCTGTTTTTGCATTGCCGGCCTTGTGCTTTCCGCACAAGTGGTAGTTTTAGCCTACCGCTGCTCTTCCCACATGCTTTCAGTCTTCCTGAAATGACTGATTTTGGGGTTTTCAATGATGCTCAGCAAGTTTCTAATTAGAACCATCTGTTTATTTACACTGATCAAAAAGTTAATTTTTGCTAATAAGATTATTTTGCTAATAAGAATGTTTTTGCAGTCCCTAATGTCCAGTGTAGCAAACTGTTTGTTATTATCATGATCACTGTGACTCGATAACCAAACAACAATTGACAGGGTTCAAAAACGACAGTACAAGAACAACCCTAAAAGCAGTTCTAAACTAAATTAAGCAAAATGTTTAGAAAAAATAACATGAAAGAAAAGAGAATTCTGGTCACCAATCGTGTGAGGGAAGAAGCATTTAAAAAAATATTGGTGCATGCAAAGCGCACTTGTAACAACAGTTTTCAAACAGTTTTCAAACTAAATCCACAAATTCAGGTATAGCTTTTGGTTTGAGAGCATGTGCAAAAATTTAAGATGCATCTGCTTAAACAAGGTTTATGACCCTGCTTATTCTGATTTGGGTGAACATGATTGTATTTGTATACGGTAGTGTGCCACTACTGTGTAATGTGCATTAGAAGTCCCCAGGGTAGCAGTGATACTGCACCGGCTAAATGTCTCATCTGCAGCAGACTCCAGACACCCTTGGGGCCCACTAATTTCCGACCTCCTAAACAACATACACAGACTTCCTTATCTCCGCTTTACGCAACTCTTTCCAAAGGACTGGAAGGTGGGAGATTTCTGCCGGTGCACCTACTCCGTGGACGGCCGGTGCTACGAGGCCAAGATTAAGTTTGTGGATCAGGAGGCCTGCACCGTCCGCTACATCGGCTATGGCAACGAGGAGGAGGTCTACCTCTCCGAGCTGCTTCCGTCGGAGGGAAAGTTTGCGAGGCAGCGGCAGACAGATCAGGCCAGGAGAGAAAATGTACGTCGCTCGCACCCATGTTTCTTTTCTTGGGCCCTGATCTGCACGGCGGGACCAAGGGATTGGGAGATCGCCGCCTGCTGCCCTTGGTCGGTGGTGCAGACCCGGCCAATCACAGCGAGCAGAGACGTCCAGGTCCCTCGGTCTTGCCGTGTAGGTCAGGGCCCCCGGAGAGCTTTTTCACGGTTGAGGCTTGCCGTTGCAGGCAACCGGCTCGCCCACCCCGCCGAGCGAAGAAGAACGTGGCGCGACGGCCGGTCACGCCGCTCGTGTGCCAGAAGCGCATCACCAACATCATGTGAGCAACCATTTGAGCGTAATTGACGGCGCTTGTGACTGCTCACAACCCCTTACCACTAGACAACCTGATGGCGCCGTCTGTCGCGTAGCTCATGGAACACTTCCAATCTGCCCGTATTTAATGCGTCATTCTTTTCCCAAAATAATTCCGGCAGTGTCGTAAGCAACCATCTCAAACTATTCGAAGGTGCCATTTCGAAAGGTTCGGTGGCTTATATTTGTATTGAAAGAAGCGTTTTGTCGCTGACTTTGGTTTGTTTGCATCGCAGGATGCATCGTCTCTTCCGTCTTTTGCAATGCCGGTACCTCCCGTGGAGCCTCTCTTCAGCAGACTTCCTCCTTTCATGGTGAGTGGCTCGTCGATAAGAGCGGCGGAGTCGGACGCCACCCTTGCTCTACCATTCTCCCCTGGAATCGTTGCGGACTGGTGCAGTCTGCAAGATCGATTTGCTTCACCTGCTTCCTTAAAATGAGCTCTAATTTGGGAGTGCTTAGTGTTACCCACTGCACATGCAGCTTAGCTTTCTTTTTAACAATCTGTACGTAGAGGAGGCACAAATTCGGGTTCATACTTGGGAAGTATTTTCTTTCCCAAGAGGGGATTGCACTTAAGGGGGAACACTGGTCTTGGAGCATTTTTTCTTATTTTATGACCAAACTCAATGAAACTGAACAAGCTTGTTCAGCTTTTTGTGCTGATTTCATATGTCTGGTAATTTCTTCATTCAGTAGTATTGTCCTGAAGATAATTAAAACTTGCCTGCCTTTGTTTAGAGGAATGATAGGGAAAAAACTGCTCAACAAAATATCCATTTTAAGACATGGCCAGATACTACGAAGTGTAAAGAATACAATGTTGGAAGTACTTTTAAGATAAACCCATTATTAGTGATTTTACAACATATTGAAGTTCAGCGCTCAATGCATGGCTAACAAATAATAAAACAAAAGATGAAATAAAAAAGTTTCTAGACTTATATTAAAAAATCTGCTCTCAACATTGTATGCTTCACACATTTAGAATCACACTTCAAGAAAGGTTATATTTCTGACTGCTGTAGATGCTGAGATATCCCTCCTGCAAATTTTCAACGAGTCCAAAAATTGTGTTATGTGAAAACAATGTTTTAGAGTCAACTTTAATGCACATTCAGCCTGCATAGACATTACAAAATGATTTATAGCTCAAATATTCATCCACGAAATTAGAAGCTTGGTAGATTGAGAAGAACAACAGCCATCGCCGTTTTCAAAAGAATGCAGTTTTAGGAAGTTTTTGGCTCCAAAGACCCATGTCCCGCCTTAAGCTTGCAAGCAGGTTCGAAAACAACTCGAGTTGCGTGACCGTGTATTGAGAATGTGCATTTCCTCACTTATTATGGCACATGTTCATACGTGCTGTGATGGCATCACAGATGCCATTGTGGGATATACAGAGCATGACACAATTGACACAAACATGTGATAGCTAGTTTTTACTGTTTTCTTTCTTGGAATTCAAATGCTGTTGTGAAACTGCTATTAGGAGAACTAACCTATATGATAAAATGTGATGCTTGCTAATATCCTTTTGAAGTAAAATGCAAGAAGAGTCTATCTTTTTTGCGCCAACTGTGTCGTGCAATACCATAAAATACCGAGCATCCGTCCGTTCCGCAATAAGTGCCCAGCCCTCAATTTTTTGTAACGTTTGAAAAATACACGAAAGACATACTTCTACGTGTTGTTGACCTAGGGAGTGCCCGTCCTCCAGTTTCACGTGATTATTTCCAAATTTTAGAGGGGGCGCTTGCTCGGGATTTTCGCGGTGTACATTTAAACTCTGGTGTACTGATATTGACCAGCGGTGGTGTGTCGCTACAAAACTACCATAATCTCGGCAAAGTAAGACTGTTCCTCCTATAGTTCTAAGTGGAAATAAAGCAACTTAATGCTCCGAAGCTAATAAAATGTGTCTTTGCTGACATTATGCAGCATAATGAGATGTGAGGCAACATGTGACTCTGGCCTGATGGAACATTGCTGTTAATTGCTGTCAATTACATTTTACACTTTCTTCACCTGTGCCCACCTTCCATCATGACGTCAACATTCTAGAAACCTCGTGGTCCGCAGGTCTACTCTTACATTTCTTCATTTTTCTCGATCCAATTTCTGCACTAGAAAATATGGTAATTTCGGCCTTACACCGTGGTAATTAGATGAAGATTATGCCAACCATTTGTTCATGCTTCTAAGGTGATATTTTTCCCAGAGCAGACTTGCTGACATACAGGATTCCCCCTAGTGAAATATGTTGCTGGGCTAGTTTCATATTAGTTAAACAGATAAAATAGTGCAAAAAAATGAGAGGCGTTTACAAATCTCTGTAATGCAAAACTAGAGCGCAGCTCTTGAGGAGGAGAAGGGGAGGGTACGGAGGAGAGGAGGGCCCCTCCTCCTCCTTTGTGCCCTCCTCTCCTCCTCCTCTTCCCTCCCCCTCTTTCCCTCCCCCTCCTGCTTTCCTCCTCCCCTCCTCCTGCTGCTGAATTTTTTCTTGGGTGACGTGACACGAAGTTGTGACGTCATTTTCACCGATAAATTTAGCGGGGTAACTGAGTTGGCGTTGAGGTCACGTAACGTCAATTTTCCCGCTAAATTTAGCGGGTAAATTGACGTCGCTCAACCCGTTTGCAGGTTGAGCGGTGTTGACGTCAAAGTAATTGCGCGCGTTGTATAATGAGACGTTTCTCCGCTAAAGTTAGCGAGAAAATTTTTCCGCTAAATTTAGAGGGAAATTTTCCTGCTAAATTTAGCGGGGAAACGTCCCATGATGCAATGCGTGCAATTACGCCAACGGCGACGACGATGGCGATGCTGACGCCGCTCAACCCAGAAATGGGTGCCTAAGAGCTGCGCTCTAATAAAGACAGGGACATGTATACCAAACTGGAATTGACTGGCTTCCTGTGCTCAGTCTTGGTCTCTGTTGGAGACCGTCCCACAAAAAATGAAGGGAATTAAGAGAAAGGTTCCAACGAGACAAAGAACAAAAAGACCAAAAGTCATTCCATACTTCCTCAAGGTTGCCCACAATGTGAAGGAAGTGGCAAGCAAGTATGATGTGTCCGAAGTTTCTGTCCCAAAAAGGTTGGCTGGGTGGTGCTCCCTCGTCTCTGTTAAAAAAGCAAAACAGCCTTGTGAAAAGAAATGCGTGGCCCCTTACATGGACTGCACAGTGGGTGTAGTGTATGAAATTCCACTGAGTTGTGTAAAGGTCTATGTCAGCCAGACGGAGCGACGCATTAATGATCGAGCATGGGAACACACACTCTCAGTAAAAATATAAATATGGCTCGCATTTTCCGATACATTGCAACACTTGTGGCTGTGTTCCGCGACTTCAGCTGATAAGGGTTCTATTTTTTATCAAGAAAAGTGGGACGTCATGTGCCAGTGACATGTCAATTGTGCTTCATGGAAGTGAATTTCAGTTTTTGCATGATCAGATACCGACTTGATAGCTGTATGTATTACCGCTTTGAGTATGTGTATATGCTTTTCTTTTTCCTGAGTAAAAATAGTTGAAAGTTAGCATTCGTTCTGTTTACTTCGTGTACCTGTCTTTTTTTGCTCTAATTTTATTTGTTTAATGAAGAATTCCCCCCTTCCTGCGCTGATCTTCGTTCAAACACCACAAAGAGTGCGTGCCCCTCAATTTCCCTCAAATGTGGCGACTACTGTAATTGCAGAAGCAGCCCATTCCTCCGCCGCCGCCAATATGCCACGGCGACCTTCCAAACAACGAGGAGGCACTGGCATCCATGCTGATGTCGTGGTACATGACTGGCTACCACACTGGCTACTATCAGGTGACACTCCCGCGAGCGTGCACTGTAGCATGTTGCTGTTGTGCTCCGAATAGTGGGTTCTAAAACTGGATTCCTTCCTGGGGTTCCCCAACATACCCTCTAAGACAGGGGTTCTAAAACTAATACAATTTCGTGGAATGTCGACAGCCGAGGAAACCTTCCGAGTCTCTGCACTGTTGCTACGAGCTCACAGAAGTCCACAGAGCTTGTAGACAATAGCAAACATACAGTACAGTGTAAGTTCGCTTTAACAGACCTTGATTTTGACCGAGATTTCGGTCTGTTGTAAAAGGAGTATGTTATATCTAGATATGAAGTTGAGTCAATAATACGTAGATGAAAACCAACGGAACTTCACAAATCGGTATGTTTTATTTAAATGTCTGTTGTAACCAGGTCTGTTGTAATAAGTATAGACTGTATAACTAGGGTTCCGTGTTTTCGCAGAAATCCAGAAAACTCAGAAAAACACCCGCCGGGAAAATTTTGGTCAATTAAGACTTATCCGATAAACTCGAAATGTTTATCCTCCCCTGCAAAAAAAAAAAGGAAGTAAAAGACGTTTTTTTTATTTTTTTACAATTGGATCAGCACAGATTCAATGGTCCTGGGAAAATGTCACCATAATTTTCTTTCAAATCTTGGACCGTTGTCAAAAGGGGTCTTCCCGCTTGTCTCAACGAGGTTGATTTAGGCCAACAGGTCATTATACATTTGGGTCACGACAGAAGCCGCTCTTTTGGTTTCCAGTTTGGGCCATGCGATTTGTGATTTAGAGAAAGGAGAGGGTATGTTCTTGTAAACAGTGGAAGCTGTGGACCATAGCGATTGTATAAAATAGGGAAGAGGGGCAGTTGAAACTTCTCTATTACATCCTTTACCTCTGCACCTCGCGCGGCCGCGGGCTAGATTGATGGAATAGGACGGGGTGACTACGAGCTTCCTAGCGACTATCTCCAGGAGTTTATTGATTTTAAGGAATCGGCGTTTATCGAAGCAACACTCGTGTGCGACTTCTGTCTTGGGACAAATTAGTATTGCCAATGGCAATGGCATCAATGCCAAATTCAACAGAAGAAATTTCAGTTGATACAAGCGTGTTCTATTTTTTATCTGGCATACACTTACATCCGGTTGTTATTTATTTTTAATAGGAAACACTGCGAAATTAAACTCAGAATTTTGGAGAATTGGGAATCAAACAAATATAAACTTCGAAAAACATCTTCCAAATTTGACGAAAAATAAACACCGAAAACACGGAACCCTAAGTATAACCTCGTTACAACAGGTCTGGTTATAGCAGACATTAGGTTATAGGTTTGTGAAGTTTGGATATGCCATTGACCAAACTTTGCTTATTACAGTATCTTTTCAAGATACATTCGGTTATTATTAACTGTGATTAGTGATGTAAGTACCGTAAAATTCCGAGATATTGCCCCACCCCCGAAAGATAGCCCACTCCTATTAATGGCTTGATTTGCTATAGTATTTGTTTTTAAACACTGAGAGATATCCCATTTCTTAGTATTAGTAGTAGCGTTGGGACCAATGATGGCCTCAGCGTAAAGGCGGCTATGTTAGCTATGGCGGGATATAAGCGAACGTTGCTGACTGGGAAGTACTGTAATCTTTGCTTTGTTGCTCCTCGTCACCACAACAAGCTTGGAAGGGACACACAACCTAAAAATACCAGGATTTTTTAAAACTTTTTTTGGTCATACATTGAAAGTTATCCCATATCCCACTCCATATTTTCACCCACTTTGCTCTTGATATTAGGTGGGCTATCTCCCAGGATATTACGGTACGTCGCCATTCTTTTATGGTGGGCTCTATGACGGGTCGTTATTTGGAGCGTTGGGCAGCTTTGGGTCTGTAGCATGGTGGCATCCATCGTGCATACTTTTGCTGCCATTGTGCTTAGGCCTCGTGAGCCCCATTAGCCTGATACGACCTAAGGTGTGCAACGACAACAATCGTCATTGGCAGTTGGGCGCGCCGTCAGCTAAGGTTGAGCAAAGCTGTTTTTACCATGCGGTTTATTCAACTGGTGCCATCTCTGGGGAATGCGATCGCTCTAATGTTTTTTAATTTCGCAACCTGCTAATTTCGGTCTCGGCCAGTGTGTCTCGAATGCACAGCTCAATAAAAGACGTCTATACAACCTTTTAAAGTTCACGAATGCAGCTCCACAAAAGATCACCATCTTCTTTCAAAGTAACGTTCACTAGTTCCAAACACGTTTCCTTCTAATTGCCATTTACATTTCACCATTTTTGCTGGTTAGGACAGACCCCAGTCATAATTCACGTCAAAGTCGGTAGTAACAGTATCTGTATTCTGCGTATTCCTCTTGGAACAGACCACAATCTTCATCACTACGTTTGACACAAAGTTATGGCTCAATAAATGGCTTGGGTCCTCTAAATAAAATAGCGCCTAAATGGAAGTTATGGTTCCATAAATGACTTGGGTCCTCTAGAATGGCGCCTAAACGGAAAAAATACTTCACCTCAAGGTAGGGGTGGTCGAGAAAATTTGTGATTTTGGGGAACCCTTGAGGGTACTTTGGAGGACCCTCAGGTTCCTAGGTACCCGGTTCGAGAACCCATGGTCTAGTAGACAAATCTGAAATAGAATGTGTTACTTGTTATGCAGTCGGGAAATGCTTTTGTTTGTTAGTTGTGCAATTTTTATGTATGTGCCTGCTGTAATATCCCGAAAGATTCCCTTCCCTAACATCTGAAGCAAATCACGTGAAAATAAGGAATAAGCTAACTCTTATTGTGCAGTAAAAGAAGTTAAAAAGAAAGCTAGTTTTAGATTTCGTGATTTGCAAAATTCGTGATCACTGGGAGGGGCTGATAAACCAAAGAGTGTCCTTCCCAGTCACCAGCGTTCGCGTATCTTTCGCCCTGCCTAACTGAAGTCGTTTCTGTCTATGTCATCGTTAGCCAGGACCTTGCAATTATTATAAGTGGGCTATCTTCCATTGTTTTTTTAAAGATAGCATATCACGCCAAAAGTAACGGTGGGTTATTTTTCAGGGTGGGACATCTCTGGGGACACTAGGGTAGTTTTTAGGTACTGTAGAGCAGTTTATTAATGCAAAAGCATTAACTGTCCCATGGAACAAGCCGACGTCATCAGCTTTGAAACCGCGTCAAACGGCGTTTTAATTCTTTTCTCGAAGTAAAGCCAGCTCCCAGCTACGAAACCTCGCGGAAAGCCTAGCTAAACAGCACCTAGTTTCCTCAGTCCCAAAGGAGCAGAGTAAAGCTGATGGATTTCGGCTTTAGTCCCATTAGCTGGCGCGCGTCGACGGGGCTCCCATTGGCCGCCGCGCGTCAGTTTTTACGACTGCAACCCTATGGCGCTGCGTGTGTGCGAGGCAGCGGCTCTACCGCTCCACGCCCGAGGTCGGCGTGCCGAGGACCGCGGGCGCTTGACCATCGACACAAGTAAAAAAAAAAGAAGGGAGCGGAAGAGCGGCGTGCATGCTTTCGCATTCATAACTCATAAGAAGTGCTTAGGTGTGCCTCGAGCCTTTTTTTGAAAACTCATTACTTCGCGAATTTTGCAAGAAGTGGTTTTCGGGAAAATTTCCCAATTGGGAGTGGTATGCTATGTATTCTGTACCTTAGGGTGATTATTTGCAGTATCAGTATTTTGCCATATTTCTTGAATTGCTAAATTTTCAGAAATTAGGACGCTGTTAAAATTTGGCTGTTCGAAGTACTTTATTTTGTTGTTATTGCTCCCAGTATGGGCTTAAAATTTCTTTTGGAACTTTTTTGTGTTATTTGTTCTTGGGGTCTAATAGAAGTGACTTGGTTTAACCCCTCAACCGTTCAGGACAAGCATAGCTCGTCTGCTTTCCCTGGTTCACGCACTCAACCATTCTGGACGAACCAGGCTCGCTCATTGCTTAGTGTGGTTCACGCAGTCGACCGTTTTGTTGCAGCAGGCTCTGCCAACAAATGGCAGTGCTGAGTATTTTTAAATTTTACTCCCATTTTGTTTGTGGCTAAAAACTTTATTTTGAAGGCAATAAGTATAAATTTTAAGACAACAATTAAGCAGCTGAGGGTGCGAAATTCCCCAAAGCTAAACACTCTTAAGGGGTTGATCTCTCCACCTAGTTGGGTTTTATTGTCAAGGTTTTGTCACACCAGCTTTTGCAGCAGTGTGCAAACTGAGATACTAATATATTAAAGCAGACTGCTTTTATGGGCTGGTTTTTAAATTCAGAGCAGGGTCGGCAACCTGCAGCCCCCGGCACAGCTCCAAAAAGCCCCCAGCCCCCCCCCCCCCCCCCCCCCCTCCCCCCCACCCCCACCCCCATTCCTGTCGCTTACTCTTGCAGACTTGGGGACCACACGGCAGTTTTGGTCTCAGATGGGGTTAGATAGGAACAACGAGCACTTCCAATAGACTACCTGCTAAATCTCCCAATCGTCAGTTCTTTAGTGATTGGTAATTTCGGCCAGTTCGATGCTTACACACTTTTGAGTGTAATCCGGAGTCACCCTGAATAAGCGTCATGTGGATTTCAGATACCTGTCATATCACTTATATAATGTCTCGTCAGTGTCAGCGTTTTACACACTGCATGCAATCCACCCTTCAACCTCGCTGAGCTGCAGAAATCTCTTACAATATTATAATTCTCGTGATTCTTGTTTTAGCAGGAATTGCTTCAAAAGCCAAGAATTCACAACAACCAAGACCAGGATTTAGCTCAAAGTCAGCGGGGCTGTTTATAGCGTTTCTAAGTTAATATTAGCATCTTTGCAGCTGTAGGAGAAGATAATATTGTAAGAGATTCCTGCAGTTCAGCCAGGTTGAAGGGTGGGTGGCATGCACTCTATCAGAAACACCAACATTGACGAGAAATTTTAAAAGTGATATGATAGGTCTCTGCAATCCACACGAAGCCTATTTAAGATGACTTCGGATTATACACTAAAAAGTATGTAAGCATAGAATTGGTCGAAATTATCGATCACTAAGGAGTAAGGAACTGAAAAAACACCATTCCCATAATTCCTCGAGTGCGGGCCGCCATGCTTGGGGGTTTAGTAAATGCTCTATTGGCATTGTCTGGCATCTCTATACTTGGGCAGAGAACGTCCTCACTTTCTTTTTGCCTTTCCTTTGCCTCCCCCACCCCACTGCCACCACTTTGCAACTTGCAACTTGCCGTCCGGCCCCCTCGGGCTTCGTGATGACTCGGCCCGCTGCTACGAAAGGTTGCTGACCTCTGGTGTAGAGCCTCACGAAAAGGTGTTACAAAAAAAAAGCATAACACAACGAGGTGTCCATAAAAACACTTGGTCCCTCACCAGGAATTTAACCACGGACCTCTTGCCTCATAGTCCAGTGCTGTACCGTTGCGTCAAAGGACTTGCTTGGATTAATGTTGTTACAGATGCTGTTTACCAGTGTTATAGTGCCTCAATTTCAGGAGGGCCATCTGATGTCATTTGATAACATGATGACTATAGGCCATAAGCTGTAGTTATGTGATGAGGTGACCACTGTGTCACATGATGCACCAGAGTTGTGTGATCACATTACCTGATCATGTTATGTACCGATCAGTTGGTGTTATGCGACGTCACCGTTATGTTGCAGTGTCGTGCGACGCCGTCGCATCACGTGACACAACATCAGGTGGTACCACAGCTGGACATCACATGACACGCTGATGACATCACGCGACCACCATCTACTAAATTTAGCGGGTGAACCATTCTTGTATGGAGTCAAGCTATTTCTTCCCACTAAGCTTCAATCTCTTTTCTTTTTTTCTTTTTTTCAGGGCCTTCAGGAATCTAAGGCAACCAAGAAGGAAAGGTGCTGCTGCAAACATAGTTGTCACAAATAGTGGTACATTTGCGTCTTCATCTGATGTTAAATACAGTGTTCCTTTTGTTCGCATAAAATGTGATGCCTTCCTTTTTTTTTTTTTGATCCACTTGAAAGAGTGCTTGCAGTCATATTTCACTTACCGTAAAGCACCAAGGAGTGTGCCCACCCCGCTTTCACTAAAAACTTGGTTAATCTAGACATGGGCGCTTGTCTGGTCAAATCGGTTGACACGAAGGAACTCTGAAGGCAGGGTGAACGGAATCGGAGAAAGCGTATTTATTTTCACACAATATCCCCGTCTTCGCTGTTGGCGGTCTTTTGGCCGCCGCAACGTGGTGAATTTTTGGCCGGTGCTGAAGCTTTGGAGGGGGTGGGCACTTGACATAGCATTTTCCGAAATCCCAAGTTCAAGAAATGTTAATAGTAGTGGGTGCTTGTAAAAAGTGGGCGCTTTGGCTGTATTTTGCGGTAACTTCTACGGAAATGTCGCAGACAAGTGTTTTTCGAAAGCGTTTGGCAATGCAGTTTTTGCGATCGCTTTGCATTATCAAAACATTTTCTTGGGACCATATGGATGAGACCAGACCAAGGTATGATGGTTGCTACAATCATTGGCTGGCTTGACATGGAGAAGCATGCTTTTCAGTTATGTATCAAACTTCAGGCATAACCATTTGCCTTTACCTGTGCCCCCCCGTACATGAGCTTGAGTGGTACGAAGGCTACACTTTATCAAGCTTGTCCACAAGGAAATATAAAAAAAAAAAAAAAAAAGCTACTAGGGACTCGGGTTAGAAAAAAAAAAAAACTGTGTTCTCAGAACCGGGTTTCTAGGAACCTAAAGGTTCTTTAAGGTCCCCTGGGGGTTCTCTGAGCTCGCAAATTTCTTCAACTGTCCCTACTCCTAGTAAAGGGTTTTTTCATTATTTTTTTACTGTTAGATCTGAGTTGTCCATTGGTGCATTATGTGCCAAACACTTCGTAGTATCTGCATTGTTAATTACTACACTACTTTATTGCACCACCCTGCAACCAGGAGGATTTCCTCCGGCAATCACTCTTGGAAGAGTGGCTGTTTCTCGAGATAGAAGGAATTTAAAGAACCTTACTCCGAGACCTTTGGTCATAGGCTATGAAAACAGACAGAGGGGCAAAACACGTGGTACGACCAAAGTGAAAGCGCTAAACCGAAGTGCCCTCAAGAGAGAGAACAAGCACAGGAGAAATTTTGGGAAAGTGCACCGTGATTTAGCCTTACTTCTTGTTTGCCTCGGTGCAAGCGGCGAGACGAGGAACTCTAGAGGTCCAGCACATTGTCGTTGTCATTCACGATGGTTGTGTGCACTTCATTTTCACTGCAGGTGTTGAATCAACAATGGATCCTAATACTTCCTAATTTCGGTTAAGCTTCTGTCCTTGTTACGTTGCTGCGGTGCAGGTGTCGGTGCATTGTACCATCTTCGGTCAATAAATGAATAGCTCCACACTTCTAGCGCACAAATTCTGTCCTAGTTATTACCGTGCGGCATGGTTTTGCTGCGAGTGCTACAGAGTTTGCTTGTGCCACACCAAGCTGGGTAGTACTGGTAAACAACTATCGGCACTTGCAAAAGTTGCCTTCTGGTTGGTGTAAATTTTGGACAGTTGCCAAGGGGCCTACTAAAAAAACTAAGTTTGTCTGCTTCTTGCTAAAGAGGTACGACTTCATGGCGCTGAGCGCAAATTGAAGGATACGAAAGGCACGGTAACATGCTAGTCGTAGTAATGACTATGTTGCCTCTTCTACGGCCATTGAAAATTCACTGGTTTCTTACAAATGAGGATTCAGCCTTTGAGAGAAATTGATGCAGCTTTGTCAGTTCGACCAAACGCAATGAAATGCGGTACCTTTACGGGAACTTGGTGAAAACAATTAGAAAAGGAAATGGTAAGGTGATGAAATGGTTTTACTATACCGTACACACATTGAGGACGACATCAGGAACGACGTTTAGGACAAACTCTAGGATGATATCAAGGACGACTTTTAGGAAGGACATCAGGTCACGTGAGCTTTAGCTACTGGCGCCTACAAGCTTACACTACCAGCGCTTATGCGGCTGGGGCTAACGCTTCACCGCAGCCATGGGCGTTTATACAGGTCCTCTGTGATGTCATATTGTTGCCCGATGGCCATCAAGGAAGAACATTGTCCTGTGACCCTACATCACGTGACTATGTAAAGTGACATCAGTGTAGCCTGATGTCACGGCGTCAAGTGACATCGCAATGCCAGGTCGGGGTGTCGTGCGACGACCATCATGCTGACCCCTTTAAAATACTAACGACATCACCATTCGAGGCCGCGTGCCAATAGAGCTAGCCCTATCAGTGCTGTGCATTAACCACTTAGAAGGGTACATTGTTTCTGCCAACTACCTACCGGGCATGCTACAACAATTGGGGAACTCGCAGCCTAGATGATGCTTGTTACCCTTTGAAGGGAATGCCTCATGCGGCGGTGAAGCTTCGTTACAGGCGTGGCCGTTCCCTCTTACCTTTGCTTTCTCATGTTCGGAAAGGCACGTCTCAATCGACTTTCTCATTGTATAGTTCCGCCGCAGCTGAAAGGTGGAATGCAAAAACCTTTTTTCTACCCGGAGGAAAGACCGAGTAATGTATTAAACAGGAATGACGTGAATGTGTCGATGTTGCATCACACCAGCAAGGGTGTCGAGCCGAATTAGGAATTTTGTTTCCGCTTCAGCTGGCCCAAGCAACAACTTTACAATAAAGATTTTGCATAGCTTCCATTTTCCTGCCACAATGCCTCGATAGAAACATCCAGACGTCTTCTTTGAGACACGACTAAACTATAATGTGATTTACCGGAGTGCTTGTGTATACAGTGTATACTAATACCGTAATATCCCGGGAGACAGCCCACCTAAAATCAAGAGAAAATTGGGTGAAAATAAGGAGTGAGCTAACTTTCGGAGTGCAATCGAGAAAAGTTTAAAAAAAGCTATTTTTAATATATGTGTTTCTGACAAACTTATTGTGGCGAGGGGTAGTGTAGCAAAGATAACGTCCTAGTCGGTAACGTTTGCTTATATCGCGCCATATCCAATTAGCCGTATTTACGCCGAGGTCATCATTGATCCTAACACCACACTTACTAGGAGTGGGCTACCTTTCAGTGGAAAGAAAAAATAGCAAATAAGGCTAAATATAGGCGTGGGGTATCTTTCAAGGGTGGGGCATCTCAAGATATTACGGTAATCAAAAATGTGCAAATAAATGAAGCATACTCAATCGAATTAAAAAGAAATTCTACAAAACCACCGGAAGACAAAATCTTTGGCAGAGCCATAATTTTGATTCCAAGTCTCCCAATATTCGGTTGGGTATGCTAACCACTACACCACTCTACCCCGTCTTTCTGGCGTTTCCCGTCTTACTAATGCACTGAAACAAAATGCATCCAATCAAAGGTATTCTGGAAGCTGAAATGCAGTACGACGCCCGCTGGAACGTCGAACGTGCTCGTTGTGCTCCAGAATTTCTCTCTCCGTTTGTCTTGCCACGTGTACATGTATTATTTCTTGTTTACGAGCTTTGGAGACGCGGTATCAGCTACGAGGATCAAGAGCCACGTTTCAATGTATCACGGGCACTTTTCGTCATCCTGCGTGGCCTCCAAAGAGGGAATAGTCTGAAATATGCAGGTAAACGAATCATACTCGATTGAACGAAACAAATTCTATGAAGTCGCCGAAAGAAAAATTATTGGCTACCTCGAGATTCCCCTTTACCGCAAGCAAGGTCCTTGCTTCTCTAGCAGTTGAACACCAAACAAAGGGCAAGTTGAGATGAGACAATTTTATTTTCCTTCGTTTTCAAAGAAAACAAGACATACCACAGATTGTCGTGGCTCATTAAAGAAAAGAGAAACACTAGTTCTATGCTTGTCGAAATTGGTTGACATGGAATAAATTGCAAAATGCAAAAAAATGTTTAAAAAAAAAAATGATGCAGTGTGGAGATGAATTTAAATTTCCAGCACAGAAGAGAAAACAGTCTGTAGCTACACTTGCAATGTGTCGTAATTATGACTCAGAGTCCGCCATTCTCTAAATCAAAGATTTTGGCACGCACGGCATCTTGCGCCACGTGACCGATGTCGTCTTGCAGGTCGTTTCCCTTTCCCTCTTCACACTGGCAGATAGGACCAACCTCAAAAAAGCTCTCCTGCCTGTTTGCCAGCAATACCAAAAGCCCTCGAACAGCAGAGTGAGAAAATGGCAAACTACTCTGTGCACCTCTTCCTGACAACCAAATGGATGGGGCTTGCTCCTGTCACTGAACAAACACGGAAATTCGCTCAAGAAACCAAAGGTGAGGAGGGTGTGCAACTTTTAAAGGACATCTCCATTCCACTTAACAAACAATAACATACATTGTTAATTAGTCCAGTTCCAATGCAGCAGAATATTTTTACCCCACTAAAAACGAGAAAAAAAGTATGAAACGTCTCTCGATGCTAGCAAAACTTAAGGAGTCTGGTCATACCGCATTCTATACACAAAAAACATCTACACGAGCAACACTGCAAGAACAGGCTCTTCATAAACTTTCCAACAGACAACTTTGACACGTACAATGTCCGCTTGTTTTTTGTTTGCGATTTTTTTTTTTCTTTTTGCATACGATGACAACAAGATACTACAACTGAATTCACACTTTGAACTGCCCAATGGCCTGTCACTGACGGTCCCAAAGGCCTGCCTCCTTCATTTTATTCTGAAAGAACCTGTCCAGAGTGTTGGCGCACTTGTAGTATTCTGTGTCCGGGCTGTTGTATGCTCGGCAGTTGCTGAAGATCCTCTGCATGTCCGCGATGAACAGGCGCTTGTGGACGTAGTAGTGGTTTTTCAGCCGCTCCGTTATCGTCTTCAAGTCTGGCCCACCGAAAAGGAAGTGAATGCATTTCAGCATTTCAGGGAGGTAACGTAGTATGCTTGCTACAACTCACAAGGCACATTAACTTTGAGTGCCAGGTTTTTTTCCCACATACCAAATGCGAATTTTGGTCTTGGTAACACTGTAGCAGGATTCGTGAAGGATATTTATTTATCGAAAAAACATAGTTCTATAGGCAAAAAAAAAAAAAAGTCTGCATGCCTCGGAATTAAGAAAATATTTCTAGTATTGTACTTGTCGAAACCCGGTACTATGCAGTGGCACCTTGAGGTCACTCTTTTGGGTCGCCTTACTCGGCTTTTCTTTTATTAGAAACTGTAACTTCCTAGTTTTCACAGTCGTTGAATACAGAGTTCATCGGTAATTTTTAGATCTCGGCGTTCACCACAAGGCGCGAAACTGAACTACATAGATTTGTCATCATGTAACAACGAAGGAGCACACCAAAGCAAAAGCTGCCTAAGCAAACATTAACACATGCTGTCACAAAGTGCCACAACCAGATAAAGCATTGTTTTCATCACTTGTTCATACACGCGCAAGTCAAGAGTGGCAGGGAACAGACTGAAACCACACAAGAGCATACTCGGGCATGGCGCTCGCAAAGTTAAAGCCCGGCAAAGCCAAACATGCTTTGTGGGGGCCTTCCAACATCGCGTTTCCCGATTGATTCGGTGTCAAGGGGTACTGTAACTGTCGCCTCAAAAGCGGCAGCTAATATTTCAAACAAACGTCGAACAAGGAGAGGAGAAAATGAGCAAAGGTACAAAGCATGAAGTGTATGTCGGGCTTTAAGGGGGGACATGGGTCTCTGGAGCCAAAAACTTCCTAAAACTGCATTCTTTTGAAAACGGCGATGGCTGTTGTTCTTCTGAATCTACCACGCTTCTAATTTCGTGGATGAATATTCAAGCTATAAATCAATTTATTATGTCTATGCAGGCTGAATGTGCATTAAAGTTGACTCTAAAACATTGTTTTCACATAACACAATTTTTGGACTCGTTGAAATTTTGCAGGAGGGATATCTCGGCATCTACAGCAGCCAGAAATATAACCTTTCTTGAAATGTGTTGCTAAATGTGTGAAGCATACAATGTTGAGAGCAGATCTTTTAATATAAGTATAGAAAATTTTTTATTTGATCTTTAGTTTTATTACTTGTTAGCCATGCATTGAGCACTGAACTTCAATATGTTGTAAAATCACTAATAATGGGTTTATCTTAAAAGTACTCCCAACATTGTATTCTTTACACTTCGTAGTATCTGGCCACGTGTTAAAAAGGATATTTTGTTGAGCAGTATTTTCCCTATCATTCCTCCAAACAAAGCCAGGCAAGTTTTAATTATCTTCAGGACAATTCTACTGAATGAAGAAATTACCAGATATATGAAATCAGCACAGAAAGCTGAACAAGCTTGTGCAGTTTCATTGGGTTTGGTCATAAAATAAGAAAAAAAAGCTCCAAGACCAGTGTTCCCCCTTAAATAGAAATTCATTTTATTTTTTCTAAGAAAATTTAATCTTCATACGTAGGAAACAAAGTTTAGCAGCATTCCTATGGAGTCAAAACTATGGAGGCTGGCTAAATGCATTTTAGCCAGTTATGTTTCATTATTCTAAACACCTAAAAATCAATTTAATTTGCAAATTATTGGGTCTGTTCTTAAGCACCACCTTATACTGTGTGCTGTGAAAGACAGTTGAGTTTTGCTCACCCATTGGATACTTGATGTGATCATAGTAGTCTGGAGCTTCTGCTTTCTCCACTGGCTTTTGGAAAGGCCACGCACTACTGTGATTCTGAAGACATTAAAAAAAATATGATGCCAAGAGGCCGGTAACTTACACACATACCAAGTACAGCTACAGCACAAAAAAGCAGACAAGGCCTCTCAAAACACGAGACATACCTTAACTTGTATCAAAACCGACTTCATGGCCTGATAGAGTTGATCGGGGTCAATCTGCTCTTGCTTCACACTGGTAAAAAAGAAAGAACATAATCCACAAGCCATTTGCTGTTATCCCGCTAAAATAGCTAGTGCAAGGACGTCGAATAAGTCGACCGCCTAGGCCCTCGAGGCCTACGCACTTACTATTTCTTGTCTGGCTTCCAACCTGCCTCACCTGCATTTCAAACAAGGAACAGTAATTTAGCCGATGGGACACGACGCAAGGTATGCAACAACGCAGGACAACGGTCCGAGAACACTCACGCAGTCCTGGAATGCTCTCCAAGGGAATTTCTCTGACGCCCTCCTTGAAGCAGGGGACGCCGGGGTACACTTTCTGCATGTGTTCCTGCTGCTTCTCGATGAATTTCTTGACAATCTTTGAAAATAGAAGGAAGGCATAAGTGAAGCAGCCTACTATGTTAAGAAACATGCTCTCCCTTGAGCGTTTTTTTTTTTTTTTTTTTTTTTTTGTGGCTAAATAAATGTCGGCAAGTTCAGGCTCAACAAAGCTTTGAAAAATGGCTTATGCAGCACAAGTGATTTTTCAGCATGGAAGCTTCACCAGCTTTGGGGAAAGGAAACCACGATTGGAAACAGCAGGACACACACTCCCTATCTAGTCAAGAAAAGAAAACAATTGGGGGATTCGTGACCGAGTGTGTTAATGTGCCGCAGCTCAGACCGCATGGAGCGAAAGTTCACGCTGCAGAACCCAGGGACCCCGCGTTCAATCCCCACCCCTGCCTGTCTCAATCTGGATGAATCGTACAAGCGTGCCTTAGTGTATCACTACAGCGTAAAACATCTTATTAAAAAGACACCGCAATATTTACGTTGTTAGGCACAATTTAGGTGGGGGTAGCCCTGCTCTAGGCCCTGCCTGGTGCTTACAAAACTAAGCACCTTTTCTCTGCCATCATTGGTTGGAGAGATGATTGATGTGTGAAATGTCGTTTGTAAAATTGTCTCTCCGTGCCATAATAGTATCTTAATCGATAATATTTTTTTGTTTGAGAAACAAATAATCTAGATAGTGTCATTGTTTTCAATAATATCCCAAGATGGCCTTTCAGCTTCGGTTTGAAACGATAACAAACATGGCTGCCAGCGTCTGCGGAGTGATGAACAAGAGCAGCTCGTCGAGCTCATCTATTTTAATGAGTGCGAGTCGTTCTGCGTTCACTGAGGTGCTCAGACGAAAATCTCCTCAACCAATTTAGTTTGCAGCAAACAACTGTCGCCAGTACACGCCTTCGGAAGCGCTGTTGGCGTTGTGCGGGTGCTTGGGCTTTACAAAAAATATTTAAAAAAAACATTCAAGAGGAACCTTCCTTGATATGCCTTTAAATTAGCATCGATTTTCCATAAGACACTCTTCTTCATGGAATCAGATTTTTTGAGAAACTATGATTTTCCTAACAACCAATATTAACATGTTTGGTTCTTCCCATTTCAATTTTTGCCGTGAATAGTTCCTTGAACAAGATCATAATTTAAGTCAGTATTTGGGCAAATCCCCAATCATAGTTCCTTCTTTGGCAAAATTACAAACAACCTAAGCTGCAAAAAAAAAAAAAAAAAAAAAAAGGGGGAAGGGAGAACAAATGGGCCTATGTCGAGACCCCGCAAGTGTATATCTGGAGGTTAGACGATCAAATTGGAGGGAAAAGAAACGTATGCTTGGCGGCAAAAAGACGAGGTTCGGAAAATCGGTCGAGCCGCAAGCCTGCGGGAGTTTGGGGTGACAATCACCAAAAAACTGTCCTACGCGAAAAGCACTCGTGCCCTCTGCCAGATAAAAAAAAGAGAAATGCTTTAGAGATGTCGTGCTTTGCTACATCTGGTGTGCGCTGTGGGCAATGTACCATACACGGCAGGTATGGACACAAACCTCCCCATCCTTCCAGTCAGCAGGAGCAACTTGGCCAAGCAGGGTCACTTAATTTTTTTTTTTTTATTTACTTTTTTTAGACAATTTTTGCAGCAGTTTTTTGTGCCTTTCCTGTATCAGGACTCTGGACAGTTTCACAAGTTGCGAGACGATTTGGTGGTCGTGTTTGCAATATTTTTGCACATAAATCTGAGAACTTAAGAGATCTACACTAAGCTTAAGAGATCTAAACAAATATAAACTGTCCCTCGAGATTCGGCGGCAATTTCGTACTGAGAAATTGTTGTTCCATGCAGAATACCCCGTGAAAATTGGCCCGTACAATTTACGACAAAATGTAATAATGAAATCTCGTTCATGGGCAAAGTATGGAGATCAGAAGCTAAGTTTTCAGACACCAGAATTTTTGGACCAATATCCAACTATTTTAGACTTTCTAAATAGTGCCAGGTCACCCCTTAATTATAAGAAAAGTGTGACAGAAATTTTATTTACAGATGAATAAAACAACGAAAAATATGTCCTAATCTTCTTGAATGATAAATGCATGTGATAGCACAAAAAAAGTGTAATGTTTTAAAGATCTATTGAAGCAAAATGTAATATTATAGGAAACTAGGCCACCTCTGTTTGCACCCCACCGGTTGTTTCTTATTTGTTTTCTTTTGTATTTGTTTTTTACTGTATAGCAGTGAAGGCATGTCACTCTCGTGTCTCTTGTTTTGCTACCACTGTTGCCAAAAGGGTGGTGTGGCCTCATCAGAGTGCCTCTAGCCATGTCCCCTGAGACTTCCTGTAAGGCTGTCTCAAATAAACTCATACAAACAAACCGTAACGAAGTTACAGTTAGTTCCGAAAAAATGGTAACCCTGCTACAGTTACAGGCTATTTTCATTAAGCAATCACGAGTTAGAGTAACAAGCTACTGAAAAAAAAAAAAACTAGTTACCGGTAATGCATTACAAGTAACTAGTTACTGCCCAAGACTGCTCAGCTTATAGGAAAGCATACACGCCAGGTGTGCTCAACAGACCGCCAACCGATTTTCGAGCAGACATCGTAGTAAATGGTAGAAACTGCCACCAGATGTACAGACCTCCTTCTGCTTCCTAATGACGTGGGTGAACGCTGTGTAGGATATCCGCTCGTCCAGTTCGCAGCCCATGAGCGTTGCCCCCTCGTAGTCTTTGATGTACCCCGTGTAGACCGACTTGGGCAGCTTGATGTCCTTTGAGAATCCCTGAAACAAACAAAGGACAGGGATTGGCACCACCTGCCAAAGGCCCGGATGTCGTCTGCAACGAGAGCCGGAAAATGGCGAACCGACCTGCTTCTTGAAGTAGCCAATCGCGAATTCGTCCGCGAAAGTCAGGAAGTGCAGGATGTTCTGCTTCACGTGATAATCCTTCAGGTGGTTCATCAAGTGAGTCCCATAACCCTAGGAAAAACAAAAACAGTGCATTCAGTGTTGATTTTGCTATTATAAGAGGCTTAGTTGAAAATAACAAGGCAGCATTAGGCCACGTTAAAAGGCCTCTAGTACAACAGCGTAACTCGCACCCCTTTTCTAATGCCTCAATGTTTCATCAAATGTCACGCATTCTGTACTTGCCGACAGGATTAGAATGGACAGGAGTTTCAGTTGATCAGAAAGAAACACCCTGTTGCCCTCATCCCGTCAGTGACTACAGACTAGCACATTAGACAATGTACCAGATTGGCTGGAGTAGTGTCTAAACTGTGAAAACACTTGACTTGGTGATTGGAGCGGTTGAGAGAGCAGGGTGCTAAGGGAACCTTGAGGGTATTCTGAGGGCCCTGGGTTTGAACCCAGTTTGAGAACATCCACAATTACCGATTGCGCATCTTCAACTGTGACAGTCATGCCTCCCGTTTACGTGCTGAATACCTAAAACGCTGCTTTGCAGCCTCGACGACCAAAGAAACCTTTTCTCTGGCCGAATTTCTTGTCTACTTTACCTATCCCAGGGGTTCTCAAACTGCATTCCGTGGAACACTGGGACACTGGGAACAAGCTGGTCTCATGGGTTCCACAAGCACCCCCCCCCCCCCCCCCCCCCCCCCCCTAGTTTAACTTTCCACAGATTGAGTTGATGTTGCGAGCGAAGAAACTTCACCCTTCAAACTAATATGTATACCGTAGAATACCACGCATCCACCCACTCTACATTAAGTGTCCATTCCCAAATCTATAAGATCTGAGAAAATATGCACAGTACATTTCTATGTAGAATTGATCACTGGACAAGCGCCCATCCCCCATTTTTTTGCGATTATCTCCAAAGTTTGAGTGGGCGCTTGCCCGGTATTTTACGGTATATATTTTACACTGTGTCCCAGGTTAACCCCTCTGCCTTCTTATTCTGTCTGCAGTCATCCATTTTCTCTTATACTGTCAATGCACTAAAACTGTCGGCTAGCAACAAGGGGGGGTTCCCTGAGACGAAAAAGTTTGAGAATACCTGCTCTATCTGTTACTAAGTCTCACTTTTAACTGCCCAAGTAATCTTTACACTGTGGGGAAACGTGTCACAAAGATTCAATGAAAAAAAAAAAAAAAAAAAAAAACTATGCAGTCACAAAACCTGCTACTCACCTTGACCTGCTCGTTGGAGGTGACGGCACAGAAAACGATCTCCGTAAAGCCCTGACCCGGAAACATCCGAAAGCAAATCCCGCCAATGATGCGGCCTTCCTTCACCAGAGCAAGCGTGCGATGCTTCCTGCGGTCAGTAAACACAAAGCGTCCTTTCGTGTAACCTTGTCTTCCCAGGGCAAAGCAAAAAGCTACTCTCTTCAACATTATATTTAGCCCGTAGATTTCTTGGTGTTTATATGTAAGAAAAATCGGCGCATTTCCGTTACCCCCTTCGGACGGACTCTACAAGGGGAGGATGTTTACAAAAACAGTCCTAGCTAAAGCAAAACATTTCAAGAAATCCAAGGTTTTCAGTTTTAACCGACTTGGTATTTTTGATGCCAACGGATGTCTATCGCAGTCTCCCTGTTGAAACCGGAAAGTCCGTAACTTAGTCATACTGAACCAAACTATACTTTGTTCCACCGCAACTCGGCAAAGAGCAAACGCTACGTCCCCCTTTGAGCCAATCAATGCAACAGAGGCGAAACGCATGACAGCCCTTACCATTGTTACAGGGGCGAGAGCATAACCCAAGTAGTTAGAAAAGAGGGGAAGGATTAACCTCCCTCTTACCCAGACCCTGTTCCACGTGTCCCCAACATGTCCACGGACCCTTTGGGGTCCATGAAGGTCTTCTTGGGGTCCTTGAAGCCTTTGATCATCAATAAAGCAGAGCGCTAAAACCTTTTTTTTTTTTTGATGCTGGCTGTTTAGCAAAACTATATAGGTAGATGAAACCATGTGCACCAAGTGAGTAGGGTAGCTTATTCCCTGTTCCAGGCTTACAGAGATTGTTTGCACACATCTAGTTTCCTTTATTTACCTGTTTGTCATTGCTATAGTTCAATATCATCCCGTCCCACCCCCCACCCCACCCCTTGGGCAGATGGGGTCCGCCATTACTTTTATTACTTTTCCCGATCCAGAAGTGGTCCCCGAAACGTCTGTGGTTGAGAACCACCACCATAGAAGATTAGCCCCTCTCTCAAAATTCGTACGAAACCAGCCTCCCTCTCCCCGCCGCCCGTCGACAGCACAGCAGTAGCTAGAGAGTTAGTCGCGTGTTTCAACTCTGATACACCGATTGGCTCACTGGGACCATAGCCTAGGCCATTTGTCAAGGTTTGGCAAGACGGAGTATGGGAAGAGGGGCCTGCAAAGGAAGACGCCGTGCGCTCTTGCCAGCGGGCTATTACAGCACTACGGATGGTCGCAGAGTCGCTGCTCACGGGTCAAAGACGAGCCTGGTGATGTACTCCTTGGGCATCCTTGGCAGCTGGTGGGAGAAGACGTTCTGGAGCCCCACCAGCCATACCAGGGACTGCTGGTCCACCCGCTTGCTCAGGGCGTTGGCCACCATGTGGAACTCGATGAGCCCCTTGCGTTCCTCGGCACGCGCCGCCTCGTCCCTCGCCGCCAACTCCGAGAAGCCGCTCGTCTGCGCAAAAATGCCGCGGGCTCCGTTGCAAGCGCCACACATGTCGCCCGTCCACAAAAACAATATTTATGCATGTCTTAATTGTATCTATGTGTTGCGAATAAGCCAGACATATGTTGTGTCGGTGTGCAAAGTCAACCACTTTAGAAACCCAGGAACTGCAGACAACGACCGGGATAACTTCCTGCCAATCATTTCGGCCCTACTACAGTCTAAGCTTGTTATAACAGACCTTGATTTTGACTAAGATTTCGGTCTGTTGTCAAAGCAGTATGTTGTATGCAGATATGAAGTTGAGTCAATGGTACATAGAGGAAAACCAACCAAACTTCACAAATCAGTATGTTATACCTAAATGTCTGTTGTAACCAGGTCTGTTATAAGGAGCTTAGACTGTAGTTTCGCCTCTAAACGAGGCTGGCCCACAAAACATAACAGATGTCCTTTTACGATCTCTATGTTTCTACCTTCTCTGTTCTTCCCACGACGTCACTCCAATTTTGTGTAATCCCCCCCCCCCCCCCCCACCAAAAAAAAACAAAAAAACAATGGGCCAAAGCATAGGAATGAGAAAGCTTGCACTCACATCTGGTCCCAACATTTGTTTGGGGTCTGTGATGGTGGCTACCAGCTGAGCAATCACCTCTTCAGGAAGATCACCTAGGGGGAAAGGTTGAACACCATGTTATACGAGAAAACATCAAAGGGATACTACAACAAAATTTTGGCGCTTATTTCTTGGTCTATTCGTGTTCAATGGAGCATTAGCACATCAGACACACCAATCTCTTGTTGAAAAACACACGAAAAGGAATTTTAAAACAAATCAAACAATTAGCAAAGAGCACCTGGTGGATGTTGCTAACGCATCGTTTGTAATGCTCGTCTAGGAACCTTGACAGGTAGTGACGGTAACCGTCTCGCCTCCGGCCACAACGAGAGTAGAGCTGAAGGAGGAACTACTCTCTCTCTGAGACTCGCTTTTTTGTGTCCCAGAAGTCGCTATTGTCCCTCCACAAGATTATAGAAGATTAACTCGTCACTCAAAATTCATACAAAGACAGCTTTGGAGTTACTTGCGGTGGCCTGCTCACTGGTGAGCTTCGACTGCTTTCAGCGGATGCTACGAGCCATCGGGGCCTATCCAGGGCCGTGTGAATGTCACATGACCTTGGAGAGGGGGCACAGCAATGCGCGGAAAGTGTATCATGGGCTACATTCACACAGCGGGATTGGCTGCGATAGCTCACAGCGTCTGCTGCGTCCAAACGTAAGGTTCCAAGACAAACTACGTCACAATTGCAGCGGATGTGATGTGCTCTCCGAGCGTTTGCCAGAGTGGGCCGTTTATAACAAAAATACAGCCATCAGGTTCAAAATACAAGTGTGCGATTGTCATTTACGGATATTTTTGATCATATTCAGCCTATTTGTGAACACGAAGGGTATATTTCAAATTTCGTTGAAGTATCCCTTAGAAGTGAGGTTGTAAGAACTGTCACAGAGGAAGGCAATGGAAACAAAGCATGAGGAGCTGCAGCTGATGTCACAACGGGAAGCTGGCTAACAAACGTAAAGTTAAAACACAGGTAGGCTCATGAGTATTGCACATGGAAATGAGAACAAGAGAAATGGGGTGAACTAATAACCTAGTTACACGAGCGTTCTTAGCTGTTTAAGCCAACGACAGTTGAGTCAATCACAATCGGCCAGAGTTACACGGCGGCGCCAACTGTCATTGAGCCGCTAACGATCACCGAGTTCAACTGAGCTGGCCTACCTCAGTTAAGTGATGGAAATTTGCCCCAACAGAGCTAAAGATTTTCTTTTTTTTTTTACATTGTATCTACATCGCTCTGTGGGCATTATTGTGGGGGTTCTAGAAAAATTTATGGCAAGTGGAAAAAGAGAACATCATTATCAGCAATGGACACAATATCTTCCAGGAGGTCGCTACACTCTCACAGTTTTGACGAAGAATAAATTAGCAAAACCGTCAGTCCTGCAAGTTAGAACAACAACCTTTTTAAAATGATCACAACAAGAAGAGATGTAGGATGGCTCCATAAGATAGGTGGCTTTATCAATTCCTGTTTTGTTGTGAAAGACACAGTGAAAGAATTTTAGCCTTAGTTTTTTTCTTCTATATTCGAGTGTTTCCCATCCCAGCATAGCTTTCATATCTCTAACACTAGCATAAAAGTCCCAGTTGTTCAGTACAAAATGCGCTGCCTGATTTTGAATTTCTTCTAGTTTATTCATAAGGAAGTTGTCATAAGGGTCCCACACAACACACGCGTAATCAAGGATCATTCTCACCGAAGAAAAATAAAATGTTCCTTTAATGTTTCGTGAAGCGGATCTAAAATTTTGGCAGATAAAATAAAACATTTTACTAGCCTTTCCGATTGTATGTTCTATATGGCTGTTTCATTTTAGGGAATAAGCGAATAGCACTCCTAGGTAGACATACTCGAACACAGTACATAAAACAATCCCGTTGATTAGGTAGCTTTGAGAATCGTGCAGCTCATTTCTCGAGAAACGAATATGTTTGCATTTACTTAAATTTAGGCTCATTTTCCATTGATTGCACCAAGAAGATAAAATGTTTATGTTGGTTTGTAATATGGCAAGGTCGTCTGACATGTTTATTTCTCTGTATAATACGCAGTCATCGGCGAACAGTTTAACATGAGACTATATTTTTGGTGATGTCATTTATGTATGTGAGAAAAAGTAAAGGCCCTAAGACACTCCCTTGTGGATCACTTGACGTAACCCTATTTGATGTGGATATAGTACCATCTAAGACAACACGCTGCTCTTGACCTTCTAAATAATTTTGTATCTAGTTCAGGACGTTTGGATCTATTTTTATCAAAACCAATTTATAGAATAATAACTGATGTTGGACTTTGTCAAATGCCTTTAGAAAGTCTAAGAACATGCAGCTGACATATTTCCTGCTGTCTAGTGATCTGGATATATGATGATAAAATTCTACCAGCTGTGTGCTGCAAGAGTAACCGCTTCAAAAACCATGCTGTGAGGGGGGGAAAGGTAGTTTGTCAAATCCAGGAACAAGTAAAGGTTACTATAAATAATGTGTTCAAACAACTTACATGAGATCGATGTTAATGAAATAGGGCAATAATTTTTAACACTGGCTTTAGGTCCCGATTTAAAAACAGGTGTGACATTCGCCATGTTCCAATCCATTAAAACTTCTTTAAGTCTTTAAAGATTCACTGAATACAAAAAAAGATAACGCGCTACAGATTCACTGCACTTAAGAAAAATAACAGGGGAAATGCAAAGATGGCGGCATCCACCGCATTGCCACCCATAGCGAGCGCCAGCGAAGCACTTACTATTGCGAAAGATTGGGGGAGGTATCTATAAAGTACCGTAACAGCAAATATTGTCAGAAGAGGTATCATTCGGGCCCAGAGCTGCCGCTAGAACGATCACGGCACTTTGCGGAAGCCCATGCTCCGTGAAAGTGGCCATTGCGTTACTAGCGCCGATAAGACTCGTTATGACTCTCTTGCTTAAATTCGTATGAGATTCTAACCATTGTTCCTTTATTCTAAAAACAAAAAAGAAGTTCATTTTCTTTTGTTTTAATCATTAATATTAAATGAAAATTGTGCATGAATTCTTTTGCATCTATTCTTAAAAAGAAAAAGTGACATCAATCTTGGTTTTGATTTCACCTGTGTGGCTTAACACGTATCTCAATTGGGGTTGTTAGGCCTATGTACCATGTAACACCCGAAAACTGAGATGAGCTCAATGACAGTTGGGAGATGCCAATCATCATTGGATGAATGACAGTTGACAGCGCTCGAGTAACTAAGGTACAGGACGTTGCACAACAAAGAGGTGGAAAATGCGAGACAGGGTGAAACAACTGTTGGGTGACAGGATTACTGCAATTACAGTCATTTGGATGATGGAGAGTTTAGCTGCACTGACCTTCTATCCTGCGTCTCTTCGCCTCCGGTGCGTGGGCTTCATCATTAAGCCGCTTCTCTCCTGCAAACATATTCGCACGGGAAACGTCACACAAGGTGGAAGCGTCCTTAAAATGTTGACTGAGAAACTGGACATGGTAATGGCGTGTTCAATTTTGAAGCAAATTGTGCTTCAAATGTAGTAGGTACCGCATAGACCTCTACAGTTGATGGCATGTTCGAGAGTCGAGCAGATGTACGATTGAGATTGCGCCTGAAAATATACGCTGTGCGACGCTGTTAGCGCAAGCACGTCAGTCCTTTTTCACACTTTTTTTAAAGGGGTATTGGTGGGCATCAAATTTTACCACTTAGGTTAGTACCCAAAATAAATAATTTACCACACTAGTTCTTTTCGTGATGGCCCTTTGATACTAGGAGATCACAAAAAAACCGGCAACAGCTTGTTTGCATAAACACTGTTGCGCTTAGTGCTGCCAGTGTCAGTTATGCATGCCCCCTTCAGACTGCCTTGTCTTGCTGAAACCCTGCTTTTCATGGCAATCAATTAAACACGACACAAGGACTAACACATGGCTTCCACTTTCACGGCGCCTACAATGCGGGGCCACTTTTACAGGCACACTGAATTGTCGATGTCCCTCGTACATATTGGGTGTATGCATGCACATATGGTGTCCTACCTTGGGCATCTGGTATGCTGATGGCCTTGGAGGAACGGCTAGACGTATGCGTTCCTGGGCTCAGGTGCACCGTGGTGTAGCTGTCCGCACCGGAGCCTGGTGAGCTGGAGACGGCAAGCTTCTCAAAGCCTCTCGAATGGGCGGTCCCGTTGCTCGTGGCACCTTGAAATTCGAGCGAAGAAAAATATATGGCAAATCTCCAGCTCCAAGGAATCACAACAAATGACCTTAGTGTACATTAGGCAAGTGTATCGGTTTTAAACATTTGTTTCGCACTGCTAGCATATCCAGGGACCTGTCTGTACATTAGAAGCCCACGACTTGCATAATTTTAGCAGAGCTCAATACCTAGGTATGCTGTGAATACAAAAATCGTGTCACCAAAAGACCTAGGATACTTGACTAGGTACTACTACTTTATGTCAATGATAGCTGCCATGGTAGCTGCCATTCTAACCCTGGCAAACATCACTCCAAATACATGCAATCAAAGAAGACTGCAGGTCACTGCCGCTCTCACTTCTGTCGGCGCTTGTGGCATTTGCAGGAGGGTTCTGCTTGAAGTCGGGGTCCCAGATCGGGGAGTTGCTTCCATAGACCTCCTCTTCCAGCACGGACAGGAATCTGTCAAGCAGCAAAACCGCACAAGGAAACAAGTAAAGGCTCTTGGCCCCAAGAAGTTGGTGCATGTCAGTGATGTATAAATGCTGGTGACGGAGAAGTGAACACAAAAAATCTTTCGGCACTTTGCTAGACAATCGGAATCATTTAAGATGCTAAGCAGCCATGCAGAAGAGAACTGGCCTCTCGCACAGTTGAGCGAGACAGGTGGTCAAGTCACCTTCTAATCATATCACCCCAGTAAATAGTGAAATCAACCTACCTTAGAACACAAAGTTATTCATACAGTCCAGAACATTCAAAACAGTCCCAAAAACGACAAACTGTAATTCTAAATAAATACATTGATAGTGGGACCAAAAAATCTCAAGTAAGGTCAGTCGTGTAGTACAGGGGTTCTCAAACTTTTTGGTCTCACGGAAGGCCAGGAAGCCTAAAAAACTGCCGCGGAACACTCCCCCCCCCTCTATATTTGCCAACCGAGAAGCAACAGATGCACAATTGTAGGCAATTTTGCTCGTGTTGCTTCCCATATGTCCCCACAATATCAATCGCGATGTCAGTACAAAGTGAGATGAAGGCGCTTTGCATGGTCCTGCCGCGCAGCCTGCTGCGGGGGAGGGAGAGAGGGGGTTTGCAATTTGGGTGTTCGCGGAACCCACGAGACCAGCTCGTGGAACCCCTGTGTTCCCCGGAACCCAGTTTGAGAACCCCTGGTGTAGTAAATGCAGTAAAAATATAACAAACACCACAAATAAAAAGGAATCTGATATAAGAAAAGTGGGTCAGACTGGATATATGCCAAACATTTCAAAATGGTAAGGTGCTCAGGCCAATATGCACATAAAAAATCAGCAGAATATTTATTAAAACTAAGTTGTAAGTGTTTGTAAGCCTTGAGGTGCCATAAAAAACTTATCTCACCTTTAGTCTCTTTCGCACGTTAGTGACAGATTCGAGCGCATGCAAAGAACCTCATAAAATGGTTGCATCATATTCAAGCAGATGCAGTAAAAGCACATTTTACTCAAGTCTGATTCACTAGGTAGAAACGAGGCTACAAAAAGGTGAGATGCATTCCAATGCAGGCTGCTTTACTACCACTGTAAGGTGAAATAAAGATATAGGAAGAGTATGAACTTCTGCTCACAGTTTTCTCAAAGTTGCTACATGGTTGCTATCAAGGTACATAGTAGCCATATATGACTCGAGGTTCTCCCCACAGTGGGCGTCAGTGGTTTTGCCGCCCGCCAGTCTGGCTGACTGCCCACCGCTACTGTGTCCAACCTTCCTCCATATTTTGCAGACTTGTGTGGCACTATGCAAGAGAACTGCATAATCCCGGCAAACAAAATCACTGCTGCGTGGTGGAAAGAGTGCAGAGAACAACAAAAAGGTGCAGCAATCGCCCCCTCCTCCTCCTCCCATCAGCACCCTGGAAATTGTAAATGTCCTGAACTCGAGAATTTACAGAATTTGCGGGGAGAACCCCAATTGACTGAATGAGCCAGGCTCCTTTCTGGAAGCTCCGTAGAACAGTTCACTCCCTCACGACACTCCATTCCCACAAAATATCCTAAAAACCAGCACTATATAAAAAAACAGCAAAATATGAGGCCATCAACATAACCATTATTTACAGTACACCAACTCTGCACCGGCAGAGAGGAATAGGAGCGAAGCTTGTTCGCCACTGCTTTTTAAAAATTTCCGTTTAAAGATGGCTCTAGGCCACCTTCAAAGGCTTAATGATTCCTGCCACCTGCAACACAATTCCTCCGCCTAACCATCAGTCCATTTAAACTCGCTCGGTTGGCGCTGTCTCGGACCATGAAGGCGTCTCCGAACTGGTCTGTTTACAGAGTCTGCATTTGCGGTCCCTCGATTACAGTCTTACGATGTCATAAAAAGGTCATGCTGTTGTTTGCAACAGACCTGGCGATGGCACAGCAGCAAAGGTCTCTCTTCAGCTTTACCGTTCACAGAAACTTAACTAGACACGAGACAGAGCGATGAGACGGCAGCGACGCTCGCGTTCGTTTCTCTTTCCTGCCGCGACCTGTACGACCACACGCCAGGATCATAACTTTCAGTGGCATGACACGCCAACTCCCGCGACGTTGTTTGTTGCCACTTCGGGATCACATTTGATGCGTAGCGCCATATCCGAACAAGGAGCCTCACCGTGGGAAGTGCGTGAGGACGAGCGTCCTCTTCTCGGCAGGCATCTTGTCCTTTTCGGCCCTGAACTTGTCCAGCAGCTGGCGACGCATCGTCTGGAACACCGACCGGAGCAGCGTCCTCCCGAAGATCATGGTGGTCTCCGAGTGCGGCAGGCTGTCGCAGAACGCTGGCACGTGGCAGAAGCACAGCCACCTGCGAGTCCCCGAGAGCCGATTTGTAAGCGGGTCAAGCCTAGGGCGACGGCTAAGGTCTGCTTCGGATGGGGCAATTTTCTTGGCAATTTTGGGGTTGCTGGCACGTTGTTCCCTAGATCCTCATGCTGCGACGTAAATTGCTGGAATCATGTCTGGCTAGAGACGGAAGAGCAGCTCTGACCACTCTGAGACATTTGAAGCGACAGCAGCCAATCGGGGATGCAATGTTTTCGCTTGACGAAGTGTTTAGTTATCATTGTCCCCACCATCGTGGTGCTGATGATAACACTTGGTTCTGGTTCGCAAATGATTCTTTTTGCGACAAAATTGTTTCAAAGATATGAGGTGGTAATCTTGATATCAGATAAAGATATAAAAACGCATTATTCATGCGTAAATTTGTGCATAAATAGTGCACAAAAATTACAACTTTAGCAATGATGACGAGACAAAGTAATTTGTGGTTCGGCGATTGCTGCTTGCGAACGCAGGAGGACCGTGTCACAAGAGATGCGACATCGAGACACTGGGAAAAACTACTCCCTCTGAAGTAGGCCTAGATGTCCTCACAGCTACTAACCACTTGGTTTCAGAATCGTGCCTAGGCACTGCAACAGTCCTCGAAATGGCGGCCCTGTGCAGGAGGATCGGGACGAGGGCGGAAACGGTACAGAGAGCAAACATATCGGCATCCTTCCTTTTGGTACAACAGTGGTTCTCAAACTGTGGTCCGTGTACCCGCAAAGGATTATGGCAACATTGGTAGGGTACACAATGATTTGGGGATCGCTTCATTGGCCACTGAAGAGGGTTGAAATTGTCGGATCGAAAATCTTTACAGCCACAACAGAGTTTGCACGAGTCGCATGGCAGCACTATTTTTGTGCTACGCTGTCAGGGCTATTGTAGTTTTTGCAGTGTTCCAATGTTGTCAAAGCTACTTGCACAAGCTTGTGACTTCGTTTGACGTCTTCTGCATACGAATGTGCCTGTAAATGTGGCACAAGATGCAGCCCTACCATCTCCCAGCGATCCGGGGCTGCAGCACTGTGGAAACTATGCTAGCCTGGACAACATGGCGCAGAAAGTCGACGTCAAGCATAAGGACTTGTAGGGTGCCATAAATCAATATAGTCGGTGACAGGTTAAGGATACAGCAGATGCTCTGCCTCCAGCCTTTGATAACACTTCGGCACACGTGCACTCAAAGCCTGACGAAAGCTAACGAGCCTGCGCACGAGGCAAAGATTCTACTGCAAGCATTCTCAGCCTGTCACCAACTATAGTTCTGCTGTCCGATGCTCGTCCTACCACGAGGAGTGCCTATCTCTCTTAAATGACAGATGAGAAATTCCTGGTGTCAACACTAGCCGCATTCGATTTACCTGCACGGGGACAGAAAAGTGTAGATAAATCGAACGCAGCTATTGATGTAACAAATCGTCAAAGAAACCTTTAGACCTTGTAGAGGTAAATGCACATGCTAAGGGATGTTTTCCACATAATTATGTATCAGTGGACCACTCAGATCTGCCGACATTGTGCATAAACTGGGAAAACACTTTACTCGGGTGAAAAGGCGGTCAAGGATGCTTGAGAGCCGAGGGGAACCGCCGAGGGTTCTTGGTGGAACCAAACTCGAGAACCCGTGCCCCGAAGCCCGTCCTGCCCCGACAGCTACCTGGTGTAGTTGATCTTGTAAGCGGCGGCGTCCTCGTTGGAGGAGTGTTGCCGCTGCTGCTTCCTGGCCGAAGGGGTTTCCAGCTTCCAGTGGTTGAGGCAGTGGAGAAACATCTTGGCCAGGTCGTACATGGTCTGCCACTCCTTCTGCGACAGGTGCCCAAACTTGTGCATCACGAAGTTGGTGACTGCCTGTCGAAAGAAGTGACAGGGAGACGTTGGACGGCAGTCGTCGGGTGTCGTCGGAAATGCCGGCCCTCGTCTTAATCCCCGTAGCTCAAGTTCAAGTTCACAGCCCTCGACGACATTCCTAGGAATGTATTACATGAGGGGAAGCGCGAAAAAACAGAAAATCTAAAACGCTTTTGTAGTATACTCAGAAAGTTCACAAATATACATAAGCAAAATTGGAACTGGGGAAACAAAGTTAGACATAGTCATTGGTGGTTCTAGAAAGAGCAATATAATGAGCCAAAGGTAAAATAGAAGGAAATCACAGAAGTGGAGTCAAGGCAAGATACAGGTTCCACGAAGACATTTTTAACATGAAGAGCAACGTTCGCACATGCACGTGAGCTATTTTAAAGGGGCGAAGTAAATGTAAATGCAAAAGTAAATGGAAAATAAAAATAATCACAAAAGCAGAGCTAAGCATTTCTTGTGAAATACAGAAGGATCCCATTCGGTGGCAACTTTGTCAGTAAGAGAATTCATGTTTGTAATAGAGAGGGCAAGAGGTGAGAACTTGAATTTATTAGCGCGACCGAATATTGGTTCAATTTTTAGGGAGTGATCATGACGTAGGGATATGTACGAAAAAGCATGCATGAATGTGGCAAAGCGTGCATAAACAATGGCACGTTATAATAGAACTTGCTGGACCTGTTAACACCACGGCTGGTTCACACATCTGCACTTGGGTCTGACTGATCATGTTGTGACTCCTTGCGTTCCCCTATGATGCGCTGCATGGATCTCGGTTGCCAGGAAAATCATCTCGTTAAAAGCAGACACAAGAGGTCACAACACTTTGTCGTTCGGAACCAAACACAAATGCCTGAACCAGCCCTAAAAACTAACTGCAATCGAAGGTCTGTACTGATTATCGCGGAGTCCTCTTTGACTAAAGTGAATGCCAGGGGATCATGTGACAATGGTCCTAACTGTGTATCAGGTGGTTAATTGAGAAAAAAGACAAGGAACGAACAGAAATATAACCTTTTCTGAAATGTGTTGCTAAATGTGTGAAGCATACAATGTTGAGAGCAGATTTTCTAATAGATGTCTAAAGAAATTTCTATTTGATCTTTTGTTCTATTACTTGCTTGCCATGCATTGAGCACTGAATTTCAATCTGTGGTAAAATCACTAATAATGAGTTTATCTTAAAAAGTACTTCCAACATTGTATTCTTTACACTTCGTAGTATCGGCCCATGTGTTAAAAAGGACATTTTGTTGAGCAGTTTTTCCCCCATCGTTCCTCAAAACAAAGGCAGGCAAGTTTATTATCTTGAGGACAATTCTGCTGACTGAGAAAATGACCAGATATATGAAATCAGCACAAAAAGCTGAACAAGCTTGTGCAGTTTCATTGGGTTTGGTCATAGAATAAGAAAAAAAAGCTCCAAGACCAGTGTTCCCCTTAAAGGGACACTGACAGCCCCCAAAATTTTTTGTTAATTTTTTGCCAGGTGCTTCATTATGGTGTCGGAGGACTACCCAATTAATATTTTGCAGCAGAGTAGCGTACTTTTTTAATAAAGCCAAAAGACACAACTGCTCGAAACCGAAACCGAAACCCGACGGAGATCGGAGAAGTGGAGAAAAGAGAGTGAGTGGCGGAAGTCACGTGGCTACACCCGACTGTGTGGTTTTTTTTTTCCTCCTCTCCGTAGCAGACGACACGACAAGCGGCGTACGGGAACTGTTCGCCGTGCGATTGTTTTGCAGTTATGTTTGTTCCGCTCGTTGTTCTGTACTCCAAGATGAGTTGTTTTGTACATTGAGGAGTCGGAGATGAGTAGCGAGTGCCCGTGGTGAATTTCCATGATCGGCTCCGAAAAGAATACACCCAAGATGTTGCGTGAAGAGCTGGCTCACATGTCCTGCGTCCGAAAAAAAGTGGCATTGTGCGACAGAGTTTCCGAAAGATCAACGGGATCGGGACCAATGGCTGGCTGCAATTCCTGTAGAACATACACGGGCACCTCGAAACGCGGACGCTACCTGACTTATATGCTCCTTGCATTTTGTGGAAAGTGATTACATTGAGTTCGCAGGTGTCAAAAAGGAAATCCCATACCATTTAATTCAGCGAAGTGTCGTCCACAACATTTGTTTGTTATTTTTTTGTTTGTTTCTTCAGTGTGTGAAAAAAAAAAAAAAAAAAAGGTTTCACAAGGGATTGAACTTGGTCCTACCATGTGTGAAGCGGACGTCTTTCCCACTGAGCTACTAGGCCACCTTTTTACTGGTGGATCTCTTTCCTTAGTAATAATTCAGCCGGTAAACTATAAGTTGTAAAGTTTGCTGCCGATTTTCCTCTAGCAAAAGCACTCCCGGGTCGAAGTCGGGAAGCACCACGCATTGGCGACATTTGCACCTAGTAAAGAAATCGTACGCGTGCATATTCAACTCGAAGTAGACACGTCGTGCTTGACGTTTGCACGAGCGATGTCTTCAGCCACGAGAATGGAGCGACTGCTCGGCGACGTCTTCGTGCAAATCGGCTTGGTGGTCGGGCGTGTCGTACGGGATGAATACCAATTCTTTTGATCAGTCCCGAATTTCTCTTTTAAAAGTAGACAGAATTTGCCGGTACCGAAAACGACAGTTCTGAAATAGAGGTCCCCCGCCCGTCGTTCGCTGCCATCGCCGTTCCCGCGAGTCCCACGATACGCGAAACGACGAACGCACAGAATGCTTCCGGTTGTCTGTGGAACTTTTTTTTTTCAATCAACGTATTTACAGCTTTTTAGAAGCCACAAAATATGGGTTTCATATTTTTTTCTATTTTTAATACTGAGTGTGTGCTTTCAGTGACCCACGACTTTGATTAAATTTGGTGGTCGCATCGATACCTTAGAAAACGGCCCGTGACCGCGGAAAAAGAGGGTGAGCGAGACTCGAACCAGCCAGTTCTTGATCGGCGGTTTTCGGGCGGAAAGAAACCGAATTTCGAGCCGCAAATTCTGTTCTGGGTAGTTGAGCTCTCATATGTCACGTACAACTAAAAACCTCGGCGAGCATAAATACCCTGTCAGTGTCCCTTTAAGAGCTCTTTTTTTCAGACATTTTTTGTGCTTACCAGTTTTTATTTTATTTTAGTTAATTATCTACATCATGCACCACCTTGCCCGAATTTTGACCCTTTTTGTATTTTAGTTCTTCTCAGTACAAGCATGAAATTGTGTTTGAGACATTGTGTGGGCTTGTCTCTTACTTTTTTTAAATATTTTGTTTCTGCTTTGTCTTGGGTTAATTAAAGACAGGGTTTCATGTTTTGGGGGTTTATTTTTCTTCAAATTTAGGGTTTATTCTTCTTTTTGAAATCAGCCTTTTTCGGTATTTATTTACAATGCCAGGAAAGATATTATGCTTTATATAGCCTCGATAAAGCATAAAGCATATAAGAGCTGCATATTTAAAAAGTTGAGACCCCAAATGACCCCCCCCCTCCATTCTCTTTTCTTCTGGGGTCTATGGAACCCACGCCCGTGGCCCAAATACTTGAAAAACGTCATCCCAGTATCGCAAACAGAAGGAGACAGGGCAAGGGACGTGGTTACCAAAGGAAAAGCAACCTCAAAGACAATCGGTAAAGATTTTGTCCAGGTTCACAAAAACAAAATGCTAAGAATGCTGCAAATAAATTTTTTATTTCTTATTCCCCAAACATGGGAATTTGTCAAGTCGAAGGTAGGTTCAATTCTGGTATTTTTGGTTTTCCCCAGTTTCGGGAAAACCACTTCAGGGGTTATTTATGGGGGTTTATCGGTATTTACGGAAAACACGGAACTCTAATTATAGAAGTCACACTCCAGCTTGATTGTGTTTTCATCTTTTCTCAGTCTAAGAGTGCATCTCTATTCTTTCATTAAGACCACGACAGCAGCAAGCGAAAAGCCACACTGCAGAGAAGATATTGTGAGAGAACAATTTGACCTTTGCGATGCTTGGCTTCTCGAAGGGAGGGTTTCCAAGTGGTCCTTCTACGGTGGGGCGTGTCATCAAGAGGATGCTCTTGCGCAGCAGCTGCAACATCAAAGCAGTCTACATTGCCCAACCCAGCCAGCATTAACTAAGGCACACAAGGAAACAAAAAGACAAGATTTCGGCATTCCACAGTTCCCAGCAAGGAAGGACAAATTTCCTTTTAAAACTCAAGCCAGAAAGTGTTAAAACAAAATAAAGGAGTTGATCATAGATAGAAATGGGTACAGCATCAATTCCGCGACAGATTAGTCTTCTGTGCATTGTATGTTGTACTTCCACACTGGTTCCAATATGTGCATGCTTTACAATGTATCTACTAATTAGCAGTTAGTACATTTTTTTTTATATTATATTTTAAATATTTTACAGCCCTCGTAGCTCAGACGATATCACTTGCAGTGTGATAATCAAAATTGTTTAAGAAGGTATGGACGAGTGGTTCTCAAATGGGGACTGCAGACCCTTTGGGTCCTTGAAGGCCTCTTTAAGGCCTGTTCACACTCTTGCAATTGAGTACGACTGAGAGAGACGAGACCTGTTGAAACCTCTTAAAATTTCTTAGGACAACAGAACACACTGACATTCTGGCGCCATCTATACGGTGACCCTGAAACTGCATTTCACAAGAGCGAAGGTTTTGAGGGATTTCCAAGGTCAAATGTGTGTAATACCAATAAGAAAGGCTCGTTTATAACGTTGACAAAAGTTTTTCGAGCCAAGAAAGAAAAGATAATGCATGAGAGAAATAGAAAATATGCCAGACCACCAAATTTACACTGCTACCCAATAGATGATGCCAGTGTGTCCTCTCGTTGTAAGAGGTTTCAAGGCACCCAGTTCTAAGAGGCCGCATGAGTGTGAACGGGCCTTTAAGGTTTCCAAAGTCCTCAACTGTCAGTCAAGCCGAGCAATAAAACTATTGTTTTATTGATGGTAGGTATCCTACCAAGCTAAATGGACTGAACAATGTGCATCGAGTGAACAGTGTTGATTATTCTCTATTTGCAAGCTTCAAAGTTGCTTTAAAGCTTACTCTAGTCCAGAGGTGGCCAAGCTGTGGCTCGCGAGCCGCATGTGGCTCATCGCGTGTTAAAGTGCAGCTCGCGGCCCCCTCCCCTGCCCCTCCCCCACTCTCCCGGCCCCCTCCATGTCACACAAGCACTTTCCCAAAGAAAGAAATAGAGTGTGTTTAAAATCGAAAGACAGGTTGCGGTTTCGTAGTCTTGTGCTAATGCTACCTTATGTGCACTTGGACTGCTTTTGACTCAGGTAGATTGAAAGTAGTTCGAGTTTTGTTTATTGCTCTAAACAAAATCCCTCCTTCCCCCCTCCCCCCCCCCACCCCACACCCCGTGGCTCTTGGAAGTTTCGTGGTTTTGTTTGTGGCCCTTAGGCCGGGTCAGCCTGGCCACCCCTGCTTTAGTCCTTGTAATTTCCAACACCCCCCTCCCCTGCAGCGGATGGGGTCCTCCATCATCTCCGCCAATCCAAAAGGGGTCCAAAACAGTTAACTTCCCTTAAAAGGCATTTAGTGTCTTCGCTGCTGTGGTTCAATTTGTCCCATGCAGCAAGTACAACTGCTAAATCACGCAGCAGTGATTACATGAATGCACGCCAGTACAATGAGCGTCCAGATGTCTACTGGAGGAGTGGAATCCAAACCTATGATCTCCGACCCTGTGCAGTCGCCCTTGCATCATATGCTACATAGCCGCAGAGCGTTACCACGCAAAGTTGCCAGTACAATATTACCACCAGAGCAACTTGCGAAATGACATGGCACATAACACGCTTTTGACCCTGAAGGCCTGCCAAAGCAAAGCACTCTCACCATGCCTGTCTGATGCTACCTCTCAAAATGCACCGACACGCACACAAAATAAAAACATCCTGCCAGCATACCTTGAACAGATAGAAGTAGACTTGTTTGGTGTCTGCATCCTCCTCACGATGGACGCACATGAACATGTTCTCAACGTCCACCACGATCCCGAGGAGTCTGTTGAGCTCTTCCTCCGGTGCGTTCTCAAGGTGAGACACATGTGCCCCTGCAGGAAAGGTCCCGTAGACGGCTTAGGAAACGTTTAAAAGGAGGATAAAAGCTACCCCTACTATACTGTTTCAGCTAACTTTGAACCGCAGTGGACGCCACAAGCCAGCGGAGCCAATCCATAGGTCGAAGAGTGTCACATGACCTTCCAGTTGGGTGGAGCTACGTGCATACAGCAAAGTCACATGGCACAAATAGAGTGAAGGCTCTGGTGGCTCATACGTCCCTGGCGGGCCAACGAAAGGTGAAACAAAGTACATTATTTAAATGCAGTCCAAAAAAAAAAAACTTGTGACATTTGTGTTTAGACAGCATAAGGTCGGTCTGTCGGTACGGCGACACTGGTTTACGCTGTAGACGTGGAATTTAGCCAGTGCAGTTCGACTGCTAGCCTGGGGTTTTAATGTGCAGCACGCAGCAGTGATTCACAACTACATGATGGTATGATGCTCATCTAGCTCTAAACGAGCACAAGCGGAGATTGAAGCCAGGACCCCCGTGTTTAGCGGTGTGAGCTTTCACTCTACGTGCCCCAAGCTGCAGCGCATTAACACGCTCGGCCACCGAGCGTGTTAAGTGCACTATTCTGGGTCAAATTCATTTTGTACCTAGTTTCAAGATTACCTTGAAGTTAGTTACCCCAAAATCGACTGACTTTATTTCACGAGCACCTTGGGCCACACCGACAAAGAGATGAACGTTCTCACCCAAAACGTGGCTGCAGCTGCGACAGGGATCGTTGAGGTTGGCCAGAGGCTGGGGTCCCTCGAGCCGTTGCGGGGTCTGGGGTAGGTTTGGGTTCTTCCAGCCATTGCACTTGCAGCCATCGTCCGCCTGCGCAAAAAACACGGTTCTGCTATACATGCCTTGCGCCCGACGTCACGCCGCGATGCCCCGCCCCCGATCGCCATTGCTCCGTACCACCGGAGGATCGGAGAACCTACAAAGCGTAGTCGACGGCGTGTTCCGTCCGACCGTGACGTGTTTACGCAGTTTGAGAGCGTAGCGTTTTTTTTTGTGTGTGCGTGTTCGTTGTTCTTCGCACAATTTGGAAATAAATCGTTTCAATCTATTTTTACCAGCGCCTACGGGCTAAATGTGCCATCGCCGGGGGAGCGGACGTTGCCGCTCTGCGAAGATTACTTCAACGAGCTCGTTGGACCTACGAGAGCGAGATATGCGATAAAGGTGGAACTTAGCGACGGCGAGGATCCCTACAAACTTCGCGTCGGCGTGGACACGACATTCGATGCCGCCTTTTTCCCTAACGTAACTCGCTCAGCCTCGAGCGCTGCGACTCAAGGCTGAGCGATCTCCTTCGTCCGTGTAACCGAGCTTCAAACTCGGCGCCCAGTCAGGGTTCGTGTTATCGAACAACTTAGAAGGAGCTCCTGTAAAACAAAGAAAAAATGCCATTCGCTGACGCGCTCATCACGTCCGCGAAACTCGGCGTAGCAGACAATGCTGCACCGAGTTTTACATTTAATTTTGCGACAGCAACCGGGTGAACGCATCCCGAAAACGGAGAACGACAAGAAGCATTTGTTACCTGTAACAAAGTGCTCGCTGCACACCTGTGTGTTCACGTTCGCGACCAGGTCGGCCCTGTTAATCTTCGCAAACCACATGCTCCTTCGCTTCTTTGACAGTTCGTGTGTCCGCCAAGACTGAGCGGAGAACACCTTCGGTAGTTTGAAAAATCTCGCATCACTGACGGTGTAATGATCACGACGCTTGTTGCTCTTAGTCCTGTTTGCATAATTAATAACCGCACATGCAACCATTCTACATAGCGAAACCTTCGCTCAGCAAGGCAAACTGACGGCAACTGCAGCGAACTTCCTATGCAGCGCTGACGATTTGGTACGGCGTAATGGCGACGGCCCTCCCAGCATGCAATTTTAATGACGTAGGTGCAAGGCATGTATAAGACAATTGTTTGTGTCCTACTACTCTGCTGAGATCAGGATGGAATGGAAGAGTAAGAAAGGTGTCATATGACCATTAAAAAAAAAAAAATATATATATATATACATATATATATCACTGCTGTTTTCTTAGAACACCAAGCTGTCTTGCAATCTGAGGTTAAGAGACATGGTGAAGAGAATGGTGCTTAACATGGTACAATATTAAAAATGAGAGGGAAGTATAAAAGTATGAGCCAAAGCAATCTAGATTTATTTATTTATTTATTTTTTTAAGAGGGTGGAGGGTGCAAGCGTGATATATAAATAAGAAAGTTGCGACCGCAAACTGAAACAGTAAACAGTAGTACGGATCATCTGTCACTAATCGAAAAATGCGCATTGTACGCTCTTATTAGCACGCAGGAAAGCTACAGCAGCCGAATTGTTACCTGAGGTGGCTATCGTATCGCGGTCCTTCTAATCAATTGATTACTCACTCGCTGTGACTAGCTAGTGATCGACACAGGAGCGCGCGCGAAGAAGCCACATTACCTTGCACGACGAATAGATGGCGAGTTTCTCGAGCTTCTTGTTGAGCGGCCAGGCCTTCACCTGCGACTTCTTGTGGGCTATCCTCTGAAGGTTGTTCCCGGACGATCCCTGCGGTGTGTTTCCGGACGATCCTTGCGGAGTGGTTTGGCCCGGCGGCGCAGCGACAGAGCCAGTCGGTGGCGCGCTCGACATCGCCCGCGAGCCCTGCGGCGCCCTTTTTTGTGCTGCGCAGAAAACCCGCGTCAGGAAACGACCACACCTGCCAGCTAAGCGGCAAAAGGAACAGAACAGAGTGCAGCTTGATCTTTGGCTACTGCGAAAACGAGAGAGCGCAGCAGTACGTACGCTCAGTAGGTGCCGTGACCCAGAAGCTGTCGTCGGGGTAGTGGCTGTAGCTTCGGCGGGTCGGTCTTGTTCCTGGTGAATTTCGGGGACCGTTTCATACCCCCTGGCTTTCCGCGACAGGCCTAACAGGTTAACAGAATGGACATCGTGCTACGGGAAGGCTCGGAACGGAATCTGAAAAGCCTAAAACATTGGAAAATGTAGTATCATCGGCGATGCTTGTTGTAAATTTTGCTGCGTGCATCAACATGAACAGCGGCGCTGGACGGGAGCGGGGAGGAGAGCGGGGAGCGTTGGGGAGCGTATCGAGCGCGTCGCTGGCGTCGCTTCCTTGACAACCTTGACACAAAAAATGTAATTATTAAAAAAAATGAATATTATAATACTTGACTTGAAATTATAGTTAAATAGAACTGAAATAAATTCAAAGAAAGTAACGTTAAATACATAAAAATATTATAAAGCAAAAGATGGCGCAAGTCACCGTCTTGATCAAATACGGGAAAGTACAGTACCTTTTTTTTACCAACGTCCCGAGAGCCGACCGGCCAACGAAGCGAAGCACGCGCTTTCTGTGTACACAATTTGATTTTGTTTGTATTGATACAGCGCAGCCCAGAGAGAATTCGTACACAACGCCGCGACTCGTGGGTGGACCTACGGTGGACCTCTTGAGCGGCCAGGAAGCGGCAAGTACCAAAGGTGCGAACTTATTTGAGTCGTCTAATCTGTTTTAGGCGATAGCCAAACATATTAGATTGGCCGGTCACTGCCGTTCTTGGCAAACTCGGGTGCGATAACATTTCATTGAGCGAGTAGCTCGGAGAAGTTTCAGCATACTTCCTCACGCTTCACAGTCATGTGACGAATGCTGCTGCCTTCATTTCTGCTGCAGACAACCGCCGATGTCAACATGGGGACCAAAACCATGCATTGCACTTTAGAAGGACCGGCCAATGCGTTAGCCATAAATCGTGACGCCACGCAAGTTGCTGTTGCAGGCAGAAACGGTACGGTTTTTTTCGCTTATTTTACACCTTGATTGGCGATTTATTTGAAGTCGCTGACGGTGTGTGGCACTGAAGTAGTCTCACAAACTTGATATGCTGTCTCGTAGTCAATGGGACTGCAGCGTCAGCTGAGAGTTGCAGAACACACAATCGCGCGAGTCAAGAGTCCTCATACATCCTGCGCTTTTAACTTAGCTGCGACTATAAATGTGGGGAAGGTTTAATCGTTGCTTTGCTGTTCTCACGTCAGCTGTCGATGGTGACAAGGCTGGGCCCCAATTGTACACCAGTCAAAAGGGGCTTTCTACGCTTCTAATCGAGTGATCCTCTCTTTCCAGTCTTCAAAGTCTTCAGTTTAGAAAATGACGAGTTTGTGGAACGGATGAACCTACGCGTCGGAAAGAATCTCAACCTGAATTTTAGTTGCAGTGATGTTGTTTGGAACGTCGTTGAAGGTAGGCGGAAACCCCTACCACAATTTAAGCCTCACATTCTTCTTGTGTCAAGTTTAGCGAAACAATGTTGTCATTTCCATGGGGTTTCCAGATCACATTCTGGCCACAGCAGCGACAAACGGGGCTGTCGTCACATGGAACTTAAATAAAAGCACACGGTCAAAGCAAGGTATGTTTTTGGTGATTTCTGAATGCCTAACATCTTTTGCAGGATATTCTAACTGCAGCACACTAATGCTTGCTTTCTTCCTTTTCCACTTCTGTAGACATTGTGTTTCAAGACCACAAGAGGACAGTCAACAAAGTCTGTTTTCATCCTTCAGAAGCTCACATTCTTTTGAGCGGATCTCAGGATGGAACCATGAAATGTTTCGATATTCGGAAGCGTGAAGCTGCTAGCACCTTCCTCAGGTAACAGACATCATTTCAGATGGTGCTAACATTTTTAAAGCCAAAGGTTCAACAATAGAGCCATGGAGTTTAAAGGGTGTCAAGAGTTTTGATGTATATCTCAAAGTTTCATATTTTTGGTATTTCGTGATGTTTGAGTTTGTAGCACAAGCCGTCGCGTGCTGTCGAGCTGAAGTGTCGTGACCCTCTCAGCCTTCGAATTCTCTTTCTAATCATGACCTGGCAATAAACAAGAAGGCAGGTTGTGAAATCCGAAAAGCAAAAACAACTTGCTCTGTTTTCCCAAGTTTCATCTTGCCCTTTCAACATAGAATATCTCTTCAGGCTGGCTGCACCATCCCGCAAAATTTAAACTACAAAACGTGCCAACCCGTTTAGATTAGTGGGACATGATGTCACGTGACACCGGGCGTCATGTCGCATTCGTGGCACAAATTGCGTGACCGTGTGACCCATGGTGGCACAAACAGCATGACCGCCATTCATACTGTCACGGGTGGTCACTAAAAGAACAATAAATAAACAGGAAGAAATAAACGTTTAATGTGGCAAACTTGTGCCCAAAAGAGAAAGGAAATAGGAGATAACAACAGAACGTCAAAGTTGGCGCAACAACAGGGTCGAACGCTGGGGCAAGACTGCTTCTGGCTCGCCACGTGGAGCCCCTTTTGTACAGGCGTGGGCTTCTGAAAAAATCTGCTTAGAAGATTCGTAGCGTAGAACATTCTGACCTAGAACAAGCACCACGGTTCTCGAATTTACCAGAACATCAAATATACAGAGTCAAGAAAAATGTGGACCCGCAGCCAGGCATTGAACCTTGGCTTTTTGCATGGAAGGCAAGTGCAATAACCGTTTGGCCACGAGCGCACTGCCTGCTTGGTCAGGTGCGCGTGTGGCAATACTCTACACACTTCAGTTTTGTCAAGTGTGACCGAAGCGCTGCACACTTTTATAAAACTTCTAAGCCCTTATTTATTTTTTTATGTCTAGTCATAATTAGTGACACAACATATAATTCTTAATTGAAGAGATACTTAGCTGGCCTTTATTGAAAAGAAAGGTTCGTACCCGCACTTGGCATTTCAGCTCGTCGGAGAGCGTGCGGGACGTCCAGTTCTGCCCCCACCACCACTTTGTCTTTGTGGCTGTCCAAGAAAATGGCAACGTCCAGCTTTGGGACCTGCGGCGCGCCGACAAGTGCGAGCGGCAGTTCACGGCTCACAGCGGACCCGTGTTCACCTGCGACTGGCACCCCGACGACAGGCGTCTCCTTGCCACGGGCGGTAGGGACAAGGCCATCAAGGTATAACATAAAACACGATGGGGAGGGGGTGATTTTTTTTTAGGCTAGGTGGTGCAAGCGACTGTCCATAACTGGGGGTGTAGCCAGTACCAGTACCATCCATCCAGGAGTTTCTGTGCTCCCTTTAGTTCACATAGGTCGGCACTATGACCAAGTATTAGAGCATTGTGCGTGCGTCAGCGGGTATGGGTGCAGAGTTGTACCCAGCCAGTGCTGGCTAAAAGCTATGCCATAGCTCTGTTTGAACCGAAATAACCTAACTATGTCTGGGAAGGGTATTTTTATTTTATTTTAATTCTTCATTTATTTTTGCAGTGAGCCCATGCGTGAAAAATGTGGCTATCTTTTATTTACTTTGAGAGGAACCTTTATGGCACGTGGAGTCGTGTTTTCTTGAGTCGGAAAATATTAAAAGTCTGCCTGCAGAAATCGGTCACAAAAACTAGGGAATTAGGGTGCTCTGAGTAGGCCAAACGTGATTTAAAGGTCTTTTTCACATGATGGAGGGATTTTATTTTATGTTGCCTCAGAGCAGTCATGGGCACGTTACTGCTAAAATTTAAGAGTGTTGCAGTTGCAGTTACTCAGAGAAAAAAAAGTAACTCTACTACAGTTACAGTTACAAAATTGAAAGAGCAACTTGTTAAAGTTACTTTGCTAAAGTTACATTGTTACTTCTTAGGTTACTTTACAATAAACATTGCATAACATTAAAATGGAGCCTTCCTTGATATGCCTTTAAATTAGTATAGATTTATCTTGAGACACTGTGTTCTTCGCAGTAGCTAATCAGATTTTTCGAGACACTGATATTTCCCCAATAATCAATATTAACTTGTTTGGTTCTTCTTACTTTTTTTTTTCCATGAATAACTCCCTGAACAAGATCATAATTTAAGACAGTATTGGGGTATATACACTATATGATGAAGCATTTATAGTCTCTGGCGAAATTAAGGGCGGCTTTAGTTTTTCAAGATGTTTAGATATACTTCTTCTCACCTTAGCATGGACTAACCACAAAGACTGGGAAAGAGCCAGTGGGTAGTCTTGACAGCCTTGACTGGAGCTCTTGCTACACGATCGCTCGTGCAGCCACCGAGGCTTCATCCAAAGCAAAAAGCTCGTGCTTTTAGTGTGCGCGGCTAACAGTAGTTTATGCTGAAATGAGACGAAGCATAGCAAATGCCTGCTGATGATCCGTGAAGAACTTTAAAATAAGTGCAACCACCATAAGGTATATACGAATACATGAGCACGCGTCTATATCTTGGGTATATCCAATCATGGTGCAAGTTTATAATCGGTCAATTCTAATTTCAGATTTCTTTGGTGAGGCGAAGTGGGACGGAAGCAATAAAAATCGTGCAAACGGGAAGTCAATAATAATATAGGCCATACCTTGCAATCAGCTTTGTAGATGTTTTCTTGTAACTCCAATCCACTCGTCGGTCGAATCGTCTCCTACTGCGTGTGCACAATCTTTTGTGAAACACGAAGCTACTCTTGAAAACTTAGAGAGCAATGTTGCGGCAACATTCCTCTGTCAAACCCACTGAACACAGGAGTAGTGCGAAAGAAGCACTGATCGAGGTACAAACGACCAGTGTATCTAGAATTCCAAACGGTTGTATTAACCTTTTCTTTGCCACTTTTTAACCAAATCGAGTATGTTTTGCACTTTTACATCTCACTTTCCGGGTGATGTCTCACTAGGAGACATCACCCGGAAATTCCACGACGTGAATATCTGTAAATCAACTGATGCCAAGTGCCCCTGGTCCCAGTCATGGGCGGTCTTTCAATTTGAAGAAAACACACAAACAAGCTGATCATCACAGAAACTTGGATGTTCTAGGCAAATACTCTTTCTCAAGTGTCGGGACCCAAGATGCAGTGCAATGGGAGACAACAAGTGGGTGACGGGAAACAAAGCAAGTTTTTGGTACGAAAAAAAAAAAAAAAAAAAAAAAAAGAAATGGAAGAGAAAGCATATGGGCCTAAAATCAAGACCCCGCAACGTGCATCTGGGAGTTGGAAGATTTAAATTAGAGGGGAAATAAACGTATGCTTGGCGGCAAACAGACGAGGTTAGAAAAATTGGTTGTGCTGTAAGCTTGCAGGTGTTTGGGGCAACAATCGCCAAAACTGCCCTCCGCGAAAAGCACTTATGACCTCCACTGATTGAAGAAAAGAGAAAGGCTTTAGAGATGCCGTGCTTTGTTACATCTGCGTGCACTGTAAGAGATGTCCCATACACGGCGGGTACGGACGCAAACATCCCCATCCTCCCAGTTGGCGGCACCAGCTTGGCCAAGCAAAATCACCCAAAATTTAGTTTTTTTTTTTTTGTCCTTGAGATGGTTTTTGCAGCAATTTTTTGCTGTGCCCTTTCCGTGTCAGTATTTGGGACTCTCTGACGAGTTGCGAGACGATTTGGCGATCATATTTTCAATATTTGTGTACATAGATCTGAAAAGTAACTATGACGACATTACTTTTTACAGTTAGTTTAGAAAAATAGTAACCCTGGTGCAGTTACAAGCTATTTTCACTAAGCAGTAATGAGTTACAGTTACAAGTTACTGAAAAAAGTAACTAGTTACTGGTAACGCATTATTAGTAACTACCGTAGTTACTGCCCAAGATAGCCTCGGAGCACTGACGGGGATTTTATGGTTTTAAAACATGAAAGAGCTATCGGGACAGTACCTGCTAAGATCTAGTTTGTACAGATGATTTTTTGTAGCACAAATTGTTCAGATACGATGTTAACCTGTCCTATCGGTGGCAGCATGAGCGTGTTGGGAAAGAATGGACAGGAAGGTACAATGCAATCCACTTATAAGGAGAACGAGAAAACCTGAAAATTCGATCGTTATAACCGATTATCGTTGGATCTGGACAAGAAACCGATTGTTTCTAGCCTAGAAACTCTAGAAACGGATCATTATAAACCACACATCGTTAGAAGTAGGGGTGTCGCAAAACTTTTGTAACCCAAGGTTTTCCATCAAACCTTGGGTTGGGCTGGTTCGGCAAACCTTCAAATGCTTTGCAAAGTTTGGCGAAGTTTCACTTATGGACAATGTTGCCAGCCTTCTAAGTGAAGGTTTTGAATTTTGGGGAACAAATAATTTAGACAGTAGTTGAGTTATATTTTATAAATTGAATATAGATTTTTACACAATATAAAAGCAGAAATAGTTCACTTTTAATGTTTTTGTTGGTAATGTGAACCAGTGATACAACACGCCAAACAAATATTGCAGTTTTCCTCTGCCAGGTGGTGGCAACTTGTTTTCAAATTTTTGCACATGTGCAAAGAAGGTAAATTTCAGTCAAACTTTTGTCAAACATTGCGCTGGAAGGTTGAGAATGTCGCAGTTGGTCGACCTCCAACTTGGGCAGGTTTGCGGCATCCCTAGTTAAAATTCGATTGCATGGCATATTATTTCGGCTTCGAGAAACGTCACATTTCTCTCTTTAATTCCAAACAGAGGCTTGGGTCCCGGTTTTGGCAGTTACTGCAAAGCACTACATCTCCTCTTTTGGCAAAAGAAAAAAAAAAAAAATGAGGTTCTATTTTTTTAATTTTTAATCTGGAAATGTTTGTAATGTCTGACGTAAGTATAGAGATGGGAACTCAACTTTTAATGCTAAGAAAACTAATAAACTGTCAAGGTGTCAAGAATCTAAATATGCTACTAACGAAAGGTTCCTGACTGCCGTTAAAAACAAAAGCAGTTTCTGCTCAATACTAAAGAAACATTTAAATGCAACTACACATTTGTATGAACTCTGGCAGCACTTGCAGGTCATTAGACCTGCGATCAGGGAAGGACAAAGAGTCGTTGAGCCGTAAACAGCCTTACTAGAGTTTTTGTCATTCCCAGATTGCGGGTCTAATAACCTGGAATGAAAAAAAAAAAAAGAGAGAGAAGTCACTGATACCAAGTAAATACAAATTAATGGCTCTCATGAAGCTTTCAATTAAATTTTTAGTGGTTTGACTTGTGTATTTTACCACTGACACTGCTAAAAAATAAACCTAACAATGTTTAGCCTTAGATTGGCTTAACTCGGACATCAGGCAGTCGACCATTGCAAAGGTGGCCGCTTCACAGAGCAACCAACATTACAAAGTAAGTCAACCAGTATTGCCGCATTCGACATTGGTTTGGAACAAGTAATTTGAAAACGACTTGCTTCCATTTTGAACATGTTAGGAACGTTTGAAACGTGAAACGAGGCACAGTGTGTCAAGTATCCTGACAAGCTTTTTTAAAGAAACAAAATTGACACTCCGGCACGAAGATGACGTTGATAGAGCTGCTGACAGCTTTTTAGAAACGCAGGGCACCGCTCATTACGGTCGTGCTTCCGCGATTCATTTTTATTCGTTGTTATCAACCGACGCCGCACCCTCATTGGCTGAGGAGCGACAATAAGATGTCTAGGACACACCACGCACTGCGCCTCTTTACACTGACACGGAGGCCATGGTGCAACGCGCAGTTTGTCCCACCACTCATCTGCTTCTTTCCCAGATTTGGGACATCAGCTCCAAGCCGACGCTGTCACAGTGCATCCAGACGATAGCCTCGGTGGCACACATCAAGTGGCGGCCCCAGCGGAAGTACCACATTGCCAACAGCTCCTTGGTGGTGGACTGCTCCATCAACATTTGGGACACCCGGAGACCTTACGTGCCCTTCGCTGCCTTCACCGAACACAAGGACGTGGCCACAGGTCCGTGCCGGCATTCATCCACGGCGTTAAAGGGAACCTGAGGTGGTTCCGTATTTGAGTAAAAACACCTAAATCATCTTCATTTGGCCTCCAGGATCACGAATATCGAGATTAGTATTTTTCAGTTTGGTGAACGGAGGCTGGAGAAGAACTAATTTTTAAAGCACCAACAAAGCCCCTTTTCCCCGGGGTGCGACATCATAAAAGGAGATTTTGAAATCTCCACTCTCGCAGATTCAAATCTACACATGTGCACTCTTGCTATTTGTAAGAAAATATCAGAAAAAGACGTCTTGACTAGTGTCAGATCGGGAAAATATGCCTGGTGAGCTTGCAAATGCGCGCGCAGCCCACACGAGCGATGTGTGCTTGGCGGTCAAAAGATCCTTTTATGATGTAACGACCGGTCGGAGGCTTTTCATGTTTTCTCTCATTTCCTGTAATATCACGAGTCATTGCCCACCCAATTTTTTGGCGAATATCAATTTCCAATAAAACACCGGATGATCGCCCACCCCTACAAATATCCGAATGCGGACTTCGGGTTTCGTGAACATTCATCCTACACGAATCACGCGTAGCATGAATTTTTGAGTTTAATGTCTTGTGCAGCCGCATTAGATATGTACAGAAAAATGGGTGTTTTTTAAGCTTACCCACCGAGCCAAGGCCCACCCCTCTTTTTTTTTTTTTTTTTTTTTTGATGAATTTTGGTCGGCAAGGGGGTGGGCAATGACTCGGGATATTAAGGTAGTTGCATCTTCGGGTAAAACGATAGTGGTATTCAGATTCACGGGATAAAAAATACTCTATAATTCCCCTCTAACTCTTTTTTTTTTTTTTTTCAAGCACTTTTGTGCCAGCACTTTCGTGTCAGGCTTTACCACCTTGGACCGGCGCACACACATAAAGCTTCAGTGCATTGCACCGACTTCTCGGAGAGATGCCGACGTGGAGAAGCTCCTCGGTCAGCTCAGTGGGCTCAGAAATAGGCTGAGGTGAATGCTTAATATGTGCTTGGCTCATTTTTAAAATGTTGCAAAAGTAGGGGTTGGTGCTTATGAGGTGGGGGCACGCTAGGTATTTTACGGTAAGTAAAAAATCCACCTTAACCATCAAATACAAGTTTTGGTTTCATGCTGAAAAACTGTAGCATGCTTTATTAAAGCATACTATTTATTTAGGGGTGGAAGCTCTGCGCAATAGCGCCCATTGGGCACTAAAATTAACCAAAATAATTTTTTTTTTTTTTAAAGCTTCATATTGAGGTGGTTATGTCAACGTCAAAGCAGGTTATTCTCATTTGATGAAAACAGGCACAAAGTGCCTATTTTCATCTACTGAGAATGACCATGATTTATTCCGGACCAGGTAAATAGACAGTTCATCAATAGTCGTCAGGCGCCAGCCGCATGAGGGAGAACACCTCTTTAGTTGGTTTTTCAAGTAGTCTGTTTCGAAGGCGAGGAAAAGCAAATGCTTTTATTGTTCAGAAATATACCATATTTGGACGAATAACAACACACAATAGAAGTCTTCTGCTCATTTGCTTATTTATTTCCGTTCCCCGTCCCAGTGCCTTTGAAGCACTTGTTTGGGCATGTTGCTTTGTGTTGTCAATGCCACAGCTTAGCCAACAACGGCATATAGGTGTGTGATCTCCAAAAATGGGGCATGTATAGGTGGCTTTGTCGGAAGTACTAAAAAATTAATTCGTCGTCTTTTTAAAAAAAAAAAAATTTTTTTGCGCAGTGCGAATTATTACACAGATTAAATCGCGTATGTCGTAAAGTCTCGTGTGAACGCACGCCCCCCAGAAATCACCCATCTCGTTTTTTGGGCGGAATATCTGAATATCCGTAACATAAAAATTTAAAAAAAACCATCGACCCCCCCACCACCCCCTCCGATTCCCGCCGGATATCGATCTGGCGATGTCCGACAGGAATTGTATCAACTGCGCAATCTGCAGTATCGGTGCGTGTGACACTCGTGTTCGCCGTGGGTTCCCTCGTGCTTATCGCACCGTGACATGCGAATGTGCAGCATCCGCAGTCTGCAACATGCGAAGACATTCCCAACTCGTTCCCGCGGTTTTTTCTTTTTGTTTTTTTGCGGTTTGCACACGGTATTGGTTCCTATGACAACTGAGTTTGTAGCGGGCCTGCGTGTATATCGCACTGGGAAGCGTAAATGCGCTGTTTCCGCATTCTGTTGCCGTACTCACGACAGGAATACATTTATTTTTGAGTATTGGAATACATTTATTTTTGCTTTGCTAAACAGGTACTTGAAACATTTTTATTTCCTAGTAATAAAAAGGCTGAAGCTTGCTGCTATCCCTATTTAATGCAGACATACTGATCTACGGGTTCAAAGTTAATTGTCGTTTGCGTGCCAACTAGGATATTTTCTCAAGTTATACTTTTCAAGACACGCTACTATGCAAAGTGGCACTCCGCCCTCGCACCTTGGGGTGGCTCTTTTTTGAGCGACCCTAGTCGACATATTTTCATTCGGAACTTGGACTTTCTTACTTAGTTTATTAGTAAATTATTTTATTACTAATTTCTAGATCTCGGTGTTTGCCATAAAGCATAAGGATGAGCAACATAGATTCGCCTTTCTGGATCAATGAAGGAGCAAACCGAGGCAGAAGTCCTCCAAACAAAACTTTCCACGTGCCGTCAAGAGGTGTTATTACATGACAAAACATTGCCCTACGCGTAAAAATAAAGTCAACGACCAGTTGAGAGAAGTAGCAAGCAAATCAAAACCAACTTATGTGGGAGCATGCCTGAGCATACTTGGACACGTCACTCAAAGCGTTCTGTACAGTTAGCATGTTTCTTACGGGGCTTTAGATCTCTTTCTTAACATGCCCTTGGCTTACGCCAGACTGTTTTCGGGACACTCAGGGTTCGCCTGGCGCAACGACCCCCGCGTGCTCCTCTCGACGAGCAAGGACAGCACGCTGTTCCAGTACCTGGTGCAAGATGCCGTGCGGCCGGCCAACCACGCCAATGCCCTCTCGGTGGCGCACGTGCTCAACGCAAGCGGCGACGTGGCTTTTGCGTCTAGCGATCGCTTCTTTGGCGGGGAGCAGGCGTCCTCTACCAGGGGTCGCCCCGTCCACCCGCCATCGGCCCGGTTTCCGGCTGTCTTCAAGAAGGCCCCCAGCATGAGTGACCAATTCTGCCAGGCAGCGAGCAGTCTCGTCATCTTCAGCAACACCACGATCGAGGTCGGGAGTTTGCTCCGGTTTTCTTTTGCTCGCGTCGTAGCACTCTTTTTCAGTTGGGGGCCTGTGCAAGAATGGGTTAATCATGAAGGTGCTGCTTTTTTGAATGAGCTAGGATTTATTGCCTTGGTGCGTGCAGCAGTCATTTATTTGGACTGGACTAGACTGATTTCATGAGGCTGCGGCGCAGTTCCTCTCCGTGCTCTTTTGTTCCGTTTGCTCATCACGTCCACTTTCCCTCTTACAAGGTGGATAGAGTCTTCTGGCACACTTCTAATGACGTGCCTCGGTAGTGGAAGAGGAGGGGGTCAAGCGGCCTTAGCGGTGGCACAGCGTATGCGACGACGTTGTTTGCGCGAGACCGCCGACACATGGGAGGAAAGATTGGTTCTTCGAAACAAAAGCATGTGGATCGTAGGCTGCGATCGAGGAAAGTTGTGGGGGCTGCATCCGAAACCGCCGACGCCCGGGAGAACAGACTAGCTCTCCGAACACAACGGTTTGTGGACCGTTGTGAGGAGTGAGTTCTCATCCTTCGCCGAGTCGGAACCCCTGCGCTAGATGCTAATGCATTTCTTCGAGAATCGGCGTGGGGACAACGGCAATTTTGACATCGTTGTTTTGTTTTAAGCAGAGGTGGAGCCAGCTTTTGTCCGGCCTTACAACTATGATGCAAATCTGTTTCGCTGGTTCGAGCAGCGTAGCTTGCTGGCCGAGCATCGGGCGGAGCAAAAGTTTTTTGCATTGTGTGCTCAATTCTCGAATCGGTCGGTTTCAATTTTTATGGCCATTGTATTGGCATGCATTTGTGTGATTACTGTCTCCTAGCCCATGTTGAAGACCCAATGTTAGCAATCTCGCTGCACCCATTTAACTGCCCCTCTACGGCAGAGACAGTGGACACCACTTTAAGGCGAACTAACTTGTCATTTCTTGGTACGACCTTGCCACATGGAATAACTGTATCTTGTGTCATTCGAAAGCTACGGTTAAACTATTGACTCTTCTCTCTTCTAAAGCCACCAGGACAGTAACTTGGCTTTCAATGTCACATAACCTTGTTTATCCACCAGCGGTTCTCGGGCATTACAGTCTTTTTTCTTGGGAAACTGGCAATGTCATTCTGCTTCGTCGCCGTCCATTTTAGAGTTGAAGTACAGCAAGCGCCTCCCGCACCCCCTATTCAACCACTCTTTTAAAATTGATCTTACTTGATAACACAATCTCGGTGCCATTACTCGTAATCGTAATGCGTGATGAAAGTCTGTATTATTCCCTCGTGTTGCCTTGACAATGCATGACTTTGCCTTCTTCACGGCCTCTTCTGGTTCCTATTCTCCCAGTCTTTGCTGGTGAACTGGTTTCAAGAGAGCGCCCTCAAGTACCAGTTGACCGGACGGCCATTGCCCGACCTGTGCGAGTCCAACGCTGCGGTGGCGGCCGACCTTGGTCGCCACGACGTTGCCCTTGCCTGGAGAGCCGTCAAGACCCTATACGGCTCGGCACAGGCTGGAGGAATGGCCGACTTCCTCGGACTGGCAAGCCTGGACGCAGTCGTTCGAGTCGACGCCGACCGCAGTAGGCTGTACCCATTTTTTATTTTGGGAGCTGTGGCATTGTTGTATTTATTAAATGCGTAGCATTTATGAGAAGAGCAAGTTGTCTGCTTCTTCCGCAGGAGTTGCTGTGACATCAGAATGACGCTGAGCTCTGATATGCTTTGATTGAAAGGATAGTGGGTAGATCTCGATCCTAGGTGCCTTGAGGTCTTCCCACTATTTTGTTCGATCAGCCAATAAGAGCTCGGCATTCTGACATTATCCCAACCCTTGTGCAAGAGGCAGAAGAAATTGTGCTCTGGCCAGGCCTTAGTGCTGTCGTCTCTGTGGGATGTAGTCTCGATGGAGAAAAGATGAGGTGAGCTTCTGCGGAAGAAAGGCGTCCCGCAAAATATAGCAAGACATTGCTTCGTAATGTGACTTCAGGTAACGTTGGTGAGGATCTTGAGTGCTATGCCCCTGAGCACCCTTGGGTTATACCAAAAAGACTGGCACTGTTTTCTTCTTAGCATGTAACTATACTTGGCACGGATGATTTGGTTGGACTGCATGGGCATTAGGGAGATGTGCAACAAGCCGAGAGTATTTGAAACTTTGCGGAGTTCAAACACCGGTGAGGAAACTGCGAAGTTGTTTATCTGGCACAAGTGCACTTATAAACGTTCAGGCTGTAATAATGATTGCAAGTGCTGCTTGTGAATATTTGTTTATAGGGCCAAAATACCTTTGTAGGAGAGCCGGGGTTGATATGCAGCACTTACGAACCCAGCTTGAATGGCATGTTTGTTGACAAATTCTAGAATGCTTGCTGTGTTGATTCCATGGTTTACCATCTTTTGCACAAATGAAGATTAAGGCACTATCCTAATACGGTTAGATAGTACTGACTTGAGTGCCTACAAGACATATTTGAGAATTAAAATAGCGCACACGACGAGAGACCAGAATGAAAAAACATACAGACACAGTGCTGTGTCTGTCTTTCTTCATCCTAGTCCCTCGTCATTTGTGCTGTTTTAATTCCCAAATATGGGGGGGGGGGGGGGGGGTTACACCAACTAGCCCAAGCTTCAACTTTAGCTACAAGACACTTTTGTGATCTTGTTGAACATGCTGTGTTTATGTATATTCCTGGTCCTTAAACTGAAGCACAGGTCTATTTTCCCATGCTAGGAGAACTAAGTTTTAACTCTGATCAGAACTCATGTGCATGTGTCAACAGCATCTGATAGACATGTGATAGACATGGAATGGGAAGAAGCTGGCTACTGTGTTTGCTACAACTGGAGTCAGCCGAGCCAGAGAGAGTTTTTGTCTTGTCTGGTTATGAATGCCTTATCCTTTCATAACAGGAGAGGGCCAAGCGTGAGAGGCGCAAAATGTCTAGAGTTCGGCGTGAGGCTGTACTGCAGAAGTTTAGTTTTGTAACCAGTTGTCGTTTAGAAAGGGGAATTCCCCTTAGGAACATCGCACAACTTAGGTGTTCAACGTTCAGGCTCGCAGGAGGGCAGCAACTTCCACACCAGCCGCCACAACAGCGGCAACACCCGCAACCGGAACCACAGCGGGAGCAAGAAACTCCAGGCAGTTGCGGCGCGCCACCTGAGCGGGGGCGCGCTAGACAGGGCCCCCACGACCCCGCACGACCCGGCCACGATCCACACCACAACGGGGGACGACTCGGCGTCCAGCGGCATGGAGGACGACTTGACGCTGACCTACATCGCCAGCGGAATGGTCAACGTCCCCGGAGACTTCTTCAGCGAGGACGGCGACACAGGAGGCCAGTCCCTGACCTACAACCTCCAGGTGCTAGCTTACTTTTGAGTTGGGTGTTGCCAAGGCAGTAGAGACGTGAGCAGAGCAAGCAGATAGTGAGCGCTGACATCTGTGGTCCTGAGAAGTGCTGACATCAGTGGTCCTGAGAAGGATCAGAAAGCGAGCTACAGAGAAAAGCAAGAAAAGAAAGTACCATACTTTCCGATCTGGAAATCGCACCTTTGTATAGCTGGTAGCTATATATTTGTACAGTCGGCTCAATGAAACTACATTGAATAGCCTGCATATGTGTATTATGATAGCAATATATGCACAAGTGAGGGCAAGTTTCAATATTCTCGTCGACGAATCAGGTGGGAAGTATACCTAAGCCCCATGTGGCAAATTTCCGCGGTTAAGTTTCACACTTAACCGCGGGAAAGTCGCAGCATTGTGTAGTACACACCGACGGAAAATACAGTAGAGAAAAAGTTAACGAGGTATAGATGTTGGTCTTGCTGCGATGAGGTTAAGTTCGAGTGCTCATCAACTATACATATACAACTTTATATGCTACGCAAAACTCCGGTGGTTTCTCACGAAATAAAGCCCGCAGACCCCAGGTGCTGACCTCGCATATGCTCTGCCTCTGTGCCACTTTCTTGCACAGCGTGACTCTTGCCGGCGTTGCACCGCAGATGTCTGCTGGCAGTGGAGGGGAGAACCACCAGGACTGGCAGCTGCCCAACGAAGCGTTTGAACCCCGCCACGCGATCCGGGACTCCCCGCCCGTGACCGACCTGGGGGGACACCCACAGAGTTCCCCTCCCAGCGGGGACGAAGAGGACGTGCAGGACGCTAGCGCCCTCTGCGGGGACATGGACGACCAGAGCAAGGTGCTCACGGTGTCCAGGCCGCTCTCTCTGCCTCCTTGGAACCCCAGCGGGATCGTGGCCAGCCTGTTGTCGCACTACGTCGACCAGGTGGGTCGGCGGTAGACGCCGTGACTGCATTGAAGGTTGTCAACATGGGGCATGATTCACCACATCTGTGTCGTTCAGAATCTTCAGCAGAGGGAAGTGTCGTTTTTCCTCCACTTCCAGTCCGCTTTGGAGTGATTTCTGACGGTGGGGAGAGTGGCTGTCCGCTTGTGTCCTTAGAACAAGCTCATGACCTAGATTGCGGAACAAGAACACGACCTAGACCACAGAACGAGGCCGGCCTTCGTGGCTATTGCCCATCCCAAACCTCCCGTAAACAAGGGAGGGAAAGACGATGGTGAGATGCCTCCACACTCATTTAATGGCTGACTGACGCCATCTATAGTGCATTACTATTGTTATGCATTCGGCAGCACGGTTGATGTCCGCACTGAAATCGCTAGCATGCGCCGAAGTGGATGCGATTTTCAAGTCGCACACGAATTGTGTTTGGTGAAGACAGCAATTTATGCCACTATCGCAGTGTCCGAGTGCTGGGGTACTCTACATAAACGAGTTTTGGAGAGTGCGTCCCCAGAGATCACACCTTGAATGCATCGGGCTTTCGTCGACACAAGAAAATCTTAAATAGCAAAACGTTAGATGTTTTGGAAAAAATTAAAAGAAAACTCCGTGACTGTTTTGTTCGTAATAATGTATCAGTATCTGGATGCTTGGTAGTTTCTTTTATGGTGTGCCTACACTACCGTAAAATCCCGAGAGATGCCCCACCCCCGAAAGATAGCCCACGGCTATTTTTGGCTTGATTTGCTATATTTTTTTTTAAATACCGAAAGATAGCCCACTTCTAATAATAGTAGTGTTGTGATCAATGACCGGCCTTGGCATAATTGCAGCTAGTTAGCTTTGGCCTAAGGGGGAGAGCCGGGAGAGGGGGAGGGGTCAGGGGAGGAGATCCCATATGACGTTCGATGCTTACGACACACAGCAGGATATAAGCTAACTTTGCTGACAGGGAAGTACAGTCATCTTTGCTTCGTTGCTCGTCGCCACCATAACAAGCTTGGAAACAACACAACCTAAAAATAGCACTTTTTTAAACTTTTCTCTATTTTACACCGAAAGTTAGCCCACTCCATATTTTCACCTTATTTGCTCTCTATGTTAGGTGGGCTATCTCGGGATTTTACGGTAGAACATTACTATTGGTTGCATTCTTCTCCATACATTCCCTTAACACAACCAAACGTTTCACGTAACGTTCAAATATATGGCTATCAGGTACTATAGCAGTGCTGGCCTTGAGAGAAAAATTTGGTTGTTCATGATACAGTGAACCAGAACTTGACTTAGCTGCAACTTAAAAGCTTGCAAGGTCTTGCATAGCTGCATCTAACGTAGCGTAACCCCCCCCCCCTTCCCCAAACCGGGTCATTTCTTCCACAGCTCAGTGGCCACCCTATATGTACTTGGCTTCAACTTTCTTGTGCCGTGTTCTCAAAGTTAGCGTAGCTTTTGCAGTGCTCTAATGCTGTTTGTGTGAGCTCATGGCTTCGTTTGACGTCTTGCACGAATCAGATGCACGACGAAACCACCTGCTCTTGCAACAGTGTGGGGCTGTGAAAGCTACGCTAGTTTTGAGAATGCGACGCAAAAGCGATCAATGCCCAATGTAGAGAGCAGTGCTTCCCTTGTATAGGGGTTGATTGGGCAGTGGAAGGTTTAACTTGCTAGTGCCAAGCACTTCTCCCACCCCGCAACAAAAGCTACCCGAGGTGATGTGCAGCTTCAGTGAAACGTTTGTTTACAACTGCATTTCTGTGGTCTTTCAGGGAGATGTACAAATGGCAGTGTCCATCATGATAGCTCTAGGAGACAAGATCAAGGGCTGTGTGGACGAGTCCACTCAGGAGGCCTGGTTTCTCTCGTACATTGGTAAGAGCGCACTTGTACCAGTCGCGACGTGCGAGCTGCTAAGTGGCATTGAGGATGATTTGGACTCGCCTTGCACAATTGAAATTGAAGTTGATCGGTGGTGCATTTGAATGTGCTAGAGAATTTTCAGAAACATTTTTCACGTTTAATGTTTTCCGCAGCAATTGCATCCAAATTGAGCTGCGAATCTTTTCGTTTCGGCTGTCGAAAGATTACCGCCGTTACGTTGCTGGTGTTCGGGTTCGTGTTCGGGTTTGTGGGCAGGCCTTTCCGCGGGAAAGAAGTAGTCGCCCGTGATTAAGGGGCCAAGTTGGCCCCAAAACGCCTGAATCTTTACTTTTACTAAGTTCCAAGTTGAAGTGTTTTTTGGGGGGAAGTGTTGGTTCTGAAAACATTCTTGCCCTAGATAACGTGCGAGAGTGTTTAGTGACTACATAGTGACATTAAGTACATATGTACCTTTTCCTTGGTTTGGCTGATGCCGCATCAGAAATCCCAACTTTTTAGTCTTTCAGAATGAGATATAAGATCTGCTGTATGCCACATGAGCCTGACTTCAAAATGACACTTACCCCACCAATCTTTCTGTCGTTCGATCGGCAGATCTGCTGAGCCGCTTCGAGATGTGGAATGTGATTGCCAGGGTCATCGCCCTGAGCAGTGTCCCCTCGGTGTCGACTCTCAACCAACAATCCACGGTGGTGCACACGCTCTGCAGCGGATGCAGCAAGCCGTTGGCTCGCTCCGGCTGGTTCTGCGACCGGTGTAAAGCGGTTGCCAGCCCGTGTGCCGTCTGGTAAGGCTCGGCCGGTTTACCTTTATCGCTTTTTGTCAAGAGGGGCACTCGGCGAGTTGTTTTACATAACTGCGAAACACTTGTAGCTCTGGGAGAAAGAAAACCATTGGAGAAGAGAGCTTTGTGTTTTTTTGTTTTTTTTTGTTTTAGGTGAGGTGAAGATGCAAAACTATGAAAGGATAAAAATGTAGGAAAGAAGACAGAAATCGGCAGCCCTTCTCAGTCTCGAGAACAAAAAAGCAGAAGACAACAAAAAAAAAAAGAGAGAGAGAGAATAGGAAGAATAGAAAAAAAAATTACTGGCAACCTTTTAGCTTTAAGATCCCATAAAGCATGGAATGCAGTATTTAAAGAGAAATAGTGTTTAGGAGACATCAAAGGGAAGCTGAAGCGAGAAATCTGAGTGAGGAGCAGACTTCTGTAGCTTTTTGCCCTGTGAAGTCAGTTATCGCACTTACCTTGGACAAAAGTAAACATAAACCTCATTTGTTTTTAAAAATATGTGCAGCAATTACCGTCGGCTATGCGGCAATCCTCTTTGACGCCTATTATCTGCCCAGAGTGTCATCACATCATTGACAGCATCCCTGGGCCAGCTTTGTGGCGAGCAAGGGTCGTCTGACCCCGCTGATGATGCCACTTTTGCTAGTTCTTCTCTCCGCACTCTCGCTTTTCTGCCGTTGGTGCAAAAAAAACTTATTATTAATTTCCATGTTAAATTTAGCGGGCAAATGCACAGACAGAGGAATGGAAGGACGGACAAACTTCTGAAATTAAGGGGTCCCTGTCGAAATGTTTATGCTTAAAAGTTGTATGTCTGAAAGATTATCTGTACCGCGCGAGGAAAACCGGTTCCCAGCCGATTCCTGATTGCACTTGTCATGTTCTGCAGCCACGAGGTGGTCCGGGGGCTGTTTGTCTGGTGCCAGGGCTGCGCTCACGGAGGCCACCTGCAGCACATGACTGCCTGGTTCCGCGAGCAGCGGCTTTGTCCCACGGGCTGCGGACATCCATGCGAGTACACCTAGCGGCACCGGTGCTCGCGCAAGAGAGTTCGGTGCAACAGCCCCACGGTCGACGGCCGCTCCCGCGAGGTGAGTGCAAAGTGGTCAGCGTTCGCCTCGGACCAAAGTCGTGCACGACCGACTCCCGGTGACGGTTGTCTTTGAGAGCAGGACAGATGTTGGATAAGTTAAAGGCTGGCTCACGCATACGCGTTTGAGTGTTAGTGACTGCATTGCAACCGCAAAAGTTGTGGCACAATTTGTCGGTGGCCCTGGAACACTTTTGATCCACATATATTTCGCACATCGTTCTTTCGCCGTGCACTTGAAGTAATTCGGACAATGTTACAAGTGGGATTCCGTGTTTTCTGATAAATCCAAAGAAACTCTGAGAAACATTGCCGGCAATATTTTAGTCGATTCGGATTTATCCGAAAACCTTGGAATGTGGATGTCACAACGGCAAAATAAAAAGCAAAAATTGTAGAGCCGATCCACTTCACGTGAAGCTGGAGGACCAGCGAAGCTGTTATCTTTACAACAACTTTACGACAGCTTTACGAGAACGATACTACATCTATACGATTTACATAAGACTGCAATGAAAACACGTACGCAACTTCGTTGTTTGTTTTTATTTAATTCTTAGTTACTAAAGTGATCAGTGCCGTATGGTCACTAAGGTAAACTGCCATTGGTTGTATTTTTACTTCAGATGCGTTCTTGCTAACGGCGCATTCTGCCCTCAGCCTAGTCACAACGCACTCTTAGCTGAGGTAAGTCGGTGACCGTAGATCATAACAAGGAATCAGGACCTCACTATCTAATAATGCCAAGGAAGGCTGACTCACGCGGGTTGCCCCCCTTTTTTATTTTTACTTGCCACGACTAATCGCAACGAAGGAGCGCCGGGAGTTTTTTAGTAAACATCCATGGACACATTTTTTTCCAGATCCTAGCACATAACAGCTTAGTTGTAAAACGATGGTAATTTACTAATATAAAGCTCATTATAACACAGGGTTAATAATTGCAAGGTAAAATATCTTTTTTTTTTTTTTTGTGCAGGATTATTGTCAAAAAGTAGCTTCCCTTTTATCTTGTCGTTTGTCCAGTACGATGGGTTAGTGATCTTCCGGGCCAAGACAAGACCAGCTCTTCCGAGTTTCGAGTTTGGACCATACTATTCTGCTTCTGAGAGAGAAGGGGTAGTGTTTTAATGACGGTGAAAGATGCCAACGGGTAAGTATCATAGAAAGAGGAAAGACAGCTGAAGCGTCTAGGCTTCCCAACGGCTATGGCCAGACGTTTGGCCATTTCAAACTACTGACGTTTTTGAAGCAACGTTCGTCTGCAAGATTTGTCGTGGGAAGTTGGGGCTGCCGACAGAAAGGGCGCCGATGCCAAATGCAGCAGAAGAAATATCTTTCGATACCTGCGAGGTTTTATAAACTTAAGGCATGTTTTTGTCTGAACGTTCATTTCTACATTTATTTTTGAAAAACTGGAACAAGGTCAAATTAAACTTCAAATTTCAAAGAATTTGGAATCTTAAGAAGTACAAACTCCGATAAACCCCAAATTTCCAGCGGCAAACAAACCCGGAAAAAAAACACTTTCCGAATATCGCTAAAGATAAACCCCAAAAACACATAACCCCACTTATAGGTGATCGTTCCTCGTGGATAGCGCATAGATTCGATCTCGCCAACGCCGCAGAACCTCCAGTCTCGTTGCGTGCAAATCGGAAGTCTTCCGGGGGGACTCGATAGATTTTGATGGCGCTCCAGCGTCTCGCGAGAATCGAGCATGCACACGCAGCTAAGGCACGGCAAAAGGCAACGAGCGCTTGCTGGAGGCTCGGCCTCCCAAAAAGATGCCCCACGCATCTCGTCCTTTCGGTGACACCATGCGGAGAGCTAGTCATCGGCTTCTTGCACAGGAGTTGCGGCGACGTCGGCAGAACGACGCCGAATTATGATTGGTTGATTGAAAGGATGGCGGGTAGACCTCAATGCTAAATGCCTTGAGGTCCCTACCCACTATTTTTCTTCGATCGGCCAGTAAGAGCTCGGCGTTCCGAAATCGTCCCAGCCCCTGTGCAATAAGCGGACAAACTTGCGCTCCGCATAGCTTTTCAGTATTTCTCGGCGATAGTGGAGCAGCTCAAACAACTGCTGGGGCTTCTTGACATGCGCCGGTCTGGTCGATTGCTACTCCAAATAAACTTGTTCAGAATTGCGGTGGACCCACCGTCCTGAGCAGTTCTATGGCACACCTCCCAAATTTTAACTGAGCCCCCTACCCCCACTCTCTTCCTCTTTGTGGCGGCTGTCTAGGGCAGTGGTTCTCAACCACTAACATTCCAGGGACCCCTTCCGGTTTGGCGGTGTCGGTGGGTGACGTTGTCCACAGTGGGGGGAGGAGTCAATTTTGAAGCAACCGAGAAGCTGTGAAACGGAGAATACTCAGCCCTACTCACTTGGCACACATGGTTTGGTCTATTTAGGTTTGTGGGATGGCCAGAATCAACAAAAAGTTTTTTTGCTTGGCTCGATTGTCATTCAAATGCTTCGGGGACCTTAAAGAGCGACGACCAGTTCGCGCTTTCAACTTTTCCCCCGCTCCCTCCTCTCTCACCTTCTACCCTGTCCACCATTGCCGATTTCCTCCTCCCCCATGGTGAGGAGGATCTTCTGCCTTGCAGAATCTCGAGTCTGGTCGTCGGCCTTTGAGAAGGCCTTTGGGGACCTTGAGAACCTTGGTCTAAAGAATGACACTTTTTGCCTGCGGGTCTTCGGCCACGTCGTTCTGACCGTAGAAAGTAGTTAATAAATATATTTTTTTTTATTTTGCTGTTTTTGAAAGCTCAATGTGCATAAAACTCCCCCTTAAAAAACGGAAATGGACTAGTGCAAAGTGAAGTCTTGCCACTACTGTTTTCCATCACTGTATCTACAGCCAGACATTGACCAATGGCTGAAGTGTAAATACTGTTGGCTTTGCATAAATACATACTTGTAATGCATGTCTGGCACTAGCTGGTTCTCATTAGTAAGGGAAGGAAAATGCAATGACTACTTGACATCCGGTGTTGATGCAGGCTACACATGGTAGTGCAGTAATGATGATGGAGGATAAAATGTCGAAACTATGGCTAGTATTTGTAACATTTTATTTTTTGCTTCATAGAAGTTTTGTGACTGGGGTAACATTGATTGCTTTGTAGAAAGCCAGGCAGCTATTGCACACTAAGTAGGTGTTAGAAGTTGTAGGGGTACTAGTAGTTTGAAAGGATGGGAACTGAAATGTTTGGGTCAGAAGGAACTCTTGTACTCTAGCCATCTTGAAGGATGGCTGAGGAAAACCTCCTCCTTTAATCTTGGTGGTTTTTGCAATAAAACAGTGCATAATGCATGATTTGCCTAGAATGGAGAGGTATTTTATGCTTTCTAAGAATCCCCTTTGAGAACGCAGGGTTTAAAGAACAATCTTAAAAGCAAGCACAAGGTTTCACAACCAATTTACAAGAACAGTATGTATATGTGACATTTGGACACTAGGGTTTTCAGAGGTAGTACTGCAGTATAGGAAGTTATCTTTGGAATGTTGATGTATGCACAGAAGCAGTCAGTCCTACACGTTGCACTACGTGTATTTAAAACATTAACATCATCAGCAAAAAGTGGGAAGAGATGTGTTTCTGATTTATTTTTCTTTTCGAAGTTCTGCTGGAGTTTCGTTATAACCTGCATTGCAAGTGATGGCATTACGTGACTAAACCTTCTGTAATAGGAAAGGAACATCTGTATCTTGTATGATGTCTTTGTATACAACGTTTGCATAATTATTTTGTCGACGATCATCTCAGTGGTGTCCAGGTCTCTCTTTGGCCTCTATAACAAAAGGTTCAGAGTTTGAGCTCCAGGCAGACCCTTCATCTTGGAATCTTCAAAAATCGTTTAGTCGCTCTGCGACATAAAGCTGTTAATAAAATACTATTCCTTCTGTTCCAGTGCAGGTAGGGAAATGCTTTGCTCACTAAAGAAAACACTGGGGTGTTTTCTTAAACTGGCTTTCTGTTTTATCTTCATTGCCACTCCTAATCTTAGTATTGCAGATTCAATAAAAACTGTACTTTTTTAAGCATTACCACATGGAGCAATGCAATGATCTTTTTTTGGGCTCTGCATGATATGGGGCCACAGGTGATCCAGAAAATGGCGCTCCTCTCCAATGTATTTGATTATGTACAATTTGTTTGTATTTCTTCCATAGTAATTCGGTAAATGGTTATGTAACTCAAATGATTACTGGGGTTTATAGAGTTTGCAATGCTATATATGTAGGTCAAGATTTTGTGTGCACTACACGCACATTTTTATCGAGCATAAAGTTAGGTGCTAATGGGCAGTATTCCTCATAAAGTTTGGGAGAGTAGACAGGCTGTTTGCAGTACACAGGTATATGTTTCTAAGCAGGTTCAAGCAAAAGTATGTATTGTAAAAGGTACAATGTGACAATAAATAACACCTAAAGAATTGAATATCTAACAATGTACAACACATGCACACACAATCACTGCTTGCAAAATTCTGATAAGCAAGAGATGCTTCTGTAGTTAATGTTGTATTGAAAGTAGGTAGCAGCATTTAGCACAACAAACTCTTCTGGTACCAGTGCTATCAGGAATATGCGCAAGCTGAAAGCTTTTTGTCAAATCAACTGAAAATTGCTGCCTAGAAGGAAAGTTCTAGACAGTGTAGGGCTTCCTGAGAATCACTCATAAATGCAAAACTTTCCTGGAACTTATAACAACAACTTCTATTATGGAATATCCCTGATCATGTCAGCAGGAAAATTGACAGAACAAAACACCCCTAAATGTATACCATAATATAAATATAGGAACTAATCTCAGTGATTGCATTGGCTCAGAAAAAAAAAAGAGTCAAAATGCATAAGGAGTGCAACTCGCAATAGATGCCTTCTGTAAAATGCCTAGCAGAGGCTTGAAAGACTCACAACCACTCTTGGACCACTGTGCCTTCAAGTGGCGTCAAGATTAGGTGCACTCATGACCAGTCAATAGCAAGATATGCAAGTGTTTACATGGGGATGCCGTTTGGCCACAAGGATTTGGGCACAGAGTGTAAAACGCTTTTAAACAGTAACAAAATCAAGCTCACCTCGATACCTGTACTAGTATGTATAAACTATAGGGTGCAAGCAAAATGTAACAAGTAGATGCATATCTCGCTCTCTTTGGCAAAGGGCTATACTCTGTTAACCTGCACAGCTGCAACGTCATCCCAAGGAACAAATCGCAGAGAAAGACAGCTTCGAGATTGGGCAGACAAGCTTAATAAAACTCTAGCTCCTTCCTACAGGCTTTGACAGGGGCTACAGGTCTACACAGGCGAGCTTACAATTTGCAGAACTTGCAAGAACACTGACACAATAAGATGGGGGTTTCCTCGAAATGCTACGCTCGTTAAATCCGCTTCCACCAACTTCCGATTGACCGGCCTCTAAGAAAGACATTGTAAACCAAGCTGCCCGCATTTCTTGCAACAAGTAAGGAACCGTATAATGTACGTAACAGCCCTTACAAACCCGTCTGCCTTCACTCGCGACAGACGGAAAGGTATTGTGTGCGCAAAATCTCCGAAATGATCGTCTCTTTTGTCGCAGCTGCGTCTGAGACGAAGCTCCGGCGGTGACACCGGCAGAACGAGGCGAGGACGGTGCCCCCGTTCATAGACCAGTGACGTTGGCCTCCGGTCGCTGGCAGTAGGGCATGTCTGCACCATGACTGCAGGTGATGCCGTTGTGGATGTCGACAAACGCCACGACGGTGCCGCAGACGGCAACGGCGGCCCCGCACACGGCCAGCATGAGCGCCGGGAACTTAGACCACGAGAGGAGGGGTCCGTTTTCCAACTTGAGGTACGTGGCAGCGGGCAGGATGTAGGCGAGGGGGATCGCTGCCAACACGCCCTTTTGCGAGAAGGAAAGAGAACAGAAGCTGTAGGTTGGTGTCGGGCGATGGGGTTGCATCAAGGCTGGTTCGCGTATTTGCGTTTAACCGCGACAGAGTGTGCCATGATCTCTTGCGACGAGCGACCACCTTGGTGCCCTCTATCCCAGGGTTTCAGGAAGCCCTGGAACACAATCTGCGTTTATTTGCTAATGTTTCATGCATCATTCTTTCAGCGTGGGTTTCAAATGCTTTTCAAAAATTTTATAAGCAAGCGTTTCGCATAGATAGTGCATAGATTTGATATCGCAAGTACAGGAACCCTTCAGTCTAGTTGTACACAATGGTGTGTTCCTGGGCTACCCAATAGGTGGCACCAGTGTATGAAGCGGTTACAAGGGATTGTAATGCGGCGTACAAGTTTGTTCGCTTGTTTAGCGGGGGGTTGTGTTGACGTAAGAATGCCAAACTCTGATTGGCTCTGATTGAAGGATAGTGGGTAGACCTCAAAGCGAGCTGCCTTGAGGTCTACCCACTATCCTTTAATAGGACCCAATCAAACCTCGGCATTTTGACGTCAACACAACCCCTTCGGAAGAAGCAGACGAACTTGCACTCAGCATGCACTCGAACACGCTGAAACGCAAATGTGTGAAACAGCCTTTAGGATGCTGCGCCAACTCCATATAACGGTGCTTCGTTGAAGAGCCTTATTAGAGGTCGTTGTGTACCAGGTGTGATGTACCATATGTGGCTGGCTGGTACCAACGTTTTCTTTTAGGTTTAAAATTCAGAAAGTAGACTAGACTATTTATACTGCAGTGTGAAAGAAATTAGTGTCTCAGTGTCTGCTGTGATGATGGATGAAACATTTGTTTGTGCGAGATGCAATGTATGAAGCTTCCTTTTGTTGGAATGTAAAATATGTAGTATATTAAGTAGTTTGCACGTGCTGGTCGATGTCGAAGATGTGAATGTAAAGCGTTGCAAGCGCGCCTGTACATTGTGACGTCCCATCGAGTTTGTACATACTATAATAAAATGTGAGCTTTGTGCTTGAAAGCCGACCAAGACGACGGTGTGCCAAAGATACTGTTTTGTCCAAGCATGGAAGTGGCGGAAAACATTTTTTTTTGAAAGGGGAGGCGATCGTACGTTGAGCTCCAAGACGATGCCAAGGCAGTCGGTCAGAGTTGAGAATGCAAACGAGGCCAGGACAATCAGCACTGTCATGACGATGTGGCGTACCAGATTTGAAGGGAATCTGTTCACAAAAAAGGCATTGTCCAGAACCTGCAACGAGAAATTTGTGGAAACTTGAATGTTAGTTTTTTTATTGATAGTTTGTTCATGTCATTAGGACTGAGTGCTCTCTGTTTTGAAAATACATATGCATCCTCAAAACAACGTCCTATTGTGTTGCTACAGTTATTTAAAACTGTAGATTCAGATTTAGTTAGAACTGTAGAACTGTGTGCAGATCCAAAACCTGGGCAGCATGAAGATAGAGTGAGTAGGCAGGCGAGCTGGTTGATGTTACACATTTTTTAAAACCGGAGACGACGAACGACGAAAAAGGGGACAACACACAAAACGTCTCAAGCATATTCTAGGACAGGTTTTTCCACAGTTTCGTTTGCAGTGAGCTTTATATTGGAAGATTGGCGCCTGAAATTACGCTTCATGTACTGAAGTTTACTGTAAGCTTCACGCACAACACAGTTAACGTGTACATTCTACTTTAAATCAGCCGACAAAAACAAAACACTCACGAGGTATTTGTGTGTGGCGACATTTTTCAGAGAACTATTATTAACATGGTAAAAGAAACTAAGTGGCGAAACCTTTCTAAAAAAGGTCATCTGCGCACATTTTTTTAAATATTGAGTGGCAACTGTCAGGCCGAGCACCACTTCGGTAGCCATTCTAGAGAGCAGTTAAGTAACTGCCGATCGTTTATGTTTTTCATTTCCTGAAAAAAAAAAAAAAAAGACCATCAGCATCACATCTCCCGTCGACACCAGTGAAACTTTCGACGTCATTAGTAAAGATAGAAAATTAAAGTAGTCTCAAGACGGCCCTGGTGGACTCCTGACAACGCGTCAGCCGGCTCGGAACAGCCCCCCTCACCCCATCTCCCCGAAAAAACAAAAAATTGAGAAGCCGTCAAGTAATCTTGAAGTCAAAAAGTAGTCTTTGAATTATTTTGTAAATGTGCAAGCTTTGACGGTTGTTTAGGGTGAAAAACCCAGTCGAACATTTTCGAGTAATCAATGGAATATAATATCAAATTGTCCTTGTCAGTTTAGGACTTTAGCAACATCATGCGTTGTTTCAACCAGCTGTGTAGTTGAAAGGCCGCGCTGGAAACCATATCGGACATAGCAGGAGAAATTCTTGGTTTCAAGAAAAATAAATATATTCTTGAACATATTATGTTCCAGAGTCTTAGAGCATGACGATAGCAACGATGTAAGCCTATAGTTTTTCAGTGATAACTCATCCCCCGATTTGTAAACGGGGGTAACCTCTGCAGGTTCCCACTGATTGGGAACAGCTGCATCTGACGAGGATTGCGTGAATAAAATGGAAAGAAACCTTGAACACCATTTCGTGTATCGTTTTAAAAATGGGTTGGGATTGTTATCGGCACCCTGAGACTTTTTATTTTTGAGGTTAAGCAAAAGAGATAAGATGCCTTTGTTGTATACTTCAGTGTCAAGAATGCAGTATCAGTAAATAGCGGAGCAGCCATACAAGCACCACTATCTTCGGTGAAAATTACGGAGCCAAAATAGCAACCAGAACACAATGCCATTTCAAGAGGATCAGAGATAATCCCATCATCTACATAAAGTTTAGTATTATGGGCTCCTTTAGGTGATAAGTGTCTCCAAAATTTTGACTGATAGACTTCAAAAAATTGTGAAGGGTAAAGTTGTAGACTAACTTAGTCTCAGATATCTGAATATCTGAGACCGCAGGTCTGTCTCGAAGGGCAGCTCCGCTTCGTTTTTGTTTTTGAAAAAACAATGCAATCCTCCTCAGCATTACCTAGGAAGACCACACGTCAAATATTACGACCTAGTACTGTTTAGGTAAATGTTATTTAAACGGTCCGGAAAACTTTTGCACTGTGCCAAGTTGCCGAGATCGGCGTACTCTAGCGGGTAAATCAAGGTGCAACCAACAGCGCAGTCAAGGCTATGACGTTGGCGTAGCCAACATTGAGCTAAGCGTTATCACCATTGCACCTTTTTGTTTGTCTTAACTTCTCAGGGCAAGTGCTTTGGGGAATGACAGCAACGTTTCCTTTCGGAACTCAGCGCTGTCCACGTGACTGGCGTGACGCGTCTGCGCAGTGCGCTTCTTGGAAGCCGTCCGGCCGTCCCGCCATTACAGCCGTCTCCCGCGTCACAACCGCCGTCATCATCTCACCATTTGTGATTATTTTCTCTCAGTTTCGTTCACACTACTTCCGCAAACTGACACGGCAGTTGTGCAGACATCGTCGAACACCGAAACATGGTGAAGAGAGTGGTGCAGAGGACACTTGAGCCTGGCACACACCTGCCCCAACAGTGGCCCACCCCAATCCTGCCCGTCGTTGAGTAGTAAATCATGTGACATCTTGTACCACGTGATAGCCGTGTTGTTGGCAGCTTGAAGCTGAAGTTTCGGTTTCAACTTCTGCTCATGATTAAATTAAGATTTCACAATATGTATTCCATTTTTCGGGAAGCAAATGACACAGTGCCTTTTTATTGCTTTTTAATGTGCAATCACTCATTATCCAGAAATTTTTGGAATTGAGCGTAATTGCCCTGCTTTTTCAGAATGAGTGGAATGTTTGTAGCTCCTGATTTTAGAGTTTGTAAAATTTTTCATTTTAGGTTAATAATATTCTGATTAATTCATGGGTTATGCTTTTTCGAACGTTTCTTTACCATAGGTACAAAGTTGTGTAAGCATTCCTGTACCGTTATGTCAAGCATAGTACTCCACAACGGACACTGACACCCCCCAAAAGTTTTGTTTTATTTATTGCCAGGCGATTTATTATGGTGTCGGAAGACTACTCAATCAATACTTTGCTACAGCGTCACGTGTATTTTTAATAAAGTAAAAAAATGCAACTGCTCGAAACCGAAACTGGACTGGGGAAGAAGAAATGTAGAGGAGGAGAGAGTTAGCAGAAGTCACGTGGCTGTGCAAATTTTTTTTTTCTTCAATCAACATATTTGCGACAGTTCAGAAGCCATGAAAAATGGGTATCATATTTCTTTTCTATTTTTAACATTGTGTTTCTTTGATGACCCACGAATTTGATTATATTTGGTGGCTGTGTCTAAACCAAAGAAAATTGCACGTGACCACAGAGAAGAGAGAGAGCGCGACTCGAACTGGGCAGTTCTTAATCGGCGGTTTTCAGGCAGAAAGAAAAGTAATTTTGAGCCGCAAATTGTGTTCTGGGTAGTTGGGCTCTCGTATGTCATGTATAAATAAAAGCCTTGGCGAGCATAAATACCCTGTCAGTGTCACTTTAGTGTCTGTGCCGGGAAGAGAATTGATTTGTATGAATTCATCGTAGGAGTCTCTAGGAACACTAGGACACAGTCATCATTTGCTCTCGAAAAATTGTAATACGAGACAGTGCGACTTTCCTGTACAGCTAGTGGGACAATGCTAAGCTCGGCAAGAATGACTTTGTGATCGGACATTCCTTCTTCAACCCTACAAGAGTGTTCATTATCTGGGAGACGCTGAGAAATGAAAAGTAAATCTAGTACTATATATTTTCCATAGTATCTTAGAAATGAGTTGGACTACTGACTATAGCTGCACAAGATAGTGCTCAAAAACGATTTGAACCAAGGAGTCAGAGTTTTGACAACTGGAAGACAAAAGAGCTTGTGTTGGGCCAGTCGATGAGCAGAAGGTTAAAATCCCTGTCAAAATGGAGCACGAATCACGCCTTGACATATTGTTGACACAATCGGACAGCTTGTCAAGAAGGGAAATGTCAGCACCAGGAGGACAGTACACCGAGTCAGTGATTACCGCACCCAACAAAGTATTAACCTTGAGCTCAATTGCTTCAATATTCTAAGACTTTTCTAGCAGAACAGCATCAATGCTTTTACTGACATAAAAAGCAACACCACCTCCGTGGGAGCCCCTATCCCTCTGAAAGATATTGTAATTAGGGTGTGTTAACTCGCTATCAAGCACAACGTCGTGTAACCGTGTCTCTGTAACTGCAACCGGACGTGGCTCATTTGCAAGGAGGCGGGGTTCACTGTCTTCCGTTCTATTAAGCAAAATTTTTTGCATTCAGGGTCATAATCTTTAAAAATCCCCCACTAGCGACAGCCTGTCAATCAGAGCTAGCCACTGATCGCCTGATATTCACACTTGTTGTTTTCCTTTTTGTCCCAGTAAAAGAGTTGGGTATTGTCGATCCACAGCTTATCCTTTTCCAGTTTTACCTTGGATCTTTCTTGTTTACTCTCTCGTGCTATTACAGAGGCTCTTGCGTGAACTGGCCGAAACACTAGCGGGCATTTTTTTATTGGGCTTCTTTCGAAAGTGATAACTGAGGTGGTCAAGAAACTGCAAGTGGTCTCAAGACTTTTCCTCTAAGTGAACAGTCGATCAGAACTGGCCTTGGCATAGGTCGAAAAAGTTCTTTGTTTGGTAAATGACCTTTCAATCAACAATTGGGTACCTGAAAATTTAAGAGTAGGTCAATGCACTGCAATGGCTGATGCAGTCATATAGGTTTAGGGCAAACCTCGATATGCAGACTGTCATCAACTCAATCTTCAATTAGATAAAAACAAAAAAACATTGAGATAAATAACAGAGCACCTAGATTTTCAGTATACTACTAACTGCATTATGCAAGTAATACTTTGTTTTAGTCAAAAATTTTAAACATTCACACACCACGACTGGGCTTGTATATTGGCCATTGCAGCCTGGTTCTTTCGAGTCTGTGGAGTAACCGAGAGTCACTGGATGTTGCCAAAGTATTGCACTCGATAACATTCACTGTGACTGTTGTATTTTAGCTTTGACCGGTCATTTTGGCACCGAAATATCTACGGCGGAAGGAATTTCAGGGGTGCCAACCCCTCTCTCCCCAGCGGATGCACTGTGAACTATCACCAAAGTTAGGATGCACCCAGCTCGGGACACGCTTCACCTGAAATTACCAATGAGACATGGTTGCATGAAAACAATATTGTGTCGCAAAACCTTGTAAACTGAAATTTTACGAAAACATCATGCCCCTGTCATGCTGTACTAACCTCCAATAAAAAATAAAAAAATATATATATACATTTCTTTTTTTTTTTTTTTTTTCAATTTGATTTTACGTAAGAACATGCTTTCTAAACATTGACATTGAAGAGAAACGCTTCCAGAACTTTCGCACGTAAAGAGTCAGTCAGAAATTCCGACAACGCCAATTACAAGAATTGTCGTAATAACCACAATAAAAAATAAAAATAAAGAAGATTGAGCCGCCATTTTGGCTCTATCAAGCCTGGGAGTTTCGGTACTCCGGGAAAGTTCAGTGACTAAGTAACCTAGCCAAAGGAGGCCCACATCGTGCCGCATCTCAACGACATAACACGAGACAAAGACGGTTGGCAGTCCTTACCTCACGGGTGACAAAGCATTCAATGGGATATGTCAGCATGATGGTCACCGTAAACATCAGCCGAGCCACGTTGGCGTAGTCGTCATCCATGCAGTAGTTCTCGAGCAGGTCCCCTGAAGGTGCGAGAAGCACACGGGAGTTAGAAAGCCCACGTGTAGGGTACCTGAAACGCATCTCTTGACTGGCACCTTTACCACGTTTTTAAATGTGATTCCTCGATTTGCACCCGACAACATCGTAGGAGTGTCACGTTGCCTGCCACAATCCGTACAGTGGCACAGCAGCAGGGGTGAATTACGCTGCAAGTCGTTCTCCAGCTCGACAGTTCGCGGAAGCCCTAGCTGCCAGGAGTCGGGACGCTACAACGACTCGTATCCGCTCGTGTTTTTGCCGAAACTTGTACGACCAACCGCCCGGATTGCGACATTCAACGACTCAGTACGTGGGCTCCCGTGACGTCGTTTGTTGCCGCCTCGGGACCGCTTTCAATGCAGGGAGTGGCACGGGATGCCAGACACACCAGTCGAGGATGGGTTCCGAGCACCGTACAGGAAGTGCCGAAGTGAACCAGACGTACCTTGGCTGTAGTAGGTGAAGGAGACGTAACCACCGATGCCAAAGAGGAGGATGATGAAGCAGGAGAGCGCCAGGCTCACGTGGGTCACCCTGTTCCACCGTCGCTGAGTGGGGTCCTTCAGTGCGGCGAAGAGCAGAAACGAGTTGTGGTGGCACATGTAGGCTGCGAAACGAGCAAACTGTAAGCTGGTGCCACCGCCGTTAGGGAACGCCAGCTAAGGGGCGCAAGCTGCCGCCCGATTTAGAAGCTTGAGCTGTACGCATCTGTCCGTTCATTTGCTTTCGTGGTACGATAAAGCTCGAAAACATGTTCCGGGGGTGCTCTCACGATACGCTTTTTCTTTTGTTGATTCCAACAAATCGGTTCAATACCGCGACACGAGGGCAGAAAGGAAGGGCTGTGAAGTAGGGAAGGATGTCCACAACACTGTTTTAAATGTGGTGTCCCTCTTTTGATGCACGATCATCTCTCTTTCTTTTTCTTGGGAGTTTTAAGCATGATCCCATGATGCTAGCTTGCCTGTATCCCTGTTCTTTTCTCTGCTCACTGGCAGCATCAGAGACTTCTTTGTTCAAAGCAGCTTTTAAAAGTGGAGACATACTAATGCAAAGTTCTTTTGATTTTGGCCTTAAGGTTATTCTGCTTTTAGTTTATTTTTGAGGATCGACACCGCATGCCGCTTGGAGGACAAGCAGAGCATGGGGAAATCTAGGGAGTGCGGACGAAGGAAGTCCTGTGGCTAGGGTAAATGGGGAGGCATCAGAACAGTCACTGGAAATAAAGAGCGAAGTTTGAAGTTGACCGCAACACATTATTCACAAAAGAGATTTTTTTTTGTGTGCAATGTTCTTTTCTGGTACCTGTCGCTTTGTCAGTCATTTCTATATCAGGGTATTGAACTGAACCCGAACCGTGAACCGAAAACCGGAAAAGAAACGTTATTTTCGTGCGAACCGGAGTTGACCCGGAACGAAATAATTTTTCTCGCTCTGGAGCGGAACCGATATGTTTTCCATGCGGTTTTCGGTTCATACGCGAAGTCAGGTTGCGTGAAAAGTGCGTGGCAAAGAACACAGTAACCTTAAAGGTAAACAAAAAAATGAAAAAAAAAATATTATTTTTGCACAAACCGGGGTTGAGTTAGACCGAAATAATTATTTTTTCGTTCCTGGGCAAAATGGACCAATTATTTTTGTGGTGTTTCGTTTATGTGAAAAATCAAAAAGAAAAAAAAAAAAAAAAAAAAAGCTAGCGGAAAGGTTTGTAACGTTTCACTATCAGGTTTTCAGATAACGGTCGTCTTCATAATTTATAAAGTTCGTCTCGAGAACGAAATGAGCACAGTAACTATAAATTCTCCGGGATTGCTGGTCTTACGTATTTCTTTAACAAATGCCCACATTCGTCCCAACCTTTTCTTGGGGACCGGAAATGGCTGATAAAAAAAATTTAACACTGGAACATACGTAATTTGTAAGTCAGCAAAAGTGACCAATTAATGAGCGTGCTTGGTGGCAAAACGGTGAATTGGGCTAGTTGGCTTTTCATCTCGGACTAAACACACACGCAAAGAAAAGGACAAAGAGAGGTATATACAACAACACCCCTAGTGTTGTCTATACCTCTCTGTCATTGTTTTTTTTTTTTTTTTTGCGTTGTTTTTTGTTTTTTTTTGTGTGTGTGTTGCTTGTCATTAATTTTGTAGAGTTGTGTACAATTTACTTGAAACGCCTTGATTTCATTGTACGACTGATCGGATGAGAAAGCGATACAAAGGCCGATGGATATTTTAGAACCTGCATTAGTTGCCATACTGTGATGCTTCTAATCTGCTTTCAAAATAACTCAGCGGATTTAATAAGCTGTCCGAAATTAAAGTCTAGCACCGGGAAGGGGAGGGGGCATTCGATCAACAGTTACAGCTATAGAAAACAGCTTCAATCTCTGGTAGCAAAAACAGCAAGGACCAATACGTTTTCTCCTCAGAAACACAAACATCAAGGTGCACAGCTCTTCTGAGCTTTTCTAGACAAGGAGCCGCGGCTTTCAAGGGACGCTAAAGTGTTGCTGCTTTGGGAGGAGAGAAGGGGACGCCATCCAGAACTCTACCCATTGGCGCAAGTAGCCCTGGGAGTGCCTGCGACCCAGGTCAGCATGCAGCAAGCCTTTTCTGCACTGAAGTTCATTTTATTGTCTCAGAGGTGTCGTCCTTCCCCAGATATGCATTCTTCGGTCAGCTGCCTGACATTGAACTGCGCTTTCACCACGTGCCTAGGTGCCCCAGCACTAGCTCATTCGTTCCACACAGTAATGTGAGCCTTTGCTTTCTATACATAACACTTTTATAAAATATGTATAGTTTATCTTTTGCTGTCGTCAACTGTTTTTGTAGCATATGAGTACGAACCGGTTCAAACAGGTTTGAACCTTTATTTTTTCACTCCGGAGTTGAACCGGAGCTGAACCGTTTTCCCTGGACCGGAACAAAAAACATTCCGGTTCGACACTCTGCTCTATATAAAGAGGTTTCTGTAAATTGATTTTGTACACATTCAAAGTAGTTGCGGCTCATTTATTAATGCGAAAGCATTAACTGTCGCATGAAGCGAACAGGAGTTATCAGCCTTTGAAGCTGCGCCAAACGGCACCAAAATTCTCCTGTCCTATGGAGCGAAGCCTATAGTCTGTAGCAGTGAATTGATGGAAAACTCCCACTGGCTGGCACGTGGCACAGTTCCAAGGAACGCCACCCCACAGAGAAGCCCTCTCCATGGTGCAGTGGCCCGGCGGCTGGTAAGAGGGAGAGGGTGGTCGGGCTCCGCAGAGCGGTCGGGGCGACCGGCCGAGCGACTGTTAAGTGTTGCTACTGTTAAGTTCCTCAAAATGTATTATTTTAATTACAAACATTTACTTTGAGTGTATGAAAGGATAAACAACTCACCGAATGCTATTACACCAATTGCCTTTGTGATACCTCTATTGGCAAAACCAAAAGACTCTGGAGATGGTGGTCTGCAAAAGAATTAGGATAATTTGGTCACAATCATGGGGGCTTTGCAAGGTGTACTACTACACCGTGTCGAAACGTTACTCACATCTCGTGCACAAGTGTCATCATTCGAACGATGACAAAAACAAGGATTACGAGAATGAAAAGAAGGGACGTCAGAGAAGCCTAGAATGAAATGTCGGGAAGATGAAATAACTCGTGGCTGATGCCAACCTTCATTCATATATTGTTGTCACTATCATCCGCAAACCTACCTTGTTCAGTTTGGAGATGTTTCTGTGCAGGGACAATGGCAGAGTCACAAACAAGGAAGTCATGATCACAATAAAGTGGCGATTTCCAAGGACGTTGTCTGTCGACACTGCCAGATACCACGAGATTCACAAATCAGCCGTTGCAACCCTTAGGACTCTGTTTAAATGATTTTAGCTGAGAGCTTACCCTTGAAAATCCGCATGAACACTTTGGTGATAGTGTCTCCTATGATGACGTTGTAGCTGATCATTGCTGTTGAGAAGAGCGTGCCACAGATTACAGGTTTGTACACTTTTGAGAGAATGGGGGAAGCCATTTCCCCAGTGTAGCTTACCTATGAAAGGGTACATAAACTGCATAAATGTCAATATGTAGAATCCGGGTAGCCCAAACGCCGACTGAACGAGATCCTGATTTGGAAAAAAAATGAGCAGTACACATTGGTTTTGTTAGTGTATCATTTGCATGCTCCGCAGCATTGACTAGAAGGAGGGATAACGAACCTGATATGTGGCAGTGCCAGTAGAAATTCCTGCTTTGATAAGTATGCAGAGGGAGTAGTCGGTGATAGCGGCAAAGGTGATCAGCAGTATCACTCCCATGGCGAATCCAGCCTCTTTGAGTGCGTAGGCAATCCCTGTGGTAGGAGTGGCACGTTGTTGCACATGTAACTCCTTTTGGCTAGGCCCAATTTTAGGTGGCAAGAACAAGTTTCGGGGCGTTCCTACCTACGACACCGGAGCCGATGATGCTGTTGATGTAGTTGAAACTGGTCTGTGTTAGGTTGCTGGTCTCAAACAGTGGCTGGGCATCGACCTAAACAGCAGAATGTACCAGAATCTGATCATTAAAATCTCAATGACAGGCATGTCTCGCTAATATGGACCCCATTAATATGGATGCCCCGCTTTATGGACACCATTTTCGGGGACAAACTGGGAAAATACATGCATTTTTGTCCCGTTATTATGAACGACTCGCATTATTTACGATCTCTGGAGGGAACGGATGTTCCCTCCAGAGATCGTATACTATTAAAGGGGTACTCCACCAATTTTTTCATTGTCTCCGATTTGCTTGAAATTTTGCTAAACTAACCAACAAACATTGCTAAAATAGTATCCCAAATATTAGGTCAAAATATTGTTTTTTCGCGAAGTTATTGAATTTACAGTTTTGGTCTTCACCATGTTTTTCAAACTGAAAGTCTCTACTGGCAACAACAACAAAGTGACGTCAGTGGAAGGCAGGGGTTTACTTTTTGGACTACAGAAGTTGTTCCCAACGGATTTGAAGCAGTTTCTTGGTTCAAATGAGTGCTTTGGAAGCTCGCTCCTGTATCCGTGCTCCAGCACGGAACAAATGATTGGCATATTCTATTTTTAGACTACTTGCTCGACTGGCAAGCCTGCCTGCCACTGACGTCACGGCACTGAAAAGTGCGCGAATATTTGAATATTGGTTTTTGCACCTTTTTCATTTGCCGATTTCACAATACCTATTATGAATTTCGCGATGCTAAATAGCATACCGGAACGGCTAAAGGCCGGGGAGTCAGAAAATATAGTTAGTTGAGGTAGCTCAAAAAATCGGTGGAGTACCCCTTTAATGAGACATCACTGTATATATATATCTCATTGTCTGCAATGTTACTTGGCCTACTGCAAGGTTGCATATAAAGCTATTAGGCAACCGTGATTGTATTCGACTATAATGGACTTTCCTTTTAATTGGAGCTGTGCAAATATTCAAAACTTTGAATTGTTTGCTAATACTGTTTGCTCTTTGATTTCATTCATAGCCTTTCTACTGGAATACTTCAGTGTTCAGTGTTCTCAAATTTCTTGCATCAAGCTTCACTGCTTCGCATTAGCGCTCTGGTGTCATGCTTCACCGCTTCGCACCTACGCGCTAGCGTCATGCTTCACTGCTTTGCACCAGTGTGCTAGGAGAAACAGCTGACTTGTTGGAGCATTTCAGGTGGCTCTATGGCCTCAAACATTTTGCTCGCTATTGTAGGTCAGCTCTCTTTGGTTATAATTATAGTTCACCCTTTAAATCAAAAAAATTTTAAAAACTTGCGTTATATTTTAAGTTATTGTTTTGCTTGCCATGTTACATTATGTTTTGTCCAACTCATCTTATCAAGGACTTTTCTTTCTTAAATACAGGTATGTGAAATGATTCTCGCATAGTAAAACTGTTTCTCTTCAGACGTATGCTTTCTAAAAAAATAGTTTTCATTGTGATATTTTGAAGCATCCATGCTCAATTCACATAAGATCTAAAATGAATATTCATTCAGTAGTATCTTTTTTACAATCAGATAAACACATATATACAGTTCTCAGTCAAAAATGTTATATTTGCAACCTCTGCTCTTAATCTGTTTCTGTCACTGCTACTCTTTAATTTTTATTGCAGGCAAGATTGCTAGAGCAGTGTATGATTTGTTGCAATGGTGCTCCTGCTGGCACATGAAGATATTTTCATTTTCCTGTACAGCTTTCTCTACAATTGCCACAGAGGTGTTAAATGCTGTGAATTACCTAAATGTTGCACACTTCACGATTTTAAAAATATTGCGAAACATTTATCGCACAAATACATCATCCTATGCTCCCAATCTTGAAATTTTGTACCTGTGAAATGTTTTTAAAACCCACACCCCACAAAATTTGTGGAGCTTGCAAAAACAGCACTTTACAGCATGCAGAAATTTTTGTTCTTAAGAGGGAAGGGGGGAGATTATGGGCAACTTATACAATCTTGTGCACAGCAAGGACGAGGACAAAAGAAGAGAACAGGACACAACAAGGCGCAACTTTCAAATGAATTTTATTGAATATGTGTTCCAATATTTATACTCTCAACCATCCTCACAATGACAACTAGCAAAACTGTAAAAGCAAAAAAGAAAAAAATGACCATCACTGAGCATAATTGGAAAATAACACTATCTCGTTCTCAGAAAAAACAATTCCTTCTCCGATAACGCAATCGACGGCATAGCAACACACGTGTCTCCTAAATAATTGATGTGCTCGGCTTCTACAATTTCGCGTGTTAACGCTGACTTGCATTTCCCAATTCTTACGCATCCATCCAACAGTGGGGTACAACCGCGTGGCCTGCAATGCAAGTCAAGAAAGCCACCATTTTTTTTTTTGCATGTTGCTATTGTGCTTGCGAAGCCGATCAATTAGGCAGCGCCCCGTCTGCTTGACGTAGTGCCTGCCACAGGACAACGGAATGCGATAAACCACACCATCTGTACAGTCGACAAATTTCGTTCTGTGCTTCTTTTCACATCCGTGTTTGGCACGCACGCCAGGCTTTGATAGTTTGCACAGGCCCATGAGCTTATTGGGCACAGAAAACACTACCTTTACATTTGATCTAATTGCTACTTTAAATTGTGTGACACTCGGTGTGTATACGGTATCACAACTTTTCCTTTTTGTCTTGCCAGCTGGCTTGACATTTTTCGACTGTACAGATGGTGTGGTTTATCACATTCCGTTGTCCTGTTGCAGGCACTACGTCGGCAGGGACGGCGCCAGGGGGAGGCGAGGGGTGGCGGGCGTCTCCCCTAAAATTTCGTCTGCCACCCCAAGGTGAAGCAGCTTTGTACGCAAATAATTGCCTGCGACGTCGGCTTCAAGACCCAGTGTAACGAGTGCCCAGCCTTTAGAGCCGTTCATGCCTTTTATTCTTTCTTTTTTCTACTAACTTCCATTCACGGGAAGGCGTACCGAGGGGCAGTAAGCTATCAAGCGCTTTAGATAAAGCAGCTCCCCTTTGTGACGCCTACTGGCTATTCTCTCCATATTCCGCTCTGTGGTGCTTATCTTTAGCGGAGACCGGAGACGTGAACGAAGGCGAGCTTAGTAACAGTCAAGGTCATGGGGCATCCCGAAAAGGGAAGCAAAACCTTGTTGTGAGTCTGAGCACAGGTGGCAGAGGTCCCTGCTGGCTGTCATACCCCCCCCCCCCCCCCCCCCATCACCCTGCTCGTGTCTCCGCATTTCCCTTTTCAATGAGCACACCGCATAAGCTACCTTTGATAAGCCCGTGGGTGATAGCACCTCAAAGCAACCCCCCCCCCCCCCCGGCCCCATTTGTTTTGCCTCCCCGCTGCCCCCCCATTATAAAAATCCTGGCGCCGTCCCTGTACGTCGGGCAGATGGGGCTCTGCCTAAATTATCGATTTCGCAAGCACAATAACAACGTGCAAAAAAAGAATGGTGGCTTTCTTGACTTGCATTGCAGGACATGCGCTTGTATCTAACTGTTGGATGGATGTGTAAAAATTGGGAAATGCAATCAGCGTTAACACGCGAAATCGTAGAAGCCGAGCACATTGATTACCTAGGAGACACGTGTGTTGCTATGCCGTCGATTGCATTATCAAAGAAGGAATTGTTTCTTCTGAGAACAATCGAGGTAGTGTTATTTTCCAGTTATGCTCAGTGATGGTTGTTTTCCTTTTCTTTTCCCGTTTTGTTTGTTGCCATTGTGATGATGGTTGAGACTATAAATACCGGAACACATATTCAATAGCATTCAGTTAAAAGTTGCGCCTTGTTGTGTCCTGTTCCCTTCTTTTGTCCTCGTCCTTGCTGCGCACAAGATTGCATAAGATGTCAAACCAACTTGCCCAAACAACCACTCTTCTTATTATGGGCAACTTTATGAATAACACAAACAAATTTGACGTTTTTGTTTATACAGCGTTAGGTCGGTCTGTCTTTGAGGTGTGGACTGGTCACGCTGTAGATGAGAAATTTAGCCAGTGCAGCTAGCCTAGGAGCTTTAAAGTGCATCATGCAGTAGTGAAACATGACTGCACGCCGGTACGATGCTCATCCAGATCGGAACGGGCAGGGGCGGGGATTGAACCCAGGGTCCCTAGGTTCCGCAGCGCGAGCTTCCACTCCTGTGCTCCGAGCTTTGATAAGCTAACCCATTCTTGATAAAGTTAATGGAGCTGTATTCTTTGCACAGTAATGCTATTTAGTTTTGGTGACAATAACAGGCAAGCACTTGTATTGTTTTCTAATACGTACAGGAACGCACCGGAAACATTTGTAGTGAAAATAAGTTAGCCTTCGTTTAATCATTAAAAACTGTTGAAATAATTTGAACAATTGTTCATTACTGTTGAAAGCAGCCAGTAAGTGCCATCAATACTGATTTCAATCTATTACACATGGCCTATTCTAACGAGAGATCCTAAAGCGAAATGTGCACTCCAAAATGGTGCGCAAAAGGACCCTTCAGGTGACGCTTTGCTGCAGTGCACTTCACCCGCGGGGGAAACAAACTCGGGAAAATTTTTCCTTCATGGAAAAATTTTAATGGAAAAATAATTTTAATGGAAAAATTTAATGGAAAAATAATTTCCTTCATGGAAAAATAATATGGCACTATTTTTAAAAAATCTCAGAACTTTTTGCAGATTCATAAAAAATGTTTCTTCTAGTAATTTGTATAGAAATTCAGATGCACACGTAAATTTTGGCAAAAGTGCAATAAACTTTGAACTCGTTTTTATTTTAAATGCCGCTACAAACCAATAATTCTCGGATTGAACAAACATCTGTCCAGATGCTTTTGTGGCTGCTTGCCATGACAGCACTGCTTTTATTTTCAGTGTGACTGACTGCATTTTATTCAGAAGCGTTTGTGGACATGGGAAAGTATTAAGGCATGTGGGAATGTAGGTAACTCTGCTGGTTGTCATCCCAAGAAAAAAAGCAGGCTTGGACGGTGTGAAAATAAAGATGATTATTATTATTATTATTACTATCATTATCAGTTCTTACTAGATTCAGTTGTCAAAGAAAAAGCTTTTACTTTTTGCTTTTGAAATGTGTATGGTATCGTGAGATAACAAGTAACCGGTGTTACAAAAGGAAAATTAGCAGCACTGTATGGGGTCCACACTTTTTTGTTATTATTCTTAAGGTGAAAATAAGATTAGGAGATAAGAATGTTGTTGCCCACTCCTTCTGTGATTCAGTATGCAAAACCCAAGTTCATTGGCACACGAACTGACAGCATTGACCAACATATTTTTTTCCTATGAAATATGAAAAGCTTGTGCAAGTTCGTGGAAGTCAATCATTAGAGAAGGTTCTGCTCCTGTAAAGTACAACCTTAACTTTTTGTGGATTATGCAAACTTTACAAAGCCAGCGTGTTGAACGCACCTGCGTTCAACGTGCCTGGTACGTCTGACGTACAGAACAGTTTAGGGACAGTAAGACATGAAAGGGTGTATGAAGGGTACTGCTGTCTAGGGTACAACGAGACAAGTTTTATAGAAACTCAAGTGAGACTCTACTAGCTCCTAATGTCTCATAAGTCAGGTGCTGAATTGTAGTTTGTTTGGGCTTGACCTCCACAAGCCTTTTCTATTTTCACTGCTGTCTGGGTAGTAAATCTCTTACCAGTACAAGGCGTTTGGTTTCTGTTGTGCTGTCTTGACTCTGGAGTGGGGGATAAAAATGAATAACATAAAAAAAAAGAAAAATGTGTTAGCATCATCAATCTTGTAATCTATTTCTTTTTTTTTTTTCATATTTGGCAGTATACAGAAAGCTGTGTTCATTTAATTTAAGCTGTATTGGCGTTTATTGCTACATACACCATTTCATGAGTACAACGCTGCCGAAGCTACTGGTGTGAGTGTGTGACTTTAACTATAGCTTTTCATTTATATGCCTTTTCATCAGAATGAGACGCTAGATAAAGTGCATGTGGCAGTAGCTTTAACAGCATTGTACACTATGTATGAAATGTCCAAACAGCCGTTTTCACAGTTTCCGAGTAGCATTCCCAAAGGTAAAAATTGAAAACATTTCAAAACATCTTTGCTGCACTGAACAAGCTATATACATTTCTCAAGATTGGCTATTCTTTCAGTTAGCAAACATACGAAACCTGAATAAAGTGAAATGAATTAAAGAAAAAAAACATGAAAGAAATGTAAGCTTGAATTTGGTGATGTACATTTGGAAACACTGAATAGTGAAAAGGCATTTGACTGAAACCTATGTGGAGTGCAAGTTTGTCTGCTCCTTGCACTGGAGTTGCGATGATGTCAGAATGCCGACCTCTTATTGGCTGACTGAACAAAAAACAAACAAAAAAGAAATGGGTAGACATTGTGGCATGAAGCATTGAGGTCTACCTACCATCCTTTCAATCAAAGTCATTCGGAGCTCGGCGTCGTTCTGACATCACGCAACTCTTGCGCAAGCAGGAGACGACTTCCATTGCCTTCTTTGGTAAATGTAGAAAATTTTAGGCTTTAATAATAACACGCAGTCCAACTTTGCCTTTTTTTTTTACTACAATGAGTGTATTGAAAAGTTGTTGACCATTTCCAATCGTAAAACTCCACACTGCTTTTGTTCAACTCCATTCACATTTCGTTGGAATGTTAACGGAGCTGCACGTCACACAACATTCATTCCGAGCACAATTTTCAGCAGCTTTGCTGAAACCTGGCACATATGTGACCCCCTTTTCATGTAACACAAAAAATAGAAGCAACACAAAGATAGCAGGTGTTACTTGAAATTCCGCTTTGTTAAAGATTCATAACAAAACAAAATAGGCAGTACTAAATTTACCAGCTGGTGGCATGTACATTCAATGCAGGGCACTGCTTGAAGGGACATTATTTGGGTTTCTATGCGGAGTGCAAGTTCGTCTGCTTGGTTTTGCAGGGGGTTGTGGTGATATCAGAACGGCGATCTCTAATTGGTTCTGAACGTTCTGAATGAGGAATAGCGGGTACACATCAAGACAGCTTGCTTTGAGGTCTACCCATTATCCTCCAATCAGAGCTCAGCGTCTTTCTGACGTCACCACAAATCCTGTGCAAGAAGCAGACGACTTGATCTCCGCATACCGTCCACATAGATTGTATATGGTAATATCTAACAATTCTTTGGGTCGTCTATATCATTTAGCCGGCTCCCCATGAAATTTTCAATGCACGAATATAGGTCCTCGATGAATAAATAATTGAGACTCGTTATATCGGATAAAAATTTAAGGAAATGCGTAGAATTATTAAAAAGCATATACCGTATACTATATATATTACTATTATTATCAGATCACCGCGTCGTCCGAATTTTACATCCTATAGTTATCGCAGTTTAAGTTCATGGTCCTTTTTTCTCGTTGCTTCGTTTCTCGTGACTCTTAAAGTCCATGGCAGATGTGTAGCTTGTTGCTTTTAGGCGCCGTGTTCATAACATCTCCATACGCGATCATTTTACAAGGTGTGCCAACGGTACAAATCTTATCGACAACGGCAAACAGATGTGTTTGGCCATGCCGATTTCAAACGCGTGCACGCAAATAGAAACTGATTTCTCGGTGTAAGAAAACAAAACAAAAAACTACAACTACGGTAGTTCTTTTTTTTTTTTTTTTCTTTTTTCTTTTAACAATTGGAGGGGATATGGAACAGACTGGGTCTTAATTCTTACCTTCTCTGAGTCCCTCCTTTCGAGGATGTGCAGAGTTTCCGAGCTCGTCATCTTGGAAAGCAACAGTCCTGTACTCGTGTTCGACGCTACTGTTCGCACGGCAGTGGCTCAAGATCGATGGAAAGCTAGCCGAGGTTCGCTACGGAGCGATCCATATGCGGCGCTCGCTCTGCGGACCGGAGAGACTGGCTCCGTTGACCCGTCGAATAGGCTTACAGTCCGACTTTCGCTGCGGACAAGCTCACGAAGTGGTAGTAAGGCCGCTTCAGCCACTTCAGCCTTCGCTGTGCGCGCGCGACTTTCAGACGTACGGGGCAAAACGAAGCATCATGCTAGGCCGATACTGCGTCGGCTGCTAGCGCAACAGATGGGAAGCTGTGCCGCAAAGCATTCGCGCATTCCGCAAGAGGACGCTTAAGTAGCACGGGCTTAAATGGTAAAACAAAATGGCTAGGTGGCGTAAGCTACCGCCCGATCCAAAGGGCTCAGCCGTATTCATCCATCCATCCATCCATCCTCAAAAACGACTGACCAGGTGTCGCAAGTCACCGCCTGGTTTAGAAAACTGTATTGGGTGGCAGCTTGTGCCACCTAATTTTCAAACATTTTACAAAGTTTAAAAACTCAATTGGCAAAAAAAATATGACACTCGTATTTTGCAGTAAAGTTGACATTTGGGCTAGTTGGTAGTCTAACATATTGAGGTATGTTAGGTATGTTAGCGCACAAGGTCTTCCTACCTTGTGCGCTAAATACCTCAATATGTTACACTCGTATTTTACATGGCATTCATAATAATTTTAATAATTCTGCATTAATTTTTGTATTAGTTTATAACAAATACAGTTTCTTTTTTTTCCCCCACTTTTTAAAGTAAACAACAGTTAGGTGGCGCAAACCACCGACTGATTCACGCTGTTTAGAGTAACTGTATCTCTAACCACTCGTCGTCTGTCTGTTCACCGCCAAGATGAAGATGGCCGACAGCGCTGCAGTTCTTCGGCGAAATCGCCCGGGAACAAAAGCGGGGGTTTGTAATTTTTTGTTAAAGATTTATTCTGATATCACAAAGACTCGACACCAATGCGGGTCACTTTAACTGCTAGCAAGTAGTTGTATGTGAGCAGTACTGTTGGCCAGTTTCTACCCAAGGCCTAGCGCACCGCTTCGCCTAAATCTCCACATCTTGTAATTCCTGAATTATGGGGACATTTTTGGACGTTCCGTGCACTGTTTGTTCGAGTATTACCTGCATTACCTGTCAGAAGTAGTCATCATATATCCTACTTCATTCCATCCATCTAGTGAACTTTTCGCGAGCGACGTCGACTTGACCTCGTCAGTTCATGTGCAAGCGTCACTTGTTTTCTTAATTTTTGTTCGCCCTCTTTTTTGACTCCTTAGAATTTTTCAAGCTGGCCAGATGAGCCTTTCGAAGAGATGGACAGCACTCTGGCCGTCCAGCAGGTAGGGGACTTAGCGATATTGGTCGCATTTACCGTGGCTAACTCTTTCATGCTTGCCTCCGTCACCGGCAGTTTATCCAGCAAGCCATCCGCAAAGACCCGACCAACGTCGATGAGATACTGACTCCTCCGGATAGCCAAGACGAGGGCGTATGGAAGTACGAACATTTAAGGTAAGGCGCTGTATGCCATCATCTTTTCATTGAGGAAATACCACTTCCAGCATTCCAGCAAACTTGTGGGCGACCTGATGACGCATTAGCGATCACACTTCTCGTTGCCTAGTGGTATTGAAACTTTCCCAGCTTGTGATCTGTTTTGCATGGCACATAGCAGCACTCTGCTTCGTTCACTCCTAAGCTGACAGGGCGTTGGAAGCTACACACTTGCCAGACCAATCAGCTGCCTTTCTTTCATCACCTGACCCCACTCTCGGTGTAGGTATAAAGGGGTCCCTATCATTTCGTCGAAACTCGTTTCGTGGAATTGCGTTTCGTGGACAACTTTTCGTGGACACACGTTTCATAGACACACATTTCGTCGACACTGTGACGTTTCGTCGAAAATCATTTCGTCGACAGCACCACTGTAAAACGTTTCGTTGACAAACTTTTTTTTTTTGCTGCTTGCCTTTTTTTTTGTTGAAAGGAATGCCGGAAACTTAGGGTGCAAGCGCTTGTAACAGATGACAAAGGCGATGCTTAGCACAGTTGCTCTCCAAGGTGAGCAACTGCGCTATCCTCTCGCTCTCATCCGTGTCACATGGAATAAGCAAGAGCGCGCAGGACTTCGCGCGTGGCCTATCGGGATATTTACAAGTTCCGAAGCCCGTTAATGGAACCTAAGGTTACTGGAAGAAGAAAAGTGGTGGAAAAAAATATGCGTAGGCGCAAAACAAAACTTCGATCCAATGGTGGGTTGCGGAAAAGGGCATAAACACTGATTTTTTTCTTCATATTGGTTATTTTTAAACAAAAATACAGCTTGCAGCCTTTTATTGCAACATTACAACCCTGATATCTCAATTGAAATTAAACATGTTCATTACCCTCAATTATTCAAAAGGAAAAGTGATGCAGTGTTTTACTGGCTGCTGCGACTTATACGCGAAAAAACTGTTTAGTCACACTCGTTTCATCGTCATTTATCCTTAATGGCCGTTTAAAAAGGATATTACATAATAAGGGGGCTGTAAACAATGTCAAATAGAATAAATAACAAAAGCACGAAAACCACTAACACTTGCACTACCGCGAGCACGCTGCCCGTGAGTAAACCTAAGAAAACTACATTGCAATGCATAAAGAAAAAAGAAATGCGAGAATTGGTACCATGTAAATAAAACATTACACCAAGTGTAGTCTTATTACACAAAGTAAACCATAGTTGATATCAAATGTGCTACTTATTGCATTATGTAGCTTCTCTCGAGCAGCCGCCACATGCAAGGCCTGGGATGCGGTAGTACCACTACATGAGATCTGTCGGCACCAGTCGACTGGTCCTCACACGCGACATTCAATTGTTCTTTTATCGATGCCAGCGGACAGGTACCTGGGGCAAGTTCATGACCCAGCTCTTTGCATAAAGAAGCGGATTCAAAATCTAATGTTCTTTGGTCACATATTGGTTTATGTGCATGCAAAATTTCAGTGCAGACATAACATATGCAGAACAATAATGTTATTTAATATCCAGAAGCTAAATAAGCTAGTCTAAAAATCTTGCACGGTGTGGTAAGTACAGTACTACTCGTTTGCAAGTGTGTTAATGGCGCTTAAGGTGGAAACGACTGGCCGAGCGCATAGCTTCCACTGCACTATCTACTTAGGGGTGAATGGAGTATAGCACCTGAGTCAGAGTTACATAGTTTATCTGGCATCAATAGGGCCAGCGCTTGCTAACTAACATGGGATTGCTCGGGGTAACGGATTAACCGTTACCCCGAGGAGGCACAGGTGTAGAGTGTAAAACACTTGGCCATTATTCCTACACCGGCTCTCTCATCCATTTACAACACTGTTTTCATATCTCTCTTTGATAGCATCTTCGATCAACTCGCACCGGAATCGCCCTGAAACCAGCACAGTGCACAGCGCTCCTCGGTCGTGCAGCGCGATGTCGGTGCAACATCGAGGACAAACTGCGCCGCGCCGGTGTACCGCGGCGAGCTCCACCTTGCGTCACTTCGCGTTTTGTTCGTTTATTTTGCGTAGGTCAGCGCACGATGCCCGTCTGCTGTCAATTTCTTTTATTTTTTTACTCGCGGATTTGACGGTCCCACAGAAATAAACATCGTGGACGTGATTGTCGATGGGGTCACGAAGCGGTTGACAATTCCACATGTATATGTTGGCCATCATTATTAGTTCAAGAAAACGAAACACCAGATAATAGCCGTACCTCACTGTCATTGAAACGCCTCGCGCCGCTTTCCACGAAGTTCGTGCTTTTCGGGCGCTCCTTGCCACTGCAGCAATCGCCAGTAATCGCGGCGATGGTGAGAAGCTCGTCGTCTAGCCGTCTCGCCGTCAGAAGACCCGAGGAAATCATCTAGTGCAGCTGCAAGGCGTGTTCGTTTTTGCAAGATCGCCATCTCGATAGTCTGCGCGTCTGCTACTCCCGCCATCTTCTCGATTCCCGCTCCTGGCCGCAATGCCTGGTGGGACTGCCCCCCGGCGCACCGCCGATTTTCTTGGTGCGCGTTGGGGCAACGAAAAGCCGCACCAGGAGGGTGCGCTTCGTTGATCGAGGACGTACGGTGCGCACCGGTGCACTTGATCGAAGATGAAGGGGCGCACCTCAATGCCCCGGTGCGCACCGGTGCGGATGATCGAGGATGCTATGAGGCAGAAATGTTGACCCAGAAATCTTCAGTTGGAAGTTTAGAATGTCATTTGATGTGCCCACAGTCCGACGTAGGTTTTTTGCATTGTGGCTGTAGTGTCGCTACAATTTCGGTTGCCTTCAGGTGGTCTAGGTCGATCCTCAGTCCCTCACTGAGGTGTGCCAAACGCCCTTTAACACTGCAAATTTAGTTCCTTCTTTTTTTCCCCTTGCAGACAGTTCTGCATGGAGCTGAATGGCCTAGCAGTCAAGCTGCAGGTATGTGAGGTTTGTAATTGTTTTGTAATGATTCTGCTAACTGCATGTCTTGCACAGGCAGTTACTAACAGGAATTTTGTGGGCATTCGGAGTCGTATGCAGAAAATGATTTTTGAACGTTTTCCCTGTTTGAAAAACCGTAAACGCGACAATTTCTGCGGTGTTCCATTATCTTGTAAAAAAAAAACATCCGAGTCACGACATTCAAAATCGGTTCAAAAAAGAGACATAACCCGTCAATGAAATTCTTGCTGTCGACTGGATATTGATGCTGCCAATCCCAGAGATGTTCATTAGTGCCCCTAATTTGGTACATAGCACGAGCATGTTTCATCGGGGGGTACTTTATTCCAAGATCCCGCAAACCTTGGAGCATTTTTTCCTGATTGTCGACACAAGTTGTCAAACGGTTGTCACACACAGTCGGCCTTCCAATAGCCAGTTGTATAAGGCAAGCAAGAGCACTGTTTAAAGGTGGCATTACAATGTGGCATGCTAGTCTCAATGTCCTTGAAATAAGCAAGGAACCACACTGTCTGCATTAGTAGTAAGTAGTTCACTCCCTATATTGGAATGGTCGTTCCTTTCACAGGCGGAGTGCAACGCAGAGAGCTGCACGCAGATGACTGCGACAGAGCAGTGGATATTCCTGTGTGCAGCGCACAAGACCCCCAAAGAGTGCCCAGCCATCGACTACACGAGGCATACGTTGGATGGCGCTGCATGCCTTCTCAACAGCAACAAGTATTTTCCCAGCAGGTGAGGCGAGATTGTGGCATTTGCTCCGGCATTTTTCCAAACAGAAAAACTTACAGTAAACCGTTGTCTGGTGCTGTGGCAGTGTCCTTGCAGCCTTGCATCTGTTTCCTTCCCTCTCTAGAGAGAGCATTTTATGTTTGTAAGCTGTACAGTTTTGAACGCACCCTTCGTTTATACATTATGCTTTCTTTTTAAGTGCATCTTTTAGCTTTCACATTTTGGTAGAAAAGAATTTCCTACGCTTGTTTCGGATGGGGAGTATCCAGCATTGCGTTTGTGCAGAAAACATTGGACTATATGAAAATTAACTTTTTTGTGTCTCCCATTCCAGACAGTTGAGTTATAAAAATCTTGTTTTATTTAAATTAGTTAAACACAATTACTTAAAAATGTGTGCATCCCCTTAGAATTGTCCCATTCAAGGAACTTTTTCGTGAAAACTAGTAACAGAATCAGACCGTCTGCAATTTTTTTTACAGGCATCGTCCTTTTGAGGGGGATTTTTACGGGCTGTATATATTGGCTGCTCGGAGGACGGTAGAGATGTCCGCCTTCTGCACATATTCCCCCTGAAGCCGAATGCACTTGCACCCTCGGTGTGACAACTTTTTCTTGCCTTGCGAGAGCTACTTTTTGGGTAGTGTGTCACATCCACGCCTCCAGCTCATTCATGGCCACCAACTGGCGTCCTTGCAGTTTCTTTTTAATGGCCCGCCAACATGCAATAACCGCTGGAGACCAGATTGGGTCGTACACATGCACAACCAAAAGTTTGATGGCCGAATCCAACCAGCTGCCAACAAATCACGGTGTTATGTGCATTCATACGAGGTTGTGATTAGCTGGCGCCCAATCAAATTTGCCCATCTTTCCGACGCATTGTACGAGCCATCGGATGTTTGGTTGTGCTTGTGCACGGCCCGACCTGAGCACCAGCGGTTATTACCTTTTCGGGAAAATTAAAAAAAAAAAAAACTCAACGACACCATGTTGTGATTGTGGATGAGCCGGAAGCAGTTGTCCAGGCGTGGGTGTGACGCACTGCGAAAAAGCGGTTGCAGCAGGGCGTGGAGAAACTGCCACACGAGTGCATTTGGCACCAGGGAGAATACGTTGAGAAGGTGGACATATCTACCAACCTCTAAATGGCCGGTAGCTGCAGCAAAATAATTAAACGTAATTCAATATAGTATGCCCCCTGTTACCTTTTTTGCGTTTTTGGTACTTTTTGTACAGACGGCTACCGGCTCGGTAAAGTCGAATTGCTTCCAGAGACGTCCCAACCCTGTGTTTGTGCCGTCGGCTCGCAGGGTGAGCATCAAGGAATCGTCTGTGGCCAAGCTGGGCTCTGTGTGCAGGAGGGTGTACCGGATATTCTCCCACGCCTATTTCCACCACAGGGCCACCTTCGACGAGTTCGAAGTAGGTGGACACGTCTCTGCATGACCTGGTGCTTGTATGCTGGAATTAGTGTCCAAGGGTCCGCTCGTAGACGTTCGTTTTGAGAGTGAAACTTATGGCTGTCCGCGTTTAATTGAAGGAGTCGTGAAACAACAGCTATTTCCAGCACCAGCTGCATCACCGAAAAGTAGGGGCGGGTGAATATTTAAAATTTCGAATATGATTAGAATATTATACATTTAGTATTCATATTCAATTTGTAAAGCAAGTCTGGTATTTTTCAAATATTCGTCGTAATATGAATATTCAAAAATAATTGAATAATTGATAACGTATGTGCAAATGCAAGTTTTGGTTTCGGTAAGCAAGTCCCAGCGACATAGCAGCATGGCGGCTTCAACCTAAACTGGTTGCGTCGGTAGAGGTAGAGGTAATCTGCGGTCCAAGGCTATAGTTTCTGTATTTCTGCTCCCTTGTGACTCCCGACTTTTTAAACTGTGCGCACTTTCGCATTCGCCCACCCATGTTGTGGCGTACGGAGGCGATTGCGGTGAACCGTCTGCGAAGCGTAGGAACGAATGAGAAATGGCACCAAAACAAAGAGAGAAGCGCTTTTTGGAAATATTTTGCAAGAGCAACGGCATCAATGGTGCAATGCATGGCATGCGAGTCAATGGTTCAAACGCCCACAGGTACGACAGCGCCCCTTGTCAACCATCTCAAACTACATCCTGCATTGCTGAAAGAGCATCGTGGCACTATACCACTGGTCCGCCAGGAAAAGGTTGACCGACGCTGATGGACTTCCGTGCGCCGTACGGAGCCCCTGCCAGAAAAGGGGGTGCGAGTACTAAATAGCAAAGTGGCCGCCATGGTGGCGCTTGATTCACAGCCTTGCAGCATTGTGGAAGACTGCGGCTTTAAAGAGCTTCTGACAGAAGCTGTTCCCAACTATCGCCTACCATCCCGCTCTATACTCTTGCACGTGCTTGTGCCACGAATGTATGACGACACCCGAAAAAAGGTGAAGGCAGAGCTCAACAGTGCCTTTGAAGGCGGCACTACCGCTGTTGCCTTCACAAGTGACATATGGACATCGCGCGTTAACGAAAGTTATGTGAGCTTCACCTGGCATCTTTTCACTTTAAAATTCATGATGAAGCGGATAACATTAAACGCTTGACATATAACTGTCAGTTACAGTGCTGTGAACATTGCTACTATGCTGGACGAAATGAGCCATGACTGGGAGATACCCGGTGAATAAGCGAAGTTCATCGTGACGGATAACGGATGCTACATCCATGCTGCGGTAAGGAGACTTCCACGGACGGAAAGAGAGAGCTTTGCGCACACGCTTCAACTGGCGATTATTGATGCGAGATGCCGTAAGCTGGCCATTGATCGCCTGTGCAAGGAAGTGGAGCATATTGTGGTACATTACAAGCACAGTTCATCAGCATAGAAAATGCTTGAGGAATGCCAAAAGAAGATGGGAAAGGACACACTACATCTGGTGCAAGACATGGAGACGAGATGGAATAGCCAGTATCTGATGTTGTCTCGTCTTCTGGACCTCAAAGAAGCAGTTGCTGTGGAACTGCTATCTCAGACTGTGACGTTGATGGACTTGGTTCATCAGAGTGGAAAGACGTTTCTGAATATGTACAAGCATCCATTGTCTGATGCCACTGTTATTGCCAGTACTGAGAAGTATCTGTCGTTTACCCAAGGTAACTGTGCTGGGGCATCAAAATTTCGTGCAGAACTCATAGGATCCATCAAGACAAGGGTCACTCTGTATGAGGAGGACAAGGGAGTATGCCTTGCCATGTTCTTGGATCCACGCTTCAAGTTCACTATTTTTAAAGCCTAAAAACAAAAATTATCATGGCTAAAAGATCTGGTGCTGCGAGAGCTAGCCTCATGTGCTGCTACTGAAGAAACCCAGCCGGAAGCTGCAACACAGAGACAAGACCAAGCCTCAACGCTCTCACCAGATTTTTAAGAAGCATTTAACCTCCTAGCCAAAAGTGCAGTGGAAAGCAAAGCGGTTTCAGCTTCAGAATGGGAAGTTGCAGCATATGCAGAAGGGGCACTACTGAAGGGAGAGAGTGATCCGTGTGAGTGGTGGCGAAATGTCGGATGCTTAAGATATCCTAGCCTGGCAAAGCTTTGCTTCAAATAATTGGCAATACCTGCCACTTCAGTGCCGAGTGAGAAAGTTTTTTCCGTGACCGGAGGAGTTGTTTCTGCTCGAAGGGAGCGCCCCCTACCTGACCATGTGCAGTAGTTGATTTTTCTGCATGACAACTTGTAATCCTCGTCCCTACCATAGAGTTATTACAATAAACGCTAGAGGCTCAGCTGGCGCTAGTGTCTATGGGACTTCTGGTTGCAAATTGAAGCAGACAGCATGCAGTCTACTTTTCCAGTCTTCCTGTGTATTCCTATGGGAAAACGCGCGTGAATTTTGTCTCGTCGCCGGAAAATAACATGAATAACGCTTGTTATTTCGGTTGTACCGGATAGTATGCACCTTTATTACTATTGTGAAAGTGTAATTGCTTTAGTTACAGCATTTTTCTTTTACCCCTGAACGATGTTAAACTTCGCTATATATCAGGCCCAAACCTCTGTTCAATGGCAGGTATGTAAAAACGACCAACGATTCTAAGCAAAATAATGATCGAAAGGAATGTAGAGTGTGTTAAAAGTCCGCCAGCATTCCGTTGGTGCTTATATATTGCTAATATGCCTGTCCTCTAACTATAAGAAAATGACCCCGTCGTGCATCTTTACGAGTGCCTAAAAAAAAATGTTCGAAACGTAAAGAATAAAGTATGTGGGCTACGAAAGATGTGTTTTCTTATTATTTCCTATGTCGGGCAGTTTTTATCGCGCACCTGTCTCTGGCTTCCCCCTATTTGCAAAGATTTGGAGCGCGCGGGTGATGATTTGAGCACAGAACAAGCATCGCTTCGCACACATTCATGAGCAGAAAGAATAAAGCAATACTTATTTATTGCAAAGTGACTTTCAATTTATTTTGATCATCTGCAAGCACAAGGAGTTACTTATTCAGTGTTACTGCGTAGTTCTTGCCGTCTCTCTTGGTTTTCCACGTGTCCTTCGTTCGTTTGGCACGTAATCCACCCTGCTGGAAAGCGCCGACGCCGTGTTCGCGCTAACAGTGTCCGACAGTGCACAAAAATACATGTACCAAACAGTTTTAGCACCGTTTTTCATGCCACGATTTTAAAATAAAAACGCCGTAACTGATTAATTATTTTATCTGCGTGACTGGGAAATGTTCTAATGTGCCTAGTAGGTACGAATTCTTCATGATATTTGCTCTTTTAATCGAGCGCAGAGAGGAAATGCACTCGCTTTTTTCCATAGAAATACATTACCGGAAGTCAATTTCGGACTGCTTGCTGTCTGCTTCAATTTGCAACAGCACACTAGCGCCAGTTGAGCCTCTAGCGTACATTATAATAACTCTATGGTCCCTACAACTAGAATTTTTGTTTTTGCATTTTTATTCTCGTTAACATCAATGAGGCATTCCGACATGTGGAAATAAAAATGCAGTGAACTAATGCACTCGCCTTCAGCTATTCAATATTCAATTTAATATTCAGAGCTAACTATTCATATTCGAAAATATTAATGTTCGCACACCCCTACCGGAAAGTCACAATGATGTCCGTACGTAATTGTGGAGGTAAAAAAAGCTCTTTCCGTTTCCGGCCGACAGCTTCTGTTTTTAGGTCCCTTTGAAGACAACGGTTCTGGCCTTTATGTTATCATACCTCAGAGTCTAATCGCTGGTCATTTCATGGTGTAAAACATTCCCTTCAGCTTGAGGGAAAAAAAACAACAATTCAATTTGTCCCGATCATCTCTTTAAACCCAGGGAGCACAGAATGTGTCGTGCATGTACCATGCTTGCATTATTTGTTATGCTTAGTTGCGGGGAGTTTTGGGTGGTTTCCGGTGTGTTGCATGCACGACACCTGTGCACCCCAGGTTTGTCAGAACGATGGTGACAAGTTTATTCAATAGTCGAGCCAGCTGCTCGCGTAGACAGTCGCCTCCGCCGCAGGCTCCCAGGGGTTATGCTCTGCCCATCTGCTTGTGCTTTCGTTCGCCTCTCCCCCCTGACGTCGAGCTACGGATTGCACAGTCCGAAATTCGATTCCCGCAGCGTTGCTTTGTAAATCTCGTTGATTACAATTAATTGCGATTCGTTGTGACCGCTCGGTGGAAGAGAGAGGTGTCTAAACGGCTCCGCCTCTTTGCGGAGCGAGTGTGTCGGAAGGTTCACTCCCACTTCTGACAAACACCACGGGATGGCGCAGCATGCAAGAGCCCAAGGAATCACCCTTATTTGCGCACACGTTTTCGAGGCTGTGTGGCTTGCCACCGCACTTGCGTGCAGTGCCTCAACCTGACGGAGCCCTTGTTTGCTATGCATCGAGCCAGAGTGGAATTTCGGCCTCCTTTCTCTTCTTCCAACGCGGTTGCGACTGTTTGCATTGAACATGACGCTTTTCCCATAAGCTTTAGCCCTCGAACACGTCCTATGTTTGAAAAAGAAAAGTAGTCGGGCGCTTCGCATGTGCCAACCGTATGTATGTTTTTGTCCCGACAGAAGGAGACGTGCCTGTGTCGTCGCTTCACCACCTTCGTCACGAAGTATAACCTGATGTCCAAGGACAACCTCATTGTTCCCATCCTAGATGAAGAGCTCACGGCGGGGGAGAGCGAAGCTTGAGGACTCTGGGCACAACACCTCATCAGCGACCCGTAGATTCGTGCCGTCGTCTTCGACAACCTTTTTTTTTTTTTTTCATCCCCCTTCTTTGTGGGAGGAATCCGCCGGTTAACTGCATACTGTAACCACAAAGCAACGGACATCTACTATAGCTGCAACCTCAGCAGTGTTCTTTTTCATCCATTTCAAATCTTCGTACTGCTTCAGAAACAGAAGTGCTGGGTTTAGTTGCTTTTCTTGGGGATGGAGTGGAAAGGGGGGGGGGGGGGGGTGTTTCTTTATGAGGGCCTTGGTTGGCGTATTTGTATGCCCAAAACTCTTCGAGCAATCCAAGGACATGCTACCAGTGGCAGAGTTGGGCGGTTGTTTCATTACGAGGTTTTGTTGCCCATTTGTATATTTATTTTTTTGGAGTGCGCACGCAGCAGGACGTGGCTTGGGAGGAGTGCGAGAGAAAGGACCTCTTGATAGTGTAAATGCTAGAAGGCTCTCTGACGTGTCATGCCGGTTCATAGACCACTTTTAAAGTTGGCTACGTGCGAGTCAACACTTTTGACTATTTTGAAGGCTGGCTGCAATGTTCGGCGTTTTATCTGCTCCGGAGTTCAAGTGTGGGCTCCGGCAATTTTGTGGGATTGTGAGAGATCTGATAAAAACACTTGCCGCCCGCTTCCCCTGTAGCTGAGCGCACCTGCGGTGCCATTTTTATTGTTTATTTCATGCGAGAGTAAATATGAATTCTAAGCCAGATTGTGACTTTTTTTATTTCCTTTAGCTCGATTCTACATAACAATGAATTGCTGTTTTCGAGATAAATTACCCGTTTTGTTTTGCTACACAAAGGGGGTTGTTTTTAGAATAACACCTTAGCGCCCTTTGCAAGCACGTGGCTAGCACTGTTTTCCAGACCAAAAAGCCTACTCGAACAGGATTTTTCACGACTGCTCGACTAAGACGGTTGAACGCTGCACTTGCAAACATCTCTCCCCACGTTTTTATATAATTCCTCACCTCTGTGAGCAGTGTACACATTTTTCTTGTTTGGCTACTGCATTACGCATGGTTTGCTCAGCATCTCAAAGGGAGCTTTGTCAAAGCACCACCACTTGCAAAGCAATACCCTTGTGAAAGCCCGGTTAGTAGCTGACAGTATTAAGTGGTCACAGGTCACATTACCTCCCTATGGACGCATACCTGCTGTTCAAATGCCTGCTGCTCTAAATATTTCGCTTTGAAAGGAACAGGGAAGCCACATATTCACTATGTCAAGCTCGTGACATTTACAAGTTTTTGCCCACGACTACCATGGGTGAATCATGCTCGTTTGAAATTGGTCAATAACAACAAAGGTGGCATTCTTTGACCGCATCAGAACCATGTGGGTCTCGTTCTATGATTTTAGCAGTTTGTATGACACGAAATGTGAAACCGCCCTTTTAGACATTGTTTGAAGTAGCAGAACCTGCAAAACGATGCTGCATACGAATAAAAGCACAGCATTATAATAACCACACTGTTGGTTGCTTTTTTTTTTTTTTTTTTTGCTTTTTTTAATGTGTTTATAGGTTAAGTTTTATATGAAAAAATGTCTCGCTCGGACATGACAAGAAAGTCACGCACACCAAGGCAACATAAAGCATACCTTGCTTATAGCAGGCACTGCATAAGCATTCACACAGAAGGCATACTTAGTCAAAATTAACCATACAAACGACCAAAATATACCACGCATCTTAGCGAGAATCAAACCCGCATTACGTGATCCGTAGCTTGATGTCTTTGCTTGGCGCCACAAGATGGAGATGAAAGGGAGCACAAACAGCAGGACCAAGTATCACTCGGCTGGCGTACAACGTCGCAACTTCACATATAACACCCCATAGATTGCGCATTGGCGCAAGAAACTTAATGCCTCTTTATGCGTTCATGTTCGTTTACAAGTAATTGCACGCGATGATGCAGCCCTTGAAAGCAAGTGGCGGCGGAGCACCCGCCGCCGGCAAGGTTCTCCCACGTTCGCACAACAATGGTTGTCTGTTCTTTGCAAGACCTTTTTCAAGGGGCTTTAGGTCTAACCTAAAGCCTTTCAAAGTGTTTGTTTTACAGGTAGCGTCAAATGTGCCAAAAGCTCAGGGCCTGCACCGCGTGCAGTTCATGGAAGCGAATGGCGGCGCAACAGTGGTTGCCGGTACTTGAAAGAAAAAAGGGCGAAGTTTTTTTTTTTTAAGGTGCTTTAGATAAACCTCTTCCCCTCGTTGCTACTTCAGCTATCACAAAGGGGCGCCTAGTAGTGATGCAAAACTATCGATAAATTGACTATCGATAGTGTCTCAGAACTATCGATAGTCGACTATCGATAGTACTATCGATAGTTTTTCGATAGTCGACTATCGATAGTCGACTATCGATAGTATTATCGATAGTTTTTCGATAGTCGATTATCGATAGTTTTTACTATACTGGCGGCTAACGATACTATCGATAGTCTTGCACCACTATAGTCCGTTACAACTCAAGAAGGTAGGGCGAAGGTAAGACGGGCCGAGGAGGAGGAAGCAGACGGAACGCTAAAGAGAGAAGGAGGTTTCCCCATCTCTTCTCCAGCGTTCCGTCTGCTTCGTCCTCCCCGGCCCGCCTTACCCTCGCCCTACCGCTCGCCTCCCCCTTCTCCTCTCCTCGCCCAAACTGCCGTCTTCGTCATCACTGAAAGCTGAACGAAAGTTGGGATGGTAAGTGGCTGGCCTAATTGGTGTCCCATTTGAAAAAAAAAAAAAGATAAATGAATAAAGCGATAAAAAGAGAAGAGGGAGCGACGCAAACTACTAGTGTCGCAAAACTATCGATAGTAAATCGTCGACAGTACCATCAATAGGTTTACGATAGTTGACTATCGATAGTTTTCTGATATTTGATTAACGATAGTTTTTCGATAGTCGACTATCGATAGTACTATCGATAGTTTTTCTATAGTCGACTATCGATAGTACTATCGATAGTTTTCCGATAGTCGACTATCGATACTTTTCCGATAGTCGACTATCGATAGTTTTTTTCACTATCGATAGTCAGATTTCTGGCGACTATCGATACTATCGATAGTACTATCGATAGTTTTGCACCACTAGAGCCTAGCAATCCAGGAACACTAATATTTCGAGGTGCCACACGCGCTCTCTGAAGAAGAACCCGTGGAAACTTCTCAGTAAAGCATACTCCTCCACAGCTTTCGTGACGAGATTGGAACTTGTCGCGATCATTCTGATATACCTGGGGGGGGCACGAGTGTGTTGTGTGTGCAGGAGCGATGCAAAACTATTGAAAAATTTACTATCGATAGTACTACCATAGAACACCATGCATATGCACTAAGCGCCCACCCCCAAAATTTGAGACATCTGAAAAAATATGCACAGTACGTATATATGTAAAATTGATGACCTCACATATACCCATCCCCTATTGTTTAGCAGATATCTTCAAATTTTGAGGGGGTGCTTGCTTAGTAGTTTACGGTATGGCAGGTTTTTATGGGTCGGGCTTGTGGGGGCAGTAGGCATTCGGCTGGCGGGGGGTGGGTAGCCTGCCGATACGACGTTGCAGCCAAAACGTTCAGATCCATTTTGTTGACCAAATATTTGCTGTTGCCAAATACTAAACTTTTGGCTAGGGTATATACATTTTTTCGTTTAGAAAAACGTTACCTTGGGGGAGGTTTGAGGGGGAGGCGGTCACCCCACACCTAAATCTACCCCTGCTGTATCAGTAGTAGCATCCAAAGTTTTATAGATAGTTGACTCTCGCTAATACTATCAATAATGCTATCAATAGTTGGCTTTTGGTTGACTATCAATACTATCTAAAGTCAACTTTCAGAAAACTATAGAGTGTTAAAAAACTAAAGCACTAACCAAAAAGGGAATGACAACAGATATGTATCGGCAGAAAACGCTTGGTTTTAGGAAAAACGTGAAAAAACTTGAAAGAAAACAAAACAGAGTTGCATTTTTATACAATTAATTTAGAGGTAAAACAGAAATGTGTTATGCTAGTTTTCCTGCACAGATTTTGTATATTGATAGGGTTCAGGTATCGGGCTTTACACTTTAGTATGGCCGCATTTATAAATCTTTTCAGTATTTGTTTTTGTCTTGGAGCTTGAGAAAACATTTACTGAAGGCATTTTGCATTAGGGTTTCCACAAGTTTGTTTCACTGCTGATGTTTCCTTTCTTATTCAATAGACCGATCTCACCAAGCATTCCACGCATGCGTGACGCCGCCATAACTGTACGTAGGAGGCAGACGCCAGTTCACGAGACAGCTCACGCCGCCTCGTGCTCTGCTCGCGCAGACCTCCAGCAAGGTTGTTGCGCGTGCAGAAAGACTACAGCTCCTACGATGCATGGCGGCAGCGGTGGCGTACTTAAACTAGCTGGTGAGATCGGTCTATTGACACCTATTCCTTTTCCTTGCATTGACCACTGACAGGTGAAAATGAACACACTGCTGGGGATCATAATTTTTTTTTTTCTCTCTCGAAAATCGGGAATTAGCTGTTGACGAAAGCACTTGCCGTTGCATACCACACATCCGCCCATTCCCAAATTTGTAATATCTGAGAAACTATGGACAGTACATTTATATACAAAATTGATTACTGGACTAGCTCGAGTTCCCCATTTGTTTGCGATTTTCTCCCAATTTTGAGTGGGCGCTTGCCCGGTATTTTACAGTAGGCTTGTATGCCACGATACGTTGCCACTTTTATTGTTGGTGGCTGGGAAAATAATTACTTGTTCGTATAAAATACAACTTCGAAATACAGAAGCCGTCACAAAAAATATAAATATGTTTGAATCAATAAATGTAACAGACTTTGCTGTGCAGACCTCAAATTGAACATTACCAAATAAAACGTTTATACCAAGAAAACACACCTAGTTACTGATGCTTTTAGTTTTTTCGTTCTTCAAATACAATGTTTGGAATCGTAACATTAACTGGATTATAAATAAATTATAAAAATAATTTTTTGCGATCCAAGTAACAATATTATCATTGAGGCATTATTTTAGTGAAAAAGGCTTGTGAATCCGAAAGGCAATATTGTTTCCTTCCTTTCTCGCGACCCGTCTCTCCATACTTTCATATTCAATCACCATCGCTAGTAGTATACTCAAACAGGGTTCCGGATTTATGCAACACACATATAGTTTACTTAGCTGAGGCGACAGGGATATTAATTTTTCCGATTGAACTCGTAAAAACAAAGGGCACATTCTAAAAAGCAATATAAAACGGCAAAAAAACATTGACAACCTATTAAGTTAGATAGTTCAACAATAGATTCTAAGGAGTATTTCTACCCTTTTTGAGATTGTTTTTTAATAGGTTTTAGATTGATCCTCGATAACTATGCGGAACTATGCGGATAACTATGCGGAATTGCAGTTTTGTTTTTCTCCGGGCTACACAATTCCTGGATTTTCTTCGGTGCCTAGTAAAACCCAATAAATAGGATTATGATAGTTGGCTATTGATGGTTTCTTGATATTCGAGTATAAGCAATTTTACGATAGTCGACAAGCGATAGTTTTATGATAGTATACTATTGATAGCAGTTTCGTCGACCCTCGATAGCACAATCAATAGTTTTTAGTTAAAATTGGCTTCCACTATCGATAGTACTGTCAATAGTTCTGCATTAGCAGTGTGCAACGCATCTGAAAACGCGCAACGCTACCCCGTAATCAAGCATAACACATAATGTAGGCATAACGCTCGCACACCATATTCCGTGCTCCCGGGGTTTATCGAAATAATCGAGACAAGTTTAGATTTTTTTATTGAAGGTTATTTACAGACCACAGGTGTTTGTAATTGCATTTTCCTTTAGTAAAGGTGCCTGAGGAATTCACTGAGCAGCTTCTTGCGTGGGTTTGCTGTTGCGGCGTGAAGCTTTTTTCATGAACGGCTTGCTCTGCGTCCGCTTTGGTGGCCGTCTCTGTTCTGTGCTCCAGGTAGGATTCTTGCATCCTGGCAGTTGGTACCTGGGTGCAATGAAAATACTAGCTTCGAGGTACCCAATGTCATTTCCGGATATCCTATGAATTTTTCCCAACCAGTTTGAGAACACAAAGGTGTCTAGAACTACTAGTAGTAATGAGGACAGTGGTTAGAACCGTTTAGATAATGAAACGACTTGCGTTTGATGGCGACCATTTTTGCAGAGTAAAAATAACTGGGAAAATTGTCCATGCCGATTAATATATGGCATCCGGGGGCCAGAGTGCTGCCAATTGCGAGACAATTCCTTCTAGATGTATTTAATAACAAAAACCCAGAGATAAAAAAAAAAAGTATATATATTTTCAAGACATTTTTTTTTCTTCTGTCTGGGTTTTTTGGTAGCGTAAAAAAGATTTTTCATAGCTATACCTACGGTGCTGCTTGGTATTTTCAGCATAAAGATTTGATCTTCCTAACAAGCTATTATTAGTAAGTGTTCTGGTGTTGCAAAAGGGGTCTCCTCAGTCAGATGAAATAGTAGAAAGGCATTCATTACTCATGTCTCCAAAAATTATTTTCTCAAATTAGCCTCTCGAGAAGGGTCGCTTCCTGGACCCTTAATAACGGGTCGCCAAGAGTGCCGCCTGCATCTGGGGTGCTGCAAGTTTTTATAAATTGAGGACACCCATTGGGTTACTCTGCACCGAGTGTGCACTGAACTTGTTTGATGGCTGTGCCCCTTACCCGAGTTCTGTAGTGTCCACAGGATCTTTGCTGAGCAGAATGTGTATGGTCGGTATTTCCCGCACTACCTTCAGCTTGTCCAAGTCCTCGGACTTCGGCTGCCAAATTTCTTCCACCCTGGAATTTAAACTGGCTTAGGTCATGGAAACGAAATGGCTCTCATGCTGAATCATTCTGACATGCTTACTTTTTGTAGCAGATTTTGTTGATCTGGTGAAGTTGCTACAAAGGAAGAGAGCAAATGTTATGTGGTGGGCAATATGTGCATCTGGTTTCCTTTACTGCTGTTGAACAACAGGTAATCTGAAAGGGTGGTGACTTCAGGATTTTCAATCAACCTTGGGGGAGTGGGGGTCACACATTCTTGGGAGGGGATTTGGGGAGGGACATACTATAGGTTTTTGTATTTTGTGCAGGGAATTTTGGGGGTGTGCCTAGATCACTGTCTGAAGGCAGTTAAGGGGGTCACAAAAAGAGAATGGATCTGCTGGATCTTAATTTTCTTAATTCATTAAAGCACAAAGACGTTGGTTGATTCCAAGTATTACAATGAAAAATATTGTGCCTGCATTTTATAAACACATTAAAATTTTTTTTTTTTTGACAGTGAAATTAGTATTTAACACTCTTGGCATCAAGAGCTACAAAACATCACTGTAGGTAGAACAGAGAAAGGTAGAACAGATTCAACTTTACTTAATCTTCATATAATAAAGTGGGAGTGATAAAATTATTGAGTTATTTATTAGCATTCTTGTATTAGTTGCACGCTACAGCATCGCATAATTACGATAAAGTTTCGGTTCCAAACGCCTGTGGATTGTTTTGGTGACCATCGTAACCATGCTGCTCGTCCCACTGCATCTCCCATTCATTGTGAAAGCTGATTGTGGATTAGAATTGTAATGAAACATAGCATGAAGAAATAAAATCTCCAACAGGATTCACACCCGGAACTTTGCAAAACGAGTAACAAGGTGGGACGCGCACACTTGACCTCTCGATTATCGGCATGTCCAGCTTGGGCTGTTTATTTTCGCAAGTGTAGTCCTAGAATGTTGGGATTTTCTCATGACTGGCTTTATGGCTACGAGTTTTCTATTTATCCTCTTTTACTACAATATTTCTCAGTAGTAACTAGACATGGCACTCTTCAAGCACACAAAGGCGATTCACTATATTTCCAGCATTGTCGCCCTTTTGCTGCGAGCGGATCGGCAATTTTTTGTGGTCGAAGCGAAAATATACTTGCGGGTTGTCATTTGGCGATCGTATTGGGACGCGGCTCGACCGATTGAAGTTGCAGACTGTTCTCTCAAACTGACCTCTGTAGCCCGACATTCAGTGTTGGCATACAGCTTGAAACCTAAAAACCGACCGCAGTGATGTAGGCAACGCTAGAGCTCAATGGCGTTGACCATCCTACAATCATCCGAGCATATCAGACATTGGATGTCATTCACTCATTTGCGTGTGTGACGTGATTACGGTGCCACTGCTGGAGCGATACCCGATGCTCTGGCTTCTCACATTAAGCTCGGTCTATGTCGCCGTCTTGTGCAAACAACAAAAATTTCCTAACGGCTCCCTGCAGTGACGTATTTGCTGAACTGAGGGGGAAAATCCCCCTGGGAAACCGAAATTTCCTTTTTTTAAGCTCGTAAATGAAGTAACAAAGGACGGGGATTCCAAATTGACATATAGCTCAGAATGTTTTCAATGACGATTCAGTCTTCGAAAGGAAGCAAGCACGTGCTGAAGGGCAGGCGTTCAAAAGAGGTGCCCTGCCATTCTCACCTTGTTGGCTACTATTAGCGGCATGCGCAAACTACAGGGGGCGCTTTTCTAGCTGTCATAATCATCGTTAGCGCCGTGACGGGTAGGACAGACTCGGACAGACCGCGCATACCTAGGATCCCTAAGCTCGTCAGCTCGCTTCATGCACTGTTTGGGTAACACGTGGCAAAGCCTGTTTCACGCGTTCTGTTTATTTGGTTAAGTGATACTTGTAGTAGGACATTTTATCAAAGCTTGGTGCTAACAAACACTTTCGGCGCTGAGTGTCGAAGTGCTAGGATGGGGGCGTGCTGCGTTCTCTACCCCAGTACAAAAAGCTGGATGATAAATATAGAATATCCGTCACTTTGCCGCACTACAACACCTGCCACGGCGAATGGGGTGTATTTTTTTATTATGATTCGGACAAAATAAAACTGAGAAAGGAATGTCTCATCAAACTGAAAATAGAAGCAATAAAACTGGTTGGGGCTAGTTGGTTCATATCGATTAAAAGGTTAAAAGGCGCGAACAAACAGGACGAAAAAAAAGATGTGTCGTACGTGTCTCTTTTTCGTCCTGTTTGTTCGCGCCTTTTAACCTTTTAATTGAAAATAGAAAAGTGAAATTCGAGAGCCTCTTGCGTGTGTAGTAAACACTTCAGGGAAAGCGACTTTGTGTATCCTGTTGATTCCAATCAGACATGTATGTAAAGCATTATTAGTAACGAGTTACTTCTACTAGTTACTTTTCTCAGTAACGAGTAACATACTTGGTTACTTTTAAGGCCAAGTAACAAGTAACGGCATTTCATTACTTTTGAGGAGTAACGTGTAAAACAACATTTAAACAGCCTCGTTATAATTGTAACCTGAGTATGCGTCTATTGCGACAAAGGCAGATGGGCAACCCGAAAACAACTAAACAGTATGGCAGTATAACAATGTTTATCGCTGAACACGTTAGTCAAGCTCTACAGCTGGCAATGCCCTTCACTCAGCGAAAACAATAAGGTTTGCCAATTGAACATTCTAGAATTGTGTACAGACCGAATGCAATGCCAGAGGTTGCCAACGTGGGAAGGCACAGAACCCTATGTCAACTTAGAACTTTAGAGGTGGAGGGAACAAAAGAGAAAGGGGAATCCCAGATTCACCAGCTTTTCCTGAAGCACAACACTGCCATTTCTCTGAGTGGGTCAGTAGAACTACCCTTCAGCGTCGCCAGAGATGTATTCTCTATGAAGCGGAGAAGCATAACTGATAAAAACTTCGAAAGCCAGTTACTGCTTAAATGCAATGACTACTGAAAAGAAAACAATCAAGTATGAAACAAAAGCAGTTCTGTATTTGGTCATCAAAGTAAGAAAAAAGTTATCTCCCTATTTTTAAGGTAAAGTAATGCGTTCCTTTTGAGGATCGGTAACAAGTAACATATTTAGTCACATTTTGAGCGAGTAACGGTATCTACTAGTTACTTTTTTGGGTAATGTGTACAGGTCTATTCCAATGCGTTCTTGAGCGCTGGTCTCCTTTTAGTTCCAAGTTGATTCCTTTTTGCATTTCGTAAACCAATAAACAAACATTTCATCAAGATAATTGACTGGAAAAAGTGGTGGCTGGCTTCCGGAGTCGTTTCAATGAAATCTCTGCTTATTCACCCGGTCGACGCAAAACGTGCGAGACACCCTTGCAATCAAAGTCTTAAAGGGGCCCTGCAATCATATTTAAGGGCCTACTTTTTATGCGGTTTCCACGTCTCTTGGGGTTCGGGCAAGCCAGCGGGCACGGAAAGAGTAGCTAAATATCAGTGCGCCATATTTTAACCGGACGACACGGAAACCTCCTTCACCGACGAGGGCGACCCGATGTACCGAAAGCGCGCAAAATGTGACGTCTTTGGTCCTGGGCTTACTACTGGTCAGAGCCACTAAAAACTTCTTTTTGGTCGAAATACAAAATATAAGTGCGCGAACCGTTTCAATTATTTATAAAAGTAGTTTTTGTTCACTATTATAGATGAAAAAAAGAAAGAAATGCAGTTTATAAAGTATGGAAACAAGAAATGACCCGTCGACATACCCGCCGCCAAGCGGTGGCAAAGGCGGCGCATACTAGAAAGGAGTAGTGGGATAAGGCGCCGACATGGAAAAATCCCGGATGTATACGGTGGCGCTGCAGTCGTATGGACAGGAAGATCCGACCGGCTCCGAGCGTTCCGAAGGCCTTCGGCGAGAGGCTTTGTCTTGCGGTTTGGCCGTTTCGCGGTATGGCAGCGCGAAGTGGCTCCCATTCTGAACTGATCTTTACCCCGTGTTGGCTGTCGTTTGTGGCCAATGAAGTGTCATGCCGAATTAGTGTTTAATCGCGCAGTAAACGCAATGAAAGCCGCTTTGGCTGCCCGCTGCATACAGCCTATCCAGAACATGCTTTAGTGGCGCCCTCTGGCACCGTCAACACGAAGTGCGGCAGCCGTGAGCGCTCGATGAGTTCACTATTCCTCCTCTAGTTCACGGCCACTCAAGCCAGGACCTACAACGTCATGAAGGAGGTTATTTTTTGCTTGTTTTTGTAATTCTAAATTGCCTATAACTTCTAAAATAAAGCGAATTTCGCGAAAAGAAAAGTTTCACTAAGTTACTACAATCAGTGCGCTCAGGTTCGGTGCAAATTAAAAAACAGTAAAAAGTCCTTGCAGGGCCCCTTTAATCTAGTAAGTCATTGACACTTCAGCGTCCCAAAAAATGACGTATATACCTGCTATGAATTACTACCGTTTGTTTAATTTTGGGAACACAAATGCGCATAATGCATGATGTGCTTCTCAGCGTGCAATTTTAAACTTGTCAACAATTCTTATTAAAAATTCGATAAAACAAATGAATCATTCTCTTGAATTTGCCGGGCAATGTCTGACAATTAAAGAATTTATAGAAATTTATGCTTTTCTTTTGAGCAGAAGTCGCGATGTGACAAACTTCATTGCCATGTATTCGACGCGGGAGAAGCTAAGCGTCAGTTGTTGACGAGCATTTGCTAGTCACCGACTGTCGAGTCACACATGGAGAGAAGTGTTGGTATTGGCAAGCTCACTGTAGCTAGAACAAGTGTGCGGTTCTTTGCAACACAACTGTTTGCATGTGCACAGCTAAGAAGACAGCACATCATTTACTCCGGTGAATGCAAATCCTTTACCTACAGCAACCTCCACAGATAATAATAATAATAATAAAAAAAAAACAAAAAAACAACAACAACAACAAGAATTGGAGAGGTTGTGCAAGCTGTAATTTGAAGCTCCAGGCTTGTTTTTGGAAATTTAAAGGACCTGTGCAACAATATTCAATTGGAATGTTTTTCTCTCTACACAAGCTTACTGGCACACCTGGGACTCAAGGATACTCACACACAACGCCACTGGCCAAGAAAATCCTTTGTTGCGGTGTAATTTCAAGGACAAAAGCAATCATTTTCATTCAATCTCTCCTTTGCAAAATTTGATGACGTAACTCAAGGATCGCAGTACACCCAAGTGACGATATTTGAATGCGGTTCATAGATTGGACCCGAGCATTGCGTGGGCACTCGACTTGGGCTCGTGACAATTGCTAGCTCGAGAAGCATTCGGGTTGTGACCCGTGTCCAATCGCTGCAACGATGACAACAACCGAGCCATAACAATGTCTGGAACTCAGCGCGTGTCCTGCGCTTTGCCAACCCCAGCGCGTGGCTATGATCAACACTGGCGGCATATAATCGGCTCCAGATCATGTGGCCGCTTGTTCTGGCTGCAAGTTGAGGGGGTGAACGCTGCTCGTTTTTCTTAAATTTTTTTTCTGGGACTTCTATTGCGTGGGGTGAAAAACGAACGCGTGTTTCATAGGTCATTAACGTTAGGGATCCGTTTTAAGCGGTATTTGTGCTCAGTACAAAAATTGTTGCATCGCTCCTTTAAAGCTTTTTAATATAAAAAGCAACATCAAGGTGCTGTTATTCATTAGAAAGATCACTCACAAAAATGTCATACATGTTTCTTTAATAAATAAACCATTTTTAATCGGCACAGATGCAAACTAACATAGCTACTCCGTGCCGACATATCACGTCTGCTCGCATCCTACCAGCTTCGTTATTGGAGAGCACACGCGAAGTGGTGCCACCAAGACATCTCATCACCAATATATGGCTTGCACTGATGTCACATCAGCAGTCATTGTGAAGAACCTTGCTGCGGCACATAGTAAAGTTCTTCACAATGCATTTTGCACAACCGAATTCATTTTTCTGGACAACTAGGAATGACCATTGGCACAGTGCAATTTCACATGCAAGCCATGTACAGGTAGATGGGGCAGCACAACAAATTAACAAAGATAACGGCATTTGAGATATTGTGGTTACAATGTTGAGTCGCAACTTGATGCAAAAGGAAAAAGGGAATGTTTATTCATAACCTTAAAACACAAGCCTTTCACCCTTGTTGGTGTTAGACTAGAGGCAGCTAATAAAACCTGTTTGCTCTACTGACGTCTAACCCCTGGTTAGCTCAGTTGGGTAGAGCGCTCCACTGGAAATGGAGAGGTCCCGGGTTCGATACCCGGACCAGGCGGATTTTTTCGGTCGCGCACCAGTCACCTAGTTGTGTTTGGCCATGATAGCACTGTTTAGAACATGTTTTCTGTGCGAGCAATTCAAAGCAAAGAAAATGGTATACCTTGTGTTTTCTCTTCATGATCTCTACGCAGGTGATCGTCTTTCCAAGTGCATGACCAGAACCAGTGAATACCATGTGCTTCTTTGATTCATCCTGTGTTGTATAATATAAAGTATGTCAACAGATGATTGGTTTGACATAATGTGATGGCAACAATATAAACAGATACGTGCAAGCAAGTTGCCTTTCTATAACCTTTCGGGAAGAGTTCTACAATTAGTAAACAAGTGTACTAGGTGACACGTTTTCAAAAACTGGCCTTACTTGAAATGCCTTTTTGGCGAATTCAAGAATATTTCTGAGCTTGCTGCTCGGTTGAACTTTCATGTGCACGAAGCCCTCTTGGAGGTCTTTGAAGGGCAAAGAGCTTGGACTCTCTTCAATTACTTCGCCTTTTGTGTAGTTCTCCACTGAAAAGGAAAGTTTGAAACTCCTGGTTACAGAGAGGGAAAAGGACTGTCGTGAGGGGATCAGCGGTCGAATCCGTTAACGGACCGTAGTTCGGAGCTCGTGGAGCGAAAGGTCGCGCTGCAGTACCCCCTGTTCGTTTTGATCTGGATGAGCATCGTACCGGCGTGCTGTCGTGTATTACTACTGCGTGATGCACCTTTAAGACCCCAGAGTGGCAGTGGTACTGCACTGGCTAAATGTCTCACCTACAGCTGAGACACCAGACGCCCACCGAGGCTAACTTCCGGCTCTCTCAACATACATGCAACACAATTATTTAAGTATTTTCGTCCGTATACTTACTTTTTTCTTGGCAAGAGACACGGCTCGAAGCATTCAAAATCAACAAATTTGCTAAACCAATATCTAGCTATCTCTTCACAATAACTGCGTTTGAGAACAAAAGCTACTTTCTTCGAGTACTTTCATAATGGTTTCGCCGTGTTGATCATGTTTCTCCAACTTCTGGAGCAATGATTTCGATGATGTCGGCGCCTCGGCGCTGTTTGGATAACTCGGCCACTTGGCTATTGTTTGGCTTGTGTCGACTCTTCCAACAGCTCGTCTCTCGGCTCGAGCCGAGATGAGCATAGGCATAGAGTTATTCTTAGAAGTCCACTAACTTTTTATATCATAATGTGTGGGCTTTATTTTTACTTTTATGCAATATTAAAGTCGGTCTCTGCGTTTCTTCAACATGAGCCGAGGAGCCAGTTGAGCGGCTGCACCAGCAAACCAGCGAGGTGTCTACATCCAATCCAACACAATCCGCGATTCTTTTCCGCCGGTTTCAAAAATGGCGGATGTGTTTTCGTGCTGCGTTTCTGGAATTTATTGCAATCCGGCTAACACAACTTGCACTAACTGCAAGAAAGTGTTCGATTCTCGAAAACGTATGCTATGTCACGCAAGATGTGCTCACGGCTGGAGCGGTTTAGCCCCTTCAGTGAGCTGCGATCGGTGTGGCAATACCTGCTCCAGCTTTTCCAGCATGGTTGAACTCGTCATGCATCACGAATCGGCTCACGAGTTCGTGGCAGACTGCGTCCAGCTCACCTTCCGGTCAGAAAACGGTAAGCTTTCTCCCAGTTAGGTGCATTAGATGGTGTAATCTTATTGTCGGCGTTCATAGCATCCAGAGATAACAATGAGATCACGCTGGCGCCGTTCTTTGTTGTCAGGCAAGAGCGGCGCGCGGCCTACTTTTGCACTTTTGGTTTAACTTTAAATCAAGATTGAACTCTTTTGTCAATATTCAACGTTTTCTTCTTTTTTTTTTCCTTTTTTTTTTAAATTTATAATTTGCGAGAAGCGAAGCGTCGCTGTTGATCGCGCGGCGGTCGCCCATTTTAGACCGGTAGGTAATTTACTGTGCTCTTTCAGACCGCGTCATTATATATAAATGTTAATAAACGTGCCACTCCAAAGATATTGTAAATAATGATTAGTTTTATACTTTTAGCTGTAGAATCTCTCTGCCAGTACAGCCAGGGCGTGAAAACCATGGAGGACTTCCTTCGAGGTGTGAGCCGAACCATTCGGTTCTGACCTCCTCAGACGTAAAATTTTTGTATGTTTATCTATGTGGCATCAATAAAATGTTTGAGTTCTGAACAACTTCCCATGAAATATATTTCAACCAAGGTGGTGTAGTTGGTGATTTGTTTAGAGAGACAAGAAGGAGCGCCACTCGTGCACATGCACCCAATTCACCTCAAAAGGCAGCAAGCTCCGCTTTTAATGTAGGCTGTAAACGAAAGACAAGCGGAGATGAATGTAACTGAAGTCACATAGCACCAATGGCACGAGTAGAAGTGCTCATTTTGCCTATCAAAAGCAAGCATTGAAAGCATAACTAGCAAAATACTCATTAAATAATAATAGCAGTGACTACTTCAGTCTATGATCACTAAATATTACAATAAAATGACACTGACTTTTTTATTGTTAGACAATATTCCGGCAATTTTAAAATAAAAGAGTTATAGAAACCTTATCAACTTGCTCTTAGGTAACCGGTCTCAAATTATGGGACCAAGTTCCTCATTTCACCAGCAAACAAGTACGTAGAGAGCATAAAGAAATAAAGTGCATTGAGTGTGTTATATTTTCGAAGTGATTTTATTACGGGACCATTTTTTCCTACTTTGAACTTGGGACCATTAGTTCCGAGACCATTTATTCCGGGACCATTTGTTCTGGAACCATTAGTTCCCGGGACCATTTGTTCCTACACCTCAAGTTTCTACAACCCTTTCGTAAAGTTGAAGGTAAAGGTACCTGGTTAAGGGGAGTCATATCAGGCAAAAATTGGGAACTCTAACCATAACTTTATTAAACAGTACCCCGACGTTTCGGCGTCAATTCGGTCCCTTGCTCACGGGTGTGTGCCGGTAAGGACACGCGTCACCAATTTCACTCACGGGTGTGTGCCGGTAAGGACACGCGTCACCAATTTCACACACGGGTGTATCTGGCTTTGCAGACGTCACGAAGCCCTGAGGCACAATTACTTGGCAGAGTGCCCGAGGAGCGGTTTATGTTTCCATTAGTTCACTGGATGAAGCAGTACTCAACAAAGAGCCGCTTTTCGAATGCTTCTCCAAGGCCAGCACCCAAGAGAGAGGCGGCAAATTTTTGCTAGAGCTTCGTGAAACTCTCGGCAGGTGGCGGTGATATGCTAGTGGCCGTCTAGGGCCGTCGTTGCCACGGTCATTGCGGTGGCAATGACGGCGGCGATAACTATCGCACCACGTATGTGAACAATCTATATCTTCCTTTTCTTTTATTTGCGGAAGCAGATTCAAGGCTTCTTTTAGCCTCTGCGACATTGGCATGACTGTCCCTTTGCGGCCTGTACACCCAGGGGTGGACTCAAGGGGGGGGGGGGGGGGGGTCCAGATGTCCTGACCCCCGCCTGAATTTTGCATGTGTAAAAATTCAGGGCGTGGAAACGGCGGGGGGGGGGGGGGGGGGGGGATCGGATCGGGTCGGGTCGGGTCGGTCAGTCCTAGACATACGATACGCTGACCAACACCCGAGCCCCATCCCCTCTAGAAATACCTGCATCCTCCCCTGTGAGTGTACACCTGGGGTCACGGTGCTGGGGTCCGCACAGTATTATTATTGTTGTTCGATAAAACACAGTTTTATTCGCGTCAACGTCTAGCACAGGCTAATAATGCATTGAAATCAGTCCTGGAGAGCACTACGTTTGACATGTCACATGCACAAAATATAAGCCCAATGAAGTAGAGGATTCACGGCAGTAGTTACTGCACAGCAGACTCATGCCGCGAAAAAATTTACATGCAAGAATTTTTTCTCAAACTTCGTAGCGCACTAAATTTATGAACAGCACATCCCCCCACTGTTAGGGTCAGCTAGTGGACATTTTTTTAGTATGTGAGCTAGCACCCAAACATTGCAGTCAGTGCACATTTTTTCCTTCTCAAGTTTTGTGATCTTTCGTGGGAGTACTGATACAGGAGTATTGCCTGTCCAGAGATGTTGATTCATAATATTTTTTCTTGAGCAACGACAACAAAATAGTGGTTTTGACAATTTATTTCACAAATGCATTTGTCACAGAAAGCAGATATCACAAAAACCAGCTTGGACTTTACACAAGCTTTGCAACCTTCCGCAGCTGCTGCGTTTTGTTCTTCATTTCAGATTTTTTTTTTGTTTGTTTACAAAGCTGCCTCATCCTCATGGAAATGTAGTGATGCAGCAACTGGGCCACAATGTCCTGTTTGTGCTCAACACATGGAAATCCGAATCTGTAGTCTTCCAAGAGATTTTCAACAATAGGCATTCCTGCAAGTGGCATGATTTTCAAATCCTATTTCTGCTGCTTTCAGTAAGCAAAAGACATTACGATTTGAGTGCAAAAGCCCGCCCCAAGTCTTACACTGGACATGGAGGCTTTCTGGTTGAGTGTGAAGCGCCGTCTCCTCATTTAAACTTCCTCTGCATGTTGGGCGTATTGTACACTTGAGGAGCCTCCAGCACATAAAACCAGCCAGATAGTAAATGATGCAGTGAACTGTTTCTGGTGAGGTGTACTCATGGTCGAATTATGATTCACATTCTACTTCGCTAGCAACTAAGCCACCTAACTTTTGTTTAAGGTTCTGAAGTTGCGTCTGTTACTTGCTGTTAGCTTGGAATGCTTCTTTTATATTAGTTAAGGTTAGCGCACGTCTATTCTGAGAGCTGTTCACTTCACAGTTTCCAAATTTTGGTGTCTTGATCATACTGTAGATTGACAGCATGTTGAACAGCCGTAGGAAAGTGGGCATAGAGGGATGATTGCCCTGACCACCTGCTTGCCTGATGGTCTCAAAAAAAAAAAAAAAATGCTCAAACACATTTTGATTGAACTTTCCCGTCAAAACAAAGCTAAATCTGCAGTCCTTAAATTAGAAATCTTGGAAGTTCCAGAGCAGACAAAATTGTCGCACGTAGACCCTCTGCAGTCTGCCCAGTCAGGCAACTTTCACAAGATATCTTTCCAGACACCACCTCCATCTCCCACTTATTAAGCCAATGCAATGAAGAAGTGAGAACTCTCAAGTCCTTGCTCCCTACTCTGACGTTTTCTTTAGGGTGACTGCGATTGGGGGTATCAAAGAGGTTTTGAACTTCAAAGAAAAATCAGCTGTACCATTAACGTTGTCAAGCCCCTCTACACCTTTGCTAGAATAGTACTCTAGCCCTTTGGCTACACTTCGGCTAAACAACTGCGTGGCCAGCTTTACACACATTTTTTCAGTGTTGGAGGGATTGATATGTGCATGTGTGATCTTGGGGCGGACACGTAAGTATGCAGGCTGCTTCATGTCCTCGACAAAGAGCTTATCATAGTGAACCCAACAAACGTGCTCACCATTAAATTACAAAACTTTTTCAGCACACAAGCGGTTGCATACCCATTTCATGAGATGTGGAGCATGAGAAAAAAAACAAAGAAAACTACGCTTGTCATCAACAGGGTGCGTAAAAAAGCGCTTAGTGTCATGTAGCGCTCCGGTCACTCCGAGCTCTTTCCACATTACACGGTTTGTCGCTGCCCCATCACACACCACACCATCGACCAATGCACCAGCTTCTTCAAGCAGAAAAATCTCCTCTAAAACAAGCTGTGCCGTTAACTTGCCTTTTGTGGGGCCTTTGCTTGCAAACACTGCAGGAGGCTTTGAGTAGTGGTCACTGAACGCGCAAAAGGTGAAAACCAGTCCATGGTCTGCCAGGTCATCACTGGCCTCCATATCATCCCCGAAATCAGTGAAGCCACTCTAGGTCATTGACTTTAAGTGAACCCGCATTTCCTTCCTCACTTGCACCTCATCAAAAGCCAGTATTCCGCGGCGCTGAAACTCGTCGTCGGTGGCCATCTTCTTTTTGAACGCTGCAAAAAATCTTTTGTCAAACCCACATACATTTCACTCTCACCATGCTTAAGTACTTTCACACTGGGGGGATCGGTGGCCGAGTGGGCCGAAGCGCACACCCAGCTCGACGCGCGTGGAGCGAAAGCTCGCGCTGCAGAACCCAGGGATCCTGGGTTCGAGCCCCACCCCTGCCCGTTTCGATCTGGATGAGCATCGTACCGGCGTGCGGTCGTGTATCACTACTGCGTGGTGCACGTTAAAGACCCCAGGCTAGCGGTTGTACTGCACTGGCTAAATTGCTCATCTTCAGCGTGTGACGCGTCGTAACTTTAATGGCAGACCAACTACACGCTGTATAAATATCCCCACAACCCAATTATTATTTACTTTCACACTGTTGTAACACAGGAAAGAAAAGGCAAATCATTGTCCCGAAGGAAACAATAGGGTCAGGGGCTGTGTATATGTAGTAGAAGGCACATCAAAAGCCAGTCTTCAGTGTAGCGCCGGCTTTTCTTGTTCGTCGACTTGGCTGCCGCTATACACTCCCTGACTGCTGTTAGCTGTGTGCCTGAGGGGTGAAGCTGTCAAGTTTGCTTCTAAGGTCTTCTTCAGAGATCTGCAGTTTTTCATGAGTTTTCTTACCATAGAATACCACGCATCCGCCCATATCACAC